GTATTCGATGGTATATGTCTCCGGTCATGTTTCCACCACACATATATATACCCGTTCATGTATAATGCAACATAGGTAACTAAAACTCAAATCAAAAACTAAATTGTTGACCCATATTTTGTCAAGTCAACGAAATCGTCTGCTCTGCTAGGAAGATTCAACCAAACCGTCAATTGGGTTATATGTCTCCGTAAATTTAATGTCTTCATAGTGGATTTGAAATTTGTTTTCCAAGGAAGAAGAAAGTTCTTCGTCCTTATCATTATCATTCACTCATTGCAAAGGAAGTTTGGAAATTAGTGTATAGGAAGAAATCACATCGAAATTTTCACAAAGTACCAAAATAGAGAGAAATACATGTGAAGATGAAGAAAGAAAAAAGGGGAAAGGGCAAAGCATTGACTCCTAGAAAAGAAATGCTACATGTCTTTCTCCTTTTCTTCTTTGATTTGATTTTATGATTATTTTCTCTCATTGTGGGCCTCGTTATTACCTCCTTGTGCAAGAAGGTGTTGTTGTGATTTGTGAATAGACCCTATCTTTTGTATACCTTATGTCTATACACATAGGTCAAATTCTGTGTAGTAATGATAATAGTACAAGCGATCATTCGAATGAATAAATCGATTGAAATCAATTTCTCTATTGATCACTGCATTGACATGATGGATGATAAATCCTAAAATAGTAAATCCAATAGGATTAAACTCAAGTTCGATGAGCTAATAACATAAATTTACAAGGCCATATGTTTATCTTATTGTCAATTGGTTTTTAGGATTAACGTTTACAAAAACTGTTGTTGACATTGTATACATAACAAAGGACAACAGCACTAGAACGGATATTCACTAAAAAAGGTTGTATTCGATCCAAATTTTATATAGCAGCAGGGTATTATAACTTTATAAGATACCTTTTGATCGTTGTTACGTTGTTTATTAGATTAAACTCTAGAGATCTGTTGGCTGATATAAGTTATACTTAGCAATAAACCTAAAACTTTTGATTCTTTCATCAATCAAACTTGTTGGTACCTCTGACAAGTGACAAATTTAAAAGCAATGAAACGTGTGAATCTTTTATAATTAGTTTTGGTTTCAATTATCCGGAAAGAAAGATCGGACACGTGAATGAATGTTGTATGTACTATACTAGCTATAGCTTCAGCTTGTATCTGGTGAAAGTAAACGCAGTAAATTTCTCCCACGGTACTACATGTAATAATAATGTTAATGTATATGAAGAAAGTGCATCATGAAAACAACAAAATTTATATGCATGTATTAAAGAATCCTCGAATATTCTGGTTACAGTATCGTTTTTACTTTTGTTTTATTCGGATAATGATGTGCATTATAATTTTATAACATCTTCCAATGTATTTTTTCTCTCTTTATTTACTTTTTTTCTTTATCTCTTTTTCCTCTTTTGGTCCACTTTCCTTGGCATGCCCCCACGTTGTAAAACCGAAGACAATCATCAAGCCTATGAAAGGAAAAAAAGAAACAAAGGGATAAAAATAAAAGGGAATCATTTTATTACTTAATTGGTTTAATTTTATCTTCACTAAAATCAGTTTCATGTTACCAAAATGTATAATGAAGAACCTCTTGTATCGCAAAAAACTGCAAATGTGGAAAACAATGTGCCTTCTTTGTAATATGCGTGTGTATCTTTCTCGACCAAACCCTTCTTATATCAACAAGCAGTAATAGATTATAGATGTAATGACTTCGGTCAGGTTATGCCGTTATGGAGGATGAATGTCACTAGCCTAGCTATTGCCCTGTTTTGGAGTAACATTCTTTCTTGTTTTGCCATTTCATGTGATACATCAAATTTCATTTCTTTCCTACCGATGTCCGTGTTGTACAAATTAATCCTATATATATCGTATAAATAAGTGTTTAAAATGTATCTTTTGATTTTAAATTTATTTTCTAAATAAAGCCAGATAGATTTTGGTAGTCAGGGATCATAATAAAAGAATTATAATGTGGTTTCTTCATTTTTTATATTTTTTTGTTAAACATGAAATTTTCAAACTGAAATCCATACTTGAAATGAAAGGTATAAAGCGACGAAAGCACCTTGGAATGAAAATTTGATACGGCATTGCCGCATTGAACACCACTAATAAACTTGTTTTCCTTAATTATCAACTCTTACTTGGTTTATCTCTCTCGTTAAATTCTTAATTTATAATATATTTTTTTTAAAGTTCGATGCACTTTTAAACACAAATAAAGCTTCTCGATAAGTTTATCTTTTGGAAAACTACAGTTAAAATAAGATCTGATAAAACTTTTAATTTTTGTAAAGTGAAAAAGGTTCTTACAAAATTATTCCAATTTATATTTGTTGATAAGGAAAAGGATAAAGAGAATGAATTTATAAGCGTGTTGAAAAGCCTCATTAGTTACTTTTATGTGGTTTATTTTAAATCTTTTGGTTTCTTCGAACTTGAATAGAACTTTCCTAGAAAGAAAGTTGGAAACTAACATGTATGATGATGGTCAGCATTAATGCATCATGATGATAATGCATGAAGCACCCCGCATCATGATCCCAAATTTTCAACACATGGCCATGCATGTAGAATTATTCAATTAATATTGAATGAGATGTCGCATCAAACGCACATGCACAATAAAAACATGAATACGACGACTAAATTGATGTTAATTTAAAACTCTTACTAATAGCTAACTTTCTACAGAAAACAAATAAAATAATTGGCTTTACGTTACCATAAAAGAGTAAAAGGAAATAAATAGCAAGTGAGCATTGATGTCATGGGTTGGCATCCACTACATGTTGACTTACCTATTGAAGTCGTTAACATATAACTCAACTTTATTTTTTGACCAAAACAATACTAATAAGTCTAATATATTTTGCTTTGCCCCTATAATTAACTTTTCCAAAGAAAACCAAACCGTAACTTTTACAAAGCGGGAGAATATATACCAAAAGTAATCACCCTGTATTAATTTCATGTACGTGTAAGGATTCATTATTATCGGTTTTATTTAATTTTAAGTTAATAAGAATTGAACAAAACAAGATTTTGTCTTTTCTGCAACTAAACTCTCTTAAAATCGAAAATAATAGTCTCGTACTCATTATTAGGTAGTTGTTTGTGTTTCTATTTGTTTCGAATAGGCAATGGATCGATTCATATATCCTCTACCGTTGATTCCGTGTATTAAAAATTAGTAGTTTGAACATTCAGGCATGTTGCAAATTATATATAATATAAAAGGACATGTTAAGCTAGTTCTGTTTGATATAATATATATGGACTCAAATGTGTCCAAAAACTAAGGAATAAATATATTGCAACAGTTACAACTTACAAGACGGGAGAGGGCATGAAGCAGAGGGCATGAGCATTCCCATCCAACTGGCTCAGAGTTTAGTAGAGACACCTAATACCGACACCATTTCCTCAAACCTTAATTTTATCCTCAACTTGATTCAAAACTCTAAACAAAAAAATTATTGTAATTCGAATAAATCTATGTTATCAAGGAAAAAAGAAAATAGAGGGCACAATAGTGTTATTTTAGATTTTGTATTGTTATGTGTGGAGTAGTAATGTTGTACATATTAATGTGCAATCGAGACGACAGAGATTTCCAATCAAGCGAGTGGTGGGAAAGAAGAAACTACGTAAGCTAAATTTATTACAAGAGAAGAAAGAAGAGAATGGTAGTTATATAATGATGCATTTATTATGTACTTTTGACTCAGTATTTATGGACATTCACCACTGCGCTTTTAATATTAATAATTACCGTCATCATTTTTCTTTTCGTAAAATTAAAACTCAGTCTAAAAAAAACTCTTATAGGCAAAAAAATTGGGCACATAGACACACAACAAGACATCATCCTTGTATGTTATACTATGTGACTAAAAAGCTTGGTTGTTTATAGTAAAATTGTACATGCAATTGTGGATGTTGAATATTTGGTGATTAATGCATGGAAACAAAAAGAATTGCTGACTCGTTATGACGCTGTTTGAATGTTTTGTTCTTCTAGATAATTGTTTATAGTAAAGTACGCAAATATATTATGTAATACAAGCCGTTGTTAGCTTAGCTCGGTGAACCGAAGGAATTTGTTAAGATTTTATTCCCGAATATTTCAACATTCATTCGGAGGGGACCGGATGTCTTAATTCTACAGCATTACAAAATAAACAAATATTCAAGCCCCAAAATTTGTAAAAAAATTTTAGTCGAGAGTTTATAATTTGGTAGTTTGCTTGTCAACATGTCACCATTTGTATTTTAGCCCCGATTGCTGCTAAATCTTTATGGTATAAGTGCTCTAATGCCATGGAATTGGAACGTTTTATATCGACTTACTACCTTTAACATATAATTTGTTTTTTTTTTTTCCGAAAAAGAAGATGAGGCTATTACGTAAAAATGTACAAACTCACGGCCAATACATGATACTTGTATTTAACATATAAACTTGCTTTAAGAACATTTTTGTCATTATTCATGTATTCCACCGTTTTACTGTTTAACTAGTACATGTACTCGTTTAATTGAAAGAAACAATAAAACCTTAGACAGCTTTTCAGTTTGGATTATTTGTTTCGCTGTCATTTTCTTTTTTACCTTTGATGACAACAATCCTTTTTTGAATACAATATAGCATTACTGTTTTGTTAGATGAATAAAAACAAATAGAATCAACTGAACTAAATTTTTTATATTATTCCCAACTGAAACTAGACAAGAAAAACAAAATACTAACTCTTTTCCATTCTTCATCATAGGAAATATTTGCATGTTTAACTTAAAAGATTTTGAAATGCCCATAAAGAAAAAAAATTCAAAATTGAAAATGTACTAGAAAACAAAAAAGAAACTAACATGAAAGAAACGAAAAACTCGTATTTTCCCGAAAATACCCCAAAGACCATAGCGTATTTACATCTCTACCACCACCACACTCCAAATTTCCGCCGCCTCCTCACATAACGACGCACGCATTCGGATTCTCGTCGCTGAATATCTGTGGCGCATGGGCCTGAACCGGGTATCCATACGGCCCACCCGGATAATACCCGTACCCGTAAGCAGGCTGAGCCGCCATGTACTCCATCATGTTCACTCCCTCGCCGCCTTTATTCTCCTTTCCTCCGCCGTCTCCTCCTTTCTTCTTATCCCCGGATTCGTTCTCTTTCCCGTTCTCTTTATCATTCTTCGGCGGCACAATCTCCACCGGACGTTTCAGCTTCTCCGTCAAACTCTCCACGAGCTTCTTCACATCCATTGCCCCTTTCACCGTCACCAATTGCTTCTCCTTGTCCATTGTTATCCCATTCACACCTGCGATTCCAAATAACCAAACAGCGTCAGCGTCTAACAAACAAAAACAGCGTTTTGGAAACGCGATTGTGTACCGTTTTTTGTCTTCTAACCTTTGGTTTTGGTGACAGTCTTTTGGATTTTCCCGATACAACCTTGACAATGGAAGTTCAGCTTCAACACCGCCGTTGTTACCGGAGCCTGAAAAACAAATTTATTAAATTTAATAACAAACATTCAGAATCAGATTCTTCACAGATAAAAACAATTTAGTAAAAAGCAAAGAGATTGTTTTTTGTTTTTTTGTTTACCTCTTTGGGTTTCTTCTCGTTGTTTGGCTTCTTCTCCTCCGATTTCTTTTCTTTGTTTTTGTCTTCATCGCTTTTGTTGTTCTCTTTCTCCTTTTTGGGCTGAGGAGAAACCAGCTCGACTTTCTTCTTTGTCTTCTCCTCAAGTTTCTCCCGGAGCTTCGCCGGATCTACAGCTCCGGTCACCGTAAGTTTCCCCGACGCCGACTCCGATTTCACAGTCTCAACGCCTGAGAGAGAGACATTATTGTAAACTTTCAGTCAAAAAAATCAACCAACAAAATAGGGATTTTGAAAAAAAATCGAGAACAGATTCCGGAGAAAAAGGACTGTAACGTTCCGATTTGTTGCAAGTTTGTGGATTTTTAGTCACAGAGATGGAGAAATGGAGAAACTTTTTTGAGATCAAAGATCAAACCTTGGAAATCACGAACGCATTTGACGATCCTGGAAGCGCAACCTTCGCAATGCATATCGACCTTCAAAACGACGGTGATGGACGCCGTTTTCTTCTCGGCGGCGGAATCGTTGTTTTTCGCGCCGCCGCCATCTTCTTTCTTCTCGTTGTTGCTGCTGTTGTTGTTATTCTTCTTCTGCTCAGAAACAGAACAGAGAGAGCACATGAAACCCATTAAATATTATGCAGAGAACACAAAATAAAAAAATGCGATGAAAAGGTGAGGAGAAGAAGAATCGAGAAAGTGAGGGAAGCGGTTTGACTCGGTACCTTGGCCATGGTGACTCGGTTAGTGAGAAAGTAGTGGGAGAAGGAAGTGGGTGGAGACAGAGTCGGAGGAGGGAGAGAAAGACGAGACCTTTCGTTTGTATTTATAGTACGAAGAAAATAATAAAACTTGGAATCGGTTATGTGGTTTTTATGATGATGATGATGATGATGATTGATGAATGGTCATTTATCTATCGTTTCATGATGATGCAATGGCGTATGCGTATGGTTATGATGCTATCTATGGTCGACAACTCGACATACGTTTTCCGTATTCCATTTTTTTTTTTTTTTTTTTTTTTAGTTATAATGTTTTGTTTTTATGTGTTGTTAATGCCTCGGACGTTCTTTCCTTTTGCAATTTCAGCGCTCTCTATGTGACGGTCGACTTGATATTTGTTTTAGATATATAAATATTTCTCTTTACCATTTATGATTAAATTATGCAATTACAAAATCTGTATTCCATTCTTTCGGAAGTAACAAAATGTAATTTTTTTAAGACTGACTTATTATATCGTGCGCAAACTTTAATGGATTTTTGTGTGTGTGTGTGTTGTAGATCAGTAGATGCATACCTTACGGCTTACGAGTTACGAGTATAAAAAATGTAGCGATTAATTGTCTGTATCATGTCCATGTTACACGTACCGCAATTTTATTTAATAAATTATAGGTGAAATTAAAATAAGTAAACTTATACAGATGTTTATTATACAATAATCATGTAACTGATTAACAGTGTATTGCTCAAAGGAAAAAAAAAACTACACTGTTTAACAGTGTTTTCATGAAAACTTTAAAAAGGTTATGTTTCCTTTTTTATTCTCGTGTAATATTGAATTTTCAGAATCTCAAATATGGAAGAGATTAGAAAAACAATAATTTATTTTTTTGTTAGTTTTATTTCTAACTTGCTCACGTATAATCTTATAGACATGTTTCTTATGCATGTCATGTTAGTTTTCAGTTTGTCATACGAAACAGATTATTGACATCAAGTTCAGTGGACATCGTATAATTATACGAAACCAAAATGATGGGCCTTGAGCCCGATGATAAGTTAATTTTGTTTTGTATGGTGGTTCATAACGTAGCCGAGGAGAGAAGCAGTGAATGCTGCAGAAAGAGCTGAGAGGAAACAACATCTAAGGGAAAAGGTCAGTTTCTGTTTTGGTCACTACAATTTGATTTTTTTTTTGAATAAAACTTCGTTGTTTATGGATTTTGCAGTAGAAACTTGAAGAGATAAAGAGGCCAAGAGGGTGATTGGGTTGTTGCTCTAACTTTATGTTTTGTGGTTGTGGATGTAAATTTGTTGTTGTAGAATATTGATGGTAGGAATTTAGTAAAAAAGGAAATAGAAAAATAAGTAAATAATAATATGGAAAAAAAAGTAAAGAGAAAAAATAATATTTGGAAATAAGAAAAGAGAAAGAACAAAAAAAAATGCCCTTAAAATTATTTTCTAGAAATTTTGCTCTGCAAAACTAAAAAAAGAAGAAAAAATAAAAGAAGGTTGTGGATTTAAAAAAAATATATACAGCATGATTGGTGATTTATTTGGCTCTGAAATTTATTTTGCTCTCTACAGCTCAATCACTCCAAAAATCTTAAGAAAAAGAGGCAAGCAGAGGTGATGAGTTAAAGGGTTGTGGATTTTGCTCCGCAAAACTAAAAAAAGAAGAAAAAATGAAAGAAGGTTGTAGGTTTTAAATTTTTTTTTTTTTTTAATGATTTTCGAAAAAACTTAAAAAAAAATTGAAACCCAATTGCGACACGTGGAAAGCTAGGTCAGAGAAACGGTTATGGAAACTCTTCCGGGAGAGACATCTCTCGCCTTGAAACTCGCTATATGGGTAAATGTTTTTATTTTTTTTTCTTTTGTTTTGGTTAAAAAAACCCTTGTAGTCTCTCTGTTGCACATGCTCTAATGGCTAATAAAAAGACTCACAAAGCAAATAACAGGCTTTAGAGTGTTAAAAATCTCGAGCACAAAACCATTGCGAGACCTTCGGTAAACTAAAGATATCACTTAACCAAGAAAAACGAAAGATCAAAATGTCAAAGCTTATACAATAATAACAGCTTGTGATTTCTCAATGGGAGCAGCAAGAAGAGTGACTAACTGAAATTTTTAAAAAATATGGAAAACTAATTTCCAACAAGTTTTCAGAAATTTTTGTTTTGGAAACGTTAGCAAAACACGAACGGCACATCGAGTCGAGTTTTCTTGCTAACATAGTTACTTGAATGTTAAGTACATGCACATCAATGTTTTTTATTGCTGAAACATTCCTCATCCACGTGGATTTAGCAACTTAAGAAGTTAGAAACTTAGAAGTCAACTTAGGCTATATCTTTTTTTTTTCTGGCCAAAAAGACAAAGAATCAATTTTTGTACTCTAGTACACATTGACTATAAACTGTGTCTTATCCTTCAGTACATTAATTAGTATAATAGCTAATAAAAATATATTAGCAAATCAGATTATACGTGTCATTCTTCAAACAGAAAAGAAACTATTAAGAAAAAAAGATAAAAAAACATAGGCAACTAGCATTTACGGGAGGAGGAAGAGCCGATCGTTGGAAATTAATTGTTTAAACCGCATTTTGTAAATACAAAGCAGTTGAATTCGATTATTCTGGTTTAGTATATCAATGCAATACATTCCATTTGTACTTTGATATGTTATCCATCTCTATCCAAATCCAATTATTTTGGACTAACCGTAGTTTAAACCCCAATTGAGTTAAAATAATAAACGGACTTAAAGACATCGTTTTACTTTTATGTTAGTAGTGTGCATCATTGTATTTGTACTAACCAAAATTTTAAATTAAAACAGTTCTTTATTTGTATATTGACTATGTCTTTTTTTTGTTTTTAAATGGAACTGAAATTAATTGTTTTGTTCATATGTTATCTTTTTATTAATGGAACTGAAATTATCTACTTATTATGTTTTAGAAAAACAAGAAATAAGTTTCCATCAATTTCCAAAATGTAAACACGATTTTCCATCGTATTTCCCAATTATTTTTTTAAAAATATAAAAAAATACAAGAATTTCTGTTTTGGAAACGTTTGAGAAACCTATAGACACACACACATCAAACAAAGTTTTCACGCTAACATAAGTTGCTTGAATGTTTAGTACATACACATCAATGTTTTTTTGTTTAAACATTCCTCATCCACGTGGATTTAGCAACGTAAGAAGTTAAAACTTACAAGTCAACTTAGGCTATTTTTTTCTGGCCAAAAAGAAAAATAATTAAGTTTTGTACTCTAGTACATTAGTATAAGAACATACACATTGACTTTTTTTTTTGATATTTGTCAACTTGACTATGGACTTTGGCTTATCCCCATGTAAAATTGTACATTAACTAGCAAATATATAAAAATACATTAGCGAATCAGATTATAGGGGTCATTCTTCATACATAAAAGAAACAATTATGAAAAAAGAGATAAAAAAATTATTATATTAAAAACATAGGCAACTTGCATCAGTTGGAAATTGATGGTGCAAACCGCATTTTGTAAAATATAAAGCAGTTGAATTCGATTATTCTGAATTATTCTGGTTTAGTACTATCAATGCAATATTCAGTTCAACGGCCAGCCGCCCGTTTTAACATCCATAGATTATAGGTTAGTCGTTATATATGGAAATAGGTGGAATAGTATCTCTATTTTGTTTGATCATTCGCCTTTGAGCTGTATTCAGGATTTAACAAGGACGAACGGTTTCCAAGTTCTCATTATCCCTCTCTCTACAAGAGTCTAATTTCATAGGTTTCTTCTCCAACGAATTAGACATTACCATCAACTGATAGACATGCTCCATAAATCCATCACAATCAACTTTATTTATCCTTGTATTTATTTTATTTTCCCCAAGGCAAATATTTATCTTTAAGTAGCAACTGCTATCATAATTTATGTTATTTCTTTGAGGACCTATTCAAATATTTTATATGCCTTGTTTTAATTTAAAACATGTCAACATTGATTCATAAGTAATTTCGACACGATCACTTTGATTGAGATATGCTTCAAATCTGCCCTATATAACAGTATAACACGAGACATTCATAGTATCAATTAAGCTCTTAAACTCCACAAAGGCAAGAAAAAACAACAAGAAAAATGACTAAATCTCCTCTCATTTCCTCCGCCGCAGTCACCTTCATCCTCCTCCTTGCCATCTCCCACTTCCCCGGAGCTCTCTCTAAATCCCCAAAAATCTGCGAAACCCAACCCAATAACTCTTGTATCGATAAAGACAAAGCAGTACAGCTCAAAATCATGGGAATCTTCGTAATCCTCATCAGTAGCCTAATCGGCGTTTTCCTTCCGCTCTTCGCTCGTTCCGTTCCCGCTTTTCAACCCGACAAAGCTGCCTTTTTTATCGTCAAAGCCTTCGCTTCCGGAATCATCCTCTCTACTGCTTTCATGCACGTTATGCCTGATTCTTACGATATGCTCAATTCTCCTTGTCTTGACGATAACCCCTGGCACCAGTTTCCTTTCTCCGGCTTCCTAGCCATGGTCTCTGCCGTGATCACGCTCATGATTGATTCTATCACCACCAGCGTATACACCAGGTCGGCCAGGAAGAACATGCGCGCTGAGGTTGGAACTGACAAAGCTGACGTGGGATCCGCTGAGACTCCTGACCAAGAGACAGGACGCGTGCAGGTTCCTGTGACCCATCATGGTCATGGTCATGGTCAAGGTCTTGAGCTTGATCCTAGTTTACAGCTTGTGCGGTATCGTGTTATTGCGATGGTTAGTATTTCTTAACTCTTGTTTTTTTGTGTTACAAAAAAGAAGATTCTAACTTGATTTAAATAGAGTAAAAGAAACATTAAAAGCCAGACTTAAACCTTTAAATCTATGTATATAAGGCTAGTTAAGCAAAATATGATTTTATTGTTGTTTCAAGTTCATAAATGTTGTTTGGCTTATCTTCTAAATTCATTGACAAGACATCTTGTGAACAAAGTTTACGTTGTCGAAAAACTTTTTTACCTCTCGTTTATGAACATTAAGATTTCAAAATAAAAATATGATAAAATATTACTTATAAATTAATAATTTATACAAAATAATAAAATTTTGAAATGCCAACATTATTAATTTGTAGAGGTTTTACTGTGATGAAACAGGTATTGGAACTAGGAATTGTGACACACTCAGTAGTGATAGGACTAGCAGTAGGAGCCATGAACAGTACATGCACCATCAAAGTTTTTGTTGCGGCTCTTTGTTTCCATCAAATGTTCGAAGGCATGAGCCTCGGTGGCTGCATCCTCCAGGTGAATTGATCCCTTAGTTTGGTTTGGTTTAGTAGTATCCATTAATATGGTTCTTTAAGTTTTTCATGGTATTGTCACTCCAAAATTTATGTTCTTCGAATGACTGACTTGAAATCATTAATGAGAACTTGAGAACACCCGCAGGCAGAATACAAGTGGATGAAAAAAGCAGTGATGGCTTTATTTTTCTCGGTGACAACACCTTTCGGAGTGGCTCTAGGATTGGCATTAAGTAAAACGTACAAAGAGAATAGCCCTGCCTCTCTCATAACAATTGGCCTACTCAACGGCTCAGCGTCTGGATTACTCATCTATATGTCTCTAGTCGACCTTCTAGCGGCCGATTTTATGGGCCAAAAAATGCAACGGAATATCAAGCTTCAATTAAAGGCATACGCTGCTGTTTTGCTCGGTGCTGCTGGCATGTCCCTCATGGCTAGGTGGGCTTGACGACCTACATCATAATGGACACATATATATTGTATACTCGTGTTTAATGGATTTCTTTTGTTTATATTGTGTTTTCAAGTTTTCAATGCAAAATTAAGTGTGTTTTTGTTGGTTTTTTTACTATTTGAATTATATATATTTTTTTTCATTGGTTGAATTGGTTTGACATTGATGGTAATTAAAGCGTAAAAAAAAAAAAATTCTTAATCTATGTACAAAAATCTTAAGTATTAAATAAACCCTCTTGTCCAAGTTATTTGATCAGATCCTCAAAAATTAATTTCATTAATATCTTGTGCTTTTAAGTTCATTGAAAATTAGAAGAAATTATAATTGGAGAATTAAGATGAAAAGAAACTAAAATTTGGATTTATAAAAGAAAGGACATGTGTTATATTTTAGTAGGATGACCAACTGCAGAGAGTGTGAAAAGTATAATCTCATACTACAATTCCGAAACATATGGAAGTATTTAAAGCTTACGTGTAATCAAACCAATCAACTTAGGTTTGGTCGTTTCATAAAAGCGATACATAGTCGAGGGAAATGAACAAGAAAATAATGTGATCAAAATTTTGAAGGCACGTTACTGCGATCAACGAAAGCTATTCTTCAACATAATAAAGTCGATCGCGCGTAAATATATTACTTGTTTCCAGTTTCTTTTTCTGCCCCCAAAAGAAAATTCCATCACATTCTTCTAACCTTTCTGTTTAGATCGGCGTGTAGCATTAGTAATTTAGTACATTACACTTCCTTTATTTTCTTTCTACATTTTTAATATTTTTCATAGAAAAGTAGAAAACAAAAGGAAAAAGATAAACGATATGTCAGGGGTATATATGACATTTGTAACAGATAAATAGTATTTTCCATCAATCAATTTCTCCTGGCCGCATGAGTCACTGACCAAAGGTGATGACTTTTATACACACACAGTAGTTTCCTCCCACTTTTACTCTATCTAGTTTCATCTAGATAATAGTCTCATCTAGTTTTAGAAACAATAACAGTGCTATATATATCGATTATATACTCTCTTTATTTTGGGTAAAATACCGATTATATAGTTTGTTCCAAGTTCTAACTAAAAGCTGATATGCTCTTTACTCTTCCAGTCTCACGACAAAAAAACAAAAAGATCATTCTTCAAGCATAAATGCATCATTTTGGATTTTATCAAATCAAATCTCCCATTGTCTCTTCTTAACTAGAAATCTCTTAAAGATCGATGGGAATAAACAAAAACACAAAATCCCATAAAAACTGATCATAGTGTCTCTCTCTCATTCTCTCTCCTCCCATACCCCATCAAATCTTTGATTTTACTAACAGTCAGTCCAAGATATATTTATATAAGAAGACAAGAGAGTCTATAAGAACTAGGAGTAGAAATAGGGCAAGCACTTGTGCTGTAGGAGGCTACTACTGCTTTTGTTCGCGGCTAGGTTGCTTATGGAACTAGAAGATGAAGCTGAGTCTGAGCCTGAGCCACCCATGTTTATGTTAGAATTAGTGCCTGTTCCACTAATCATTTGCTTCAAATCCCCATGTCCATTGTAGTTACTGTAATACTCTTGTGCAAAATTCCCTTCGTACCCTTTTGTCCTCTGGTCAATGTGGTTGTCTCTCATCATCATCATGATCTCTTCTTGCTTCATCACAATCTCTGACCTATTTCCACTGACGTCTGTGGAGAAACTGTGGTGGTTGTTGTAGTGATCACACATATTGTAGTTGAGCAAGACACCACTTGTTCCCGAGATGTTGTTGCTATTCGAGAGGGAAAGGTATTGAGGATAATTAGGGTTAATCAACGGAAAGATCTGTTGATCGTCAGCTTCATAGCCATTGATGTTGGAGATGAGAGACTTTGTAGGGTTCTGATTAGGGTTTTCAACATACGGATTATAGGAAGAAGATGGGATTGTTGTTGATGGGGTAAATGGTCTTTTCCCATCCTGAGAATTAGGGTTTAGAAAAGGAGAAACCATGGCTGATGATGAATGAGAAGAAGAAGAAGAAGACGACATGAGTTTCTTCCTTAGCTTTGTGTTCCAATAGTTTTTGATGTCGTTGTCTGTTCTTCCGGGTAGATGAGCTGCTATTATTGACCACCTACAAATTTCGATTTATATGTGTCTATTAGTGGTTAATGTCGGAAGAAAATGTTGCAGTATCTCAAATGAATAAATGTTGCTCGTAGTTTTTACTACATCTATTCAGCGTGCGCGTTCTCAAAAATATCCTAGCTCAGAATTATTTTGAACAAAACAGATTTAGGAGAAAATAAAAATTTAAAATAATAAATTAGCGAAACGGAAGTAATAATTCCTCTTATTAGCCTATTTACGTAGATAAATATTCACGGGACCTTCGTTACCAAGTAGATAACAAACTGATACCATTTATATATTTTTGGTGTGGAGCTTCACAATTTTCTTATAATAAAATACAAACTTTGAGAGAATTAAATAAGGGCACCTGCTTCCAATGGCAGCAAAGAGGCTGAAAATGATCCCGTCTTCTTCCTCAGAAAAATCACCATGTTTTATGTTTGGTCTCAAATAGTTTAGCCACCTCAATCTACAACTCTTCCCACATCTCTTCAAACCTTTAAAACATCCACAACAACAAATAAATGACATAAGGTCTTGACTGGACTTTGAAGTTCAAAACGATGAAGCAGAAAATTGAGTTTAATTAATGAACATATGAATGAACGTACCGGCTTTGAGAGGGAGAGAGATCCAGTTTCCACCATTTCCATACTTCTCAATGTAATCTCTAAGCTTAGAGTCTTCCTCAGGAGACCAAGGCCCTCTCTTCACTTTTGTCTTGTCGCAACATGGAGCTCTTCCCATTTTCTCTCGTTTGAGTTTTGAAGTTTGATGAAAAGAAAAGAAAAAGAGAGAAAGTGTTATCTCTTACTTGCTTTTTTAAGATGGACCTTTTGAGTTTATGGAGGAGTGGTTGTATTTGTGCCCTTTTAATAAGAGACTTGGATTTGGACTCACCCTTTCAATTATTATTATTATTATTATTGAATTATGAATTATATGGATGGCCAATAATTTTATATTTCTTTTGTCTCAAAAAGCTATGGGTGTGGGAAGTCAACATGATTGACATGCATGCATATTCATTGTGCGTGTTTGAGAAAGTGTAGATTTCCAATTATTCATGAGAAAAAACAAGATTTCCAGTTATTCCAATTTATGAGGATCTTGCTATCTTTTCTCTGCTGATCTGAGCTACGTATTTCATATACGCGCGTATTCTACAATACTGAAATCAGGACCGTTGTGTTGTATCGTATGTGATTTGGGTTGAATTTCAAGTATTTATAAAATCCAGAACTCTGGGTTGAGTTTGACAAAAAAAAAAAATGTTAGAAAGTAATTATATTACCTGCTGATAGTTTGGCAGGTTGCTTGATTTGATCATACGTCAAAATAATATTTGCACAACTATGCAAATCAACTAATTAGTAATCATCATGAATTTTAAAAGTAAAAGGGAAATATAAAAGGTCCCAGCGGTGGTGATAATACACGGATAAAAGGAGGAAAACATATAACAAGAGGAGACTGCATTGGTCGGACCAGTGAACAATATGGAACTGTCTAATTATAAAGTGACAACAAAACAAAACCCAAAAAAATAAAAACCCATTTTTGTGAAATCATTAACCAGAAATTTATCATCACGAGTTGACTTGCCAATGTTGTTTTCATTATTACATTTAGTAAAGTGCCAAAAGAACCTTTCTTAATAATTCATATCGTACGAGTTTGATGGACACTTGCCTGCATGAATATATAATTAAATTCACACACACACACACACACACACATATCTATATATACATATTAGTTTCATAACGATCAGGTGTATATATTTGGACCGACTAATTAACTTCTGAGCTAATGACCCATCGATAGGTATGTATCCATATATGTACAATTGATAGATCTACTGTTTACATCATTTAAGGTACATGTGTTTGATGAACATGTTTCACGCAGATACAGTCGCACACTCATTTCCACATATGTGCAAGTAATATGTAAGTATGCTTATTACTTCATGTGCATACGTATGTGTGTGTACAAATGGCCAAACAGAAGTTTTTTTTTTTTTTTTTTTTTTTTTTTTTTTTTTGTAAAAGCGGCCAAACAGAAGTTTCCATATTCGTAGTGTACTTCCTTAGATTTTCCAACAAACTTTTTGTTACATTACATATACCTATGTTATAAACGGAAATTAAATGTATGTGTTAGTTACTTAGTTACATTTATATAATTGGTGACTCATTTGTTACCTGAAATGTTCTCTTATTAGTCTTGGATCTATACAAAATCTACCAAAAAGGTTTAAAATCGCCAAATTAGGATACAAATTCACTAATGACCATACACAACTGTACAAGTTAATGTTTGTAAGTTTATTATAAAGTAATTCAAAAATGATTTTTTTTTTTTAATAGATGTATATCATAGTCATTTTCATTGAAGTCATATTGGTAGAAAAGCTATTGTAAGATTGTAACGTATCATTTTTATTTTGTATCCACACTGGCTAATATACTTTGTAAGAAAACACGTCTTTTCTACAATTTTCATGGTGGATTTCGATCAACTTAGTTTTTTAATATAATATCAAACTCTGGAAATCTTGCTGGTGAAGAAAATATGGAGTGTGTTTATAAATTATGTATAGAATAATGAAAAAATATGACAAAATCTTGGACAGACAATTATGATATTGTCTGGTTTGTTCATAATTATAATTGCATGCATATGAATTATTAAAATGTTCATTTCTTATATGGGTGTAAAGACTCCATAGCAATACAATATAATATCTACAGATAATCTAATATATATATATATACATTTGTTGACAAAAAAAAATTGATTTATATTTTTTTCAAAGAAACCATTAATCGAAAGTTCCTTGAGTCAAAAGTCAAAACTATGATTGGATGATGAACACCAAAAAGACGAGAGTCTTTTTCTCGTTTGACTCTCGGTGGTTTTTTCCTCAACGGTTGGCAAACTAAAGTGGACAAATCACCGATGTTCTTTTCCAGCCTGTTGAACCATTTTCAACACATCGCTTTCTTAAACGCAAACTTATAAAATTAATCTACTTCTTTCTTTCCATTTAGTTATCGTTTTATACTTAGATTTTAATGTAGATTTTTGATATATTTTCAATTTATTAATTACTTATATCAAACAAAACAATATATTAAATTTTAATAAAATATCAAATTTAGTTAGTTTATTAATCTGCATAAATAACCCAAAACAACAAGTAAACATAAATAGATGGTGATTATTTAGTTTCAACCTATAGATCTCTTTCTAAACTTTCACCTATCAATTATTAACATTCTCATGATTTTGTTTCCTTGAGTCCATGAAGTTGTCTTCGTTCGTTCTAGATGATGACATATATTAAGTTATATGATATTTACACCAATCACCACATCTTCTTTCGAAGCCTTAACTAGTTGTACGATAATTCGTGTGACGATGAAAAATATTAAGTTATTTATTGATGTTATAGACTTATAGTCTGTCTGTGTGCATTAAAATCTACAAGCTCCTATGAGTATATGAAAAAAGTACTATCCTAAGACGTTAGTTCGATTGGTTTATGTCAGTATAATATTTTCTTTTCTTTTTTTGGTTTTAAGTATAAAATTTTCTTGTTTCGAGTAAATATCAAGCTCTATCATATACTTAGGGAAAAAAAAAAATTTAAAGCTAAACGTGTTCACTAATCTCATGAGTCACGGATAGTCACATAAGAGGATGCCCCAAAAATAGATACGTGGAACCACATAAGAGGATGTCCCAAACGCTATATCTAATTAAGCAAGGAAATTTCAATTTTTTTACTTTAGATAAAGATTACCATACAAATAAAAGTTTTTTTCCGCCAAAAGGTAAATATGAACAATTCGGGATTGTATGAATCATAATATTTCACACATCCATAATTAAATTTGGGATAGATTTTTTTCCTTTCTTTTAAAAATTAGCTTTTCTTTTATGAATTTCTAAGTTAGATTAATTGATATGTACCAATATAAAAAGATAGACCAATGCGAATCGTAAAACACGCCTCTGCCTACTTCCAAAATGTCTTCATTTCCAAATGGCTTAAACTCTTATGGTGGCTTTCATGGTTCTTTTCCCATCCAAATGAATTCCATCTTTATGGATCGGTCAACGTTCATTGCTTCTGACGACATGAACCATCGTGGTTTGCTTACTTCCTCTCCTGCGTTTAATCGTTATCAAGATTCACATGTGGCCTCACCTTCTTTTGGTTTCAATAATCCACATGTCGCTTATCAGATGAGAGAAAACATGGTTGATTGCTTTCCTATTCTCGACAACCCTCATCTTTCTCAAGTCACTTTCACCGAAACCATCACAAAAAGGTACTCTGCTATTGTTCCTACCAATCATTTGGCCACTGTCCAAAATGGATTCGAAGGTTCCATGAATCCCAACAACATTTGGAATCCATCCTTTGCACCTCCAAATTTTGCCAACACACGGTGCGAGATCTTGAACCCTACACCTCTCAATACATTTTTTCCGGATCAAGATTCTGTCTATCCTAGGCATGTGGACTTCTTTTCTTCTCCACCAAAGCGCCACCATGACCAAAACGTTCCGGTTCGTCAACCGGTGAAGAAACGTTGCAAACCAACCAGAAATGTTGAAGGAAACTTTGATGGTTTTGGTTTGGAGGAAGATGGTGACTACGATGGTCGGACGCATAGCCTACCGTATGAGAAGTACGGTCCATACACATGTCCCAAATGCAAAAGTGTGTTCGACTCTTCACAAAAGTTTGCGGCGCATGTATCGTCGAGTCACTACAAGAACGAGACCCTCGAGGAAAAGGCTCAGAGATACAACGCGAGGAACAAAAGAAGACTTCGCAAAATGAAGGAAATGATGAATGGGGAATCTCAGGGAACGGAAGACAATGTTGTAGAGGATACCGGAGGCAATAACAACATTGCGAGTGACATTGAAGCTTTCCAACATCAACTGATTGTCAAGGAAGAACCGGTTTATGATTTTGTTTGATTTGAATATGTTTTTTTTTTGTTGAGTTTGTTTTAATTTAAATTTTCCTCTTCCTGTGTTTTTGCCATTTCCTCATCTTTGGTGCATTTGTAGGATTGGATCCCCGCATTAGCTTAATAAATTTATATTATTTTGGATCTTTTATGCGTTTTAATGTTCTTGGAACTCCGGGTTTGTTAACCCGTTACGTATCGCAAAACCCTGAACTAAACCGAGCATTAAACCGGAAATTTGGTTTACACAAGAAAAACCAATGAAAGACTTACCTTAAGGCTGATTTGGAAGTCCTTCCTTCTTGTTTGCGCTGTGTATTCGTGAAGCCAAAGCAAAGATCTACTACACCGAAAATGACTCCAGTAGTGGTAACCGTATTCAGCTATTAATCACCTTTGAGGTCTTAAGTTTTAACCGTAGTGATTGTTAATGCTCCGAATATGAAAAACCGAAATGGAGATCATAAATTTCCATTACTTAAAGACAAAAAAAAAGAGAGAAAGATAAACCTCCATTCCACAAACCCACTTCTTCCTCCGGATCAAAAACCATGGACGCTCTTACAATGATATCGATCATGACCCTAATGCTCTTTTCTGGATCAGCACGTGCCGCAACTCTTATCGTGTCCAACCAGTTGCATACACGTGGTAATGTTCCCGTCTTCGTCACGTGCCACGGCACAATTCCTAAGATGTCCAAATCCGTACCGTTGGGTCAAGTGTCGTTGACAAAGCTCATCACACCCGTTGCCGGCAATAACGCGACCGATGAAAAAGCCGGATCTAGAGTGCTGCAGCAAATGAGTTGCGTAGGAACCTTTTACACCGAATCACATTTCGGGCGCACTGAGAGGCCGTACGTTTTGTACGATTCATACATTGATTCTAAGTTGTGTAAAAATGCATGTCTCGTCGTTGTCAAAGACGATGGCTTTTACCGTTGGAACAATGACAAGAATGTTTGGGACAAGATTCCTCCGATCATCTGGACTTAATTTTTACTATATGTTACACTAATGTTAACGTCACGTTTCAGTTCCGTTGTTATATTTTCGTCTAATACTCAATTGTTCGCATTTAAATAAAATAAAGTTTACGGTATAAACGAAATGTGGTTGTTGAAATCCTTTTATGTTTTAAAAAGAAATGACAATTACTTAGTTCTCTTATTTAAACTCAAACGTAACATTTATAAATCAGTACCTAAGTACAAAGTTACAAACATTATGTTAAGCCATCTCAACTCTATAAAAAATAAGCAAACAGTTTTTATTTTCTTGATAACATATATTCGGCTTAGACATTTAGAATCATGGACGAACTTTCAGCACCATTCGGAGTAGCGAGCTTTCCTTGCATCCAAGTCTGGAGCATTTGCAAAGCAGCCTTTGGCTGATCCATCGGAACCAGGTGTCCAGCGTCATGAACCTGTCCCAAAACCGAAATTAGAAAACAGAAAAGAAGACTATTTTCAAGGATTTATGCTTTGGTAATTCGGTTTACCTTAAGAAAAGTGAGAGAACCGTGATTCTTCATCAAACCAGCTTCTTTACCCTCTACCAGGAACGGTACTGTTTTAGCTGATCCAAAATCCTTCTGGCCTGACCAATTCATCTGCTCAACCCACCTAGAGTTTCCTGTATATACCAGATAAATTCAAAACTAGCCTCAGAAGCCTAACCGAAACCAGAATTAAATTACAAAACGTAACACAAAGACACGTTGTAGTAGCAAGTATGATCAATCTTACCAAGCCAGTTGCAGATGAGATCATATTCTCCGGCATAAACAAGGGCACTGATTCCATCTTCGACAAGAGCCGGAATCTTGACCTCAAGATTAACCATCCAATCATCCATCATTGCTTCATACACTGTTGTACTACAAGAAACAAATTTTATATCTCCAACTCCTAAGGCTTTTAGTACGTTGTCTTGGTTCAAGAATTTTTCCATCTTCGAAAAGTCATAACACAAGCTCCCCACACATTCCTTCCTCACGTCATAGTACTACAAAGAAAATCTTTGTGCTAAGTTATGCGAAAAAAAAAACAAAAAAAAAACAGTAGAAAAATGGTTCATTTGGTATGTTCGCTGTGCTTACATTTTTGCCATCTATTTTATCCATTATCTGGTTGAAGATGTCGCTGCAAACTACGTATGCAAGTTGACACGCGTCACCACCATCAACGTCTGAAATTTACAAACCAAGTTTATCTTTAAAAAAAAATCAAAACTTTCCACTCGAGCACAAAGCTGAAAATAATAAAAAGAAATAGAGCTTGTGTTTTAATTACTGCATTGTTTAGTGATATTTTGACATCCAACATAATCTTTCTTGAGACTCTCGTGATCGGACTCTGAGATCAACTTCATTTCCAGAGCATAATCACCATATGCACCATATTGAATCTCCGGGTTGGTTAACCCGTTACCAATCGCAAAACCCTAATTCAAACCGAGATTAAAACCTGAAATTTGGTTTACAAAAAGAAAAACCAATGAAAGACTTCTTACCTTGAGGTTGATTGGAATTCCTTCGTTCTTCTTGTTTCCACTGTGTACACGTGAAGCCAAAGCTGGAATGTAGTGACCGGCGTAAGACTCACCGGTAATGAAGAAATCGTTTTTTGCGAATTTCGGATGCGCTTTGAAAAAAGCCTACAAAAATTCAAAGATAAAAACCCAATTCATTGCAAATCAAAGCACTTTTTTTTTGAGATTTTGGAAAAAAAATCGAACCTGTAAGAAGTCGTAAAGGTCATTGCTGACACCAGTCTCGTCGTGCCGGATATCACTATCGTCCGATGTGTAGCTGAAACCGGTCCCGATTGGTTGGTCAACGTAGATTAGATTGGAGACCTATTAGAACAAAAGCAGTTGTGTTGTAGGTAAGTTCTAGGTCAGGTGTAGATAAATATGTTTCTTGCGTAACAAGCATGATATTTTTATGATATTTTTAAAATCTAAACCAAACCAACCTTGTCCCAACCAAAATCGTTCCAAGAAAGAGAGAGATCATCCGAGATCTTAAACGGACCGTTCTCATAGAACATAGCCAGGCTGCTACTGCAACCCGGTCCACCGGATAACCAGATCACAACCGGATCGGTATTGTTGTTCCGTGACTCAAAGAAGAAATAGAACATCCTGTGTGAAAAGAATTAAAAGACCAATTTTTTTTTTTAAACGGTTCATGTCTATACCTCCTACTACTAAACCGAATTTGATTAAAAACACATCATGATTAATCCAAATTAAATGAAATCGGTTTAAATTTTACTTGGCTGATTTGGAATGAGGGAGGCTGTAGTAACCGGCGTAGTGGCCAAACTCTTGTACCGAAGGACCTTTGGAAGTGTTTCCGGCGCCCATAATCTCCGAGAAATCGAACTGGTTCTCAACAAGTCTCGGAGCATCGAGACTTCCCTTTGCGATGACGTTGACATCATGCTGAGGCATGAGATTGAAGGATTTGATAAGCCTTTCTGCATTAGACAAGCTTGCTGATGATGAGAGAACGGAAGGTTTTCTTAGGAGCCTTTTAGGAGCTGAGAGCGAAAACTGAGAGAAGATGAAAAGAAAGAGGAGGACATGGAGATAAAATGTTTTGGCCTCCATTAGTTTTGTTTTTGTTTTTTTGTTTCTGCTTTGTAGATTGTACGAGAATTGGGTTATATTATATAGGCTAATTGGGTAGGTAAGAGGAGTATTTGTAAAGCTGGCTTGCTGGTTATATATGCTTACTAATCAATTGGGTTAAGAAAAGATAGAAAGATATCTTTCCATATATATGTATTTTCTTTCCCCAACAATATCTTCCCAAAAGTGTAAGAATTATACTATTTTGATATGGATTTTTTTTCTAAAACTGTAAAATGAGTGAACTATAACTATATAAATTTTGTATCAAACTTAACAAGTGGTTTGTTTCCATAATGTTTTGAGATTTCATTTTTTAACATTAGATTTTGTTGAAAGATTTTTTTTCTAATGAGCACTTATACGTTTTTCTATGTTTGCCACCAGATAAGTTGACAAAAAAGGATCAAAACGAGTAAATTGTGCTAAAAATGTGTTATCGCTTCAATCTCATTAGATTGATTTCCAAAAGAAATTCGACATGTTAATGTATGTAAAGATTCTATCCAACCAAATTAAATAATCAGTATAAGTTGGATACTGTATCTACAAAAATCGTGTAGAATCTCATTAGGTTTCGTTTCGCATGTATGATCGGTATGTTTACGGATAGTTGCATCGTCATTTATCAGTACGCCAAAACATGCAAGTAATCACAATAACGCCATAACGGTCCCAAAGTCCAAACACTAGAAAATGTTTAAAAGTATAAACTAAACCGAAAAGCCAAAATCCCGGTTTTCAATAACTGAACCCCAATGTGTCCACATAATGTGTTTATTTTGCTGATGTCTGATGTCTAACACATTAGATGAAGATAGAGTACTTTTTGTTTTTTTTTTTTCTCAAATTGCAGCAACACAAATTAATTCTTTTAGTTTTCTAACGTCATTTGATTAAGGGCCTGACTGGTTTAACCGTTGCGGTTGCGGGTGCGGGAGTTTGCGGAAGCGGGCGGTTGTGATTAGTAGCGTTATTAAGCGGTTTGTACGACTGGCATAACAATTGAAAATGGATGCGTTTGCGGGTTACTTATGACTGGTTCACTTGCGGATGCAATAGCGGTTAAACAATAAATTAATAATATAAACACATTATATAATTATAAAAATATCAAAAATATATTATAATGAAAATTTTAAATTTATGGTTCAACATAATTAAAAATATTTTTTTATAAAGAATAATATGTGTATAATACTTACGTCTATCTTTTAATTTCTATAATTTAAATAAAAATGTGATTTTATTTTCAAAATATATATTTAATGTGAAAATTAAATTTATTTTACAATTTTATTTATTAGATATATATGTATTAGTATGAAAAGAATATTTATGAAGAGAATTTTGATTTGTAGAACTTATAAATATATAAGTATTATATGATTTTAATGAATATTGACTAAAAGTACTAATTTTTTATTTATATTGTGATTTTATTATCCAAATCTTATTTTTTAATAAATATTATTATTTATTTTCGGATTTTATATAAGTTTGTGTTTTTTTTTTTTTAATTATACCGCACCCGCAACCGCAAACGCTTGCGGAAAGGAGCTTTTGATTTTCAGCGATATAGAGCGGTACAGAGTGGTATAGAGCGATTCAAAGCGGTTGTCGTGATTGTTATAAACCGCCGAAAACCGCTACGAACCGCAAACGCTGCGTTTGCGGGTGGTAGCGGGAGAACCAATCAGACCCTAAATTTAAAAAACTATTTACAAGGTCAGAGTTATACAATGAATTTAAAAGGGGAGGTAACACAGAAGATCTGCCAAACCGAGATTGTCTTTAATTAATTATAATTGTAACCGTCCGTATTCAGCTATAAATCACCTTTTAAAAAAGCGATTAATGTAAACAGAAACGAAATCACATATATATTATACATATATATAGAGAGAGATACATCTGAATACTTTATGTGGAAATATCTATTTATATGTAATACGTATTAATAAATACAGATTTTTCTCGTGATAAAAAATCATGGACGCTCTTATAGCTGGTGGTATCGATAATGACCTTATTGCTTTTTTCTGGCTCTGGATCCGCACGTGCCGGAACTCTTATTGTGTCCAACCAGTTGCAGACACGTGGTAATGTTCCCGTCTTCGTCACGTGCGAGGAGGGTATGTCCAAATCCGTGCCTTTGGGTAAAATGTTGTTGAGAGAGATCCCAACCATTGCCGGAAATAATACGACCGATGGATCTAGAGAGCAGCAGTACATGTGCTTAGGAACCTTTTACTCCGTACCACGTTCCAGGCCCACTGTGAGAGCGAGGCCGTACATTTTGTAATATTCAAACTACGATTCTACAATGTGTAAAATTGTATGTTTGGTTGTTGTCAAAGACGATGGCTTTTACCGTTGGAACAATGACAAGAATGTCTGGGACAAGTGCGGCGGACTTTCAATGTTCAATAGAAATTAGTAAAAACTTTTATTATTTTAAAATGTTATCAACTCGTCTAATACTTATTGTTCACATTTGAATAAATTGATCCATTAACAAATACTATACTAATTTTATGTTGGAGTAAATTTTACGGTTGAAACGAAATGTGGTTGTTGAAAATTGAAATCCTTTTTCTGTTTTTATTATATTATATTTTTTTGTGACAACTTAGTTCTTTTAATTAAACTCAAACAGTACCAATTATATTAATCCATCTCAACTCCATACAAAATATGCAAACAGTTTTTATTTTCTTAGAAAATATTAAGAATCATAGACGGTCGGAGAGCCGAGCTTTCCTTGCATCCAAGTCTGAAGCATTTGCAAAGAAGCCTTTGGCTGATCCATCGGAACCCTGTGTCCAGCGATATGAATCTGTCCCAAATTGAAATTAGAAAGAAAAAACAAAATGTCCCATGTATATTCAATCGTATGTATTTACATTAATAGTAAGTTATTAGGTTTATCGCTTTTATTTGATTTACCTTGGAAAAAGTTACAGAGCCATAAATATATTTTGCCATTTAATTATTTTTTGCTTATGTTTTGCTCGTCTTTTGCTTATGTTTTTTTATTGTTTGCTTAATATTTTGATAAACTTGTTTTTAATTCTCTTATGAAGTTTTTTTCAATAGTTAAGTAGCTTGATAAAGTTGTAGTAAAAGAGTAAGCTATAAATGCATTTAGAAAACTTTAACTGATTTTCTTAAATATTTGATATAGCTTTATTGATTATGTATAACTAATGTCATCAAATTCTTAAACTGGTTCTAAAACATATGTTTTCATAAATAAATAAACATACAGTATGTTGTTAACAATTTTGCTGGAAACATATATATGTTTTGGAAATAATATTTTTTTATTGTACTATATGTTTTATTGAAAACATATGTTTTGTACCACGTCCATTTCCTTACTTGCCTGATTGAGAAACATTGTAGTAACTGGCCAAACTCTTGGACATAAGGGCCAGCAAAACTACTTCTAGCTTGAGACTCATGATCGGACTCGGTAATCAGTTTCATCTCCAGTGCATAATCACTGTATGCACCATATTGTATATCCCGATTTACCTTGAGGTTTATGGGAATCTCTTCCTTGTTGTTGTTTGTTGTGTGAATCCGAGAAGCCAAAGCTAGAATGTAATGGCCAGCATAAGACTCACCGGTTATATAAAAATCATATGTTCCAAAAGTTGGGTTAACAATTTTGTTGAAAACATATGTTTTGGAAAAACTATTTCCTTATTGTACTATATATTTGTCTTATTGAAAACATATGTTTCGTAACACGTCCATTTTCTTACTTGGCTGATTGAGAAACACTGTAGTAGTAACTGGTGTAGCGGCCGAGCTCTTGGACAGAAGGGCCAGATAACTGTTTACAAAGAAAAAAAACAAGACATGTGTCGTACAAAACCATTACCAAACCAAAACTTAAAATAGATAATATCCATAGAAACTCAAACCCTTTAACAAAAAAAAAAGATAAATACTTAATAAAAAAAATTCGTTTATTCCAGTGACTCTTTAAGATAGATAATATCCACGATTTACTGAATAGTTTATATGGATATTATCTATCTTTAAGTTTCCACGATTTACTGAATAGTTTCAATTTTTCGTTTTGTATGTATGTTTCAATAGTCACAATAACGATTTCCAAGTCCCAACACTAAAATATGTTTAGAAGTGGAAAATAAACGAAGCTTTGTTAACAAAAAAGGTAGTCGCTGATGATTACATTGTATACTGTATTTCAATCATATTATACAATACACTGCGATCTCATTTATGTTCTCATAAATTTCAAAGTCGATAAGATCAATCAAAAATCGCATTTAAAGAGTCACTGGAACCAGTTAGGATCTAACTTTAGCAAGCCGTGCTCGAATTTCCTCCAATTCTTCCTCATCATCAACACCCTCTGCAATTGCCTCTTCCTGCAAACAAAAAATTCAAAATCCCAACTTTAATTCATTCAGAAAATCCAACGTCACAGAAGTTAAAAAAAAGTATCAAAACATTCTTGGCAATCAACCATTTACCTCACGGGAAGTGCTCGCCTTCTGTGCAGTTACCTTTACCCTTTCCTTCTTCACAGCTTCTGGAAGCTCTGCAGCGGTCTCTCCTGCAATTGCCGTCAATACTTTATCAACCTCCTCGTCGATCTCTTCTTCCATATCCTCCGAATCCAAGGCATTGTCAAGCGCATCATTCACAAACTCCTCAATAACTCCAGCCTGCATTTCAAAGCAACAAAAACATTCTTAAAGCTGTGATTTTTATTCTCAGATAATGAGATAAAGGAAACCACTAGTTTACCTTAGTCATCTCTTTGCTGAATTCCTGCATTGTTGCAGCCATTTGTGGAGCTTTCATGAGGTTATTAACCAGCTTCATAACCTCTGCACTCTTGGACAGATGACCAACTGTTCGAGCAACAGCTGCAGATTCCAACGCAAAATGATTGTTTAGCATAGTAACATGAGAAATGATGCAAAACACAAGAATTCATGCCAAGGAAAAAGCTTTATTTTACCAACACTCTCCCCAAGATGCATCGATATCGAATTCATCTGCGCCTTGTTTTCATATAGTCTGTTCACTGTTCTTCTCGAGCTCACAATCTCCTTAGCAAGCGCCTATTGAACACCACAGAATGATAATCAGAGATACACATTGAAAAAGACTCGAAGATTCCAATAACAAAAACTCATTTTTGACAACCAAATTGCTATAAATTTCATATATTCGGTTTTGCTTACCTTGGCTGAGCCCATATCATTTCGCTTTGCAGCCTCTATAATAGCTTTCTGTACAGTTCTCTCTTCCTTCTGGATATCTGAAAATGAAGAATCTCAAAAAATCAGAAACTCAAAATCCATGGATTCAAACGCAACCCAGACGATCAAATCGAGAAATTTTTCATCAGCCGGAATCAAATTCCAGTTATTAGGAAACCCCATCAATCATCCGATCCAAACCCGATTTTGAATAATTTATTCCAATTTTAGTTGCGATCAAACTAAACCAGCATCTAATTCAATCAAATTCATCGAGAATTGAAAATTTCCTGAATCTAAATTATAGAAGAACCCTAAATTCAACAACGAAATCGCGAGGGAGATGAAAATAGGAACCTCGGATTTGGCGTTCAATGTTACGGCACTCCTGACGAAGTTTGCGTTGCCAATCACGCAAGAGCTGCTTCGGATCAGGCTTCGGCTTTATGATGTTCATCACTCTCTCCATTCTTTGCTTCTTCCTTCTCTACCTTCGATGCTCTGTTTTAGTTTTACAGAGAATATTTTTGTATGCTTCGTTTTTGTATTAATACTCTAATGACCAAAATTATTAAACTAAAATCAATTATATATGTAGGTCGTATTTATCTTTGTTTTATTTTCCGCGAACGCGTCGTCCTTTGTGTGTGTTTTTTTCCATTTAAATTTGATTTCTTTTTCTTATGTATTTACAGTTCTTCTCTATTCAAGTTTTGAATCCTAAAAGAGTTATGAAAAAGGAAAAATTATTACAATGAAACTTCAGGGAAAGACAAAAATCTAGGCCTGTGTAATGTGTATAGTTGGATTCAGCCCAACATAATATAAAGCCTGGGATTAAAATGAGGCCTTGTTGGAGGCACACTTATATGAATCATGTTTTAAATTTTAGATCCAAGGACCAAGAATCCATACCAAATCCTTAGACCAAGAGAATGAGACTCGACCAGTGACCATACCATTATAAATGTGTCACTTTCGTTCTAACCAAAAATTAATTTCAATGTACATTCTTTTTGTTGCAATTAGAACAACACAACTGCGAAGGAGGGAAGAGGAGACGAGAACATCACAAAGACACAAACGTAGAGAGAGACACAAAACCAGTTTTTTTGTCTATATGTTTTTTGGCTATAGCCTCTCAAGCTTTACAAAAATCAGCTCTCTCCGATAGTAATAGTATTTGATGGGATCAATGAACTGTTTAGTGATATCAACAAGACATTAGATAAGCAAGTAAGGTGGGGCTTGGGAACAAATTTGTGTATATATTAATTCAACATACTACATTTATTGATATATGCATCTTCTGACACACTAGCTGTCTCTTACTCACATTTCTCTGTCTTTCATCTTTCCCCATACAATACTCCCCTTTTTATAATTATCTTTATTCATCACTTTTCCAAGTATATCTATTTATTTTATATCGACAACTACATATCTAAGGATAGGTCAACTAACATTTTAGATCCGAGCGATTTGCTTTAGGTTTAGTAACCAACTAACCATAATTTGAGTTAAAATTATCTTATAGCAGAACAAACTACACATATTAAATTGTATAGTGTCTATTTTAACGCCTAATGTAGATTTTATGTTGGATTTTTTACGATAAATTTTAGTTGGATGAAAATTTTCTACTGGAACCGAAGTTGAGATTGGATTTATTTTTCTGCATTTCGATCAACAAGTCATTTTTATATTCAAAGAATTATATGCCTACTCATCCAAAGAATTACACGTCAGCATACTTTACACTTTCACTTCCCTGAGGGCACGTGTTGATCCACTCAGTGAAAGCCAGCTCAGCAGACATCTCACGTGTCCGAGTTAAGCCGCTCACGTTGTGGACCCCTACACGAGACATTCCGGTTTCTCCAATTCGAAAAAGTCCGAAACAATCCAGCCTAGCATCCATTAAGCCGCAGCATCTTACCTGTCAGCTTTTCATTGGCTCAACACCCTTGACCTTCTGTAAGACCGATCGAGCTTCCTCCACAACGCCTCGAGAATATGCCACGTGGCGTCTCCTTCCTTCATCGGCACATTGTACAAGAGGGCCCGCTTTAGTCCCGGCTCACGTAAATTCCGCTGTATCACAGACAAATTAGTCACCGCCACGTGTTCTAAAATCCTCCTTAGATTCTTCACGTCTTTCTCCGCCACCGAGAGAGAGATCTCCGGCCACCGCACCGTCTCCGACAACGGTAGCTGAATCCCGTCGGCAATAACCACGGGCACGCACCCCAACACGGCGGATTCCACTAGCCTGGGACTCCATGGGGCCCACCCGAGAGGACAGAGACAAAACACCGATCTCACGATTTCAGATCGATACCCAGCAAACCGGTGCCGGTTAAGATAAAACCGCCTTCTCCCGCCGTATTTCTTAAGAATCGCCGTCCTCACTCCCCTGCACACGCCGTGGAAATGACAAATTAGTAATTAACGACACAAAACTAAAAAGTCAAAAGTCAACAACGTTTTCGCTACGCACGCACTTGCTGTAAAAGTGTCCGCTTATATTCTTAGGGTTGACTTCCATCTTCCCCCGGAAAAACGCCCAAATGTCTCGCCGTCCGTTCTCCGGAGCTCTGTCAACCGCTCTCTGTACACTCTCCGGCGGAATATAAGGCGGGATCACGACATGCTCCGCCTCTTGACACGGATGCTTGTAATTAACTCCAAACGTCTGTAAAATGATCGATTTCTTCATAAATTCTGGAATCCCTTCTTCAATCGCCATGTCCTCCTTCACAAACACACACAACAATCAAAATCATTCTTCGAAATTATCCAAATTGAGGGATTTAGTGATTTACCATTGCATGGAAGCACGCGCCGAAGTCATGCGAAGCGACGAAGACGTGGTCGGAGCCTTGCGTCCGGTTCCAAAACGGGTGCTGGTCGGAGATGAAATCGACGGCGGAGCTGAGGAGAGACCGAGCGTGGGTTAGAGAAGGGAAGCCGTTGACGGTGGAGAAGTTGCAGGAGACGTAGACAGGGACGAAGAAGAAATCGGCTTCTTCTGGGTCTAACGTACGGACGAAGGAGGAGGAGTCGGAGAGAAGCGCACGGTGGATCGCTACCTCCGACGCGAAGAGGTGACTTGCGCACCGGTCTGATTGCGTTACCCAGTCGACGTTGAATCTCGCCGGTAAATCGTAAACGTGTATCTTCATTCCGCTGAATATACCTTTCATTGGAGACGAATCTTTAGCGAAAAGTGATTGGAAATTTTGAAACAGAGAAGGAACAAATTGATGAGTTTTTTTTTACCAATGGAGGTTGTACTAATGGCGGAGGATTCGATGAGAGCGCGAGATGGGAGAGACGACGAGGTTTTATGGTTAGACAAGAGACGTGTTGTGGTGGACGGTGAGGATTGGTCGCCGGCGAAGTATGATGTGAAGAGATAGAGAGAGAGGAAAAACCAGAGGATCCATCTGTAGTACTTTCTGAAGAAGACGAAGATAAAGAGATTTCTTTTGTTGTGTCCTCCTCTGTTGCTGTTGTTGTTAAGCTGCATTTTCACGATGAAACCCATCTTCTTCTTTGCCTTGTTGATGTTTGGTCTTTTAATGTCAAGCGACATTGCTTGAAAATTAAAAGAACAAAGATGAAATGGAGCTTTCTCTTTGTCTTTTGTTTCCGGTGGTGATGATGATTGAGGAGTAGAAATCAAGGGATAGATAATTTGGGAGAAATGTAGAGAAAGAGTCGTTGAGGTCTCTACGAATTAATAAAAAGAAATAAATTTTTCTCAATGTACACACGACTCGTCGGAAATCAATTTTAAAACATTTGGATCACAAATCGGTGATCTGGTTCTCATCTTTCTCTCGTGTCTTGGGTTTGGTTCGAATCCAATGGGGTCATAAGAAGAAAAAAAAGCTGATTCTTTTCTACAGAAAGAAAAAAAAAAAAACAAAATTTTCAGAGAACAGAGAGAGAGAAGGTCACATGATAATGCAAATGGAGCAGAATGGAGCTCGGCAATGGTCTCGAGTTCATCGCCGGTCAAGTCTCGTAACCGTACCCGACCAAGTGGAATGACAGTAGTACCCTTGTAGGCTCTGTAATGATTACTTTGCGCATTTGGTAAGTTGGGCTGTTTTTGATCCCGTGAGGGGCATGTGCTTCATAAATGTCTCGTGATAGGCTTAATGTTGTTTTTTTTGGATAATTTAGCTAATAATTAGAAGTTGTTTGGTTTATAAATGGGTTATAATTAGAAGTTAGCTGGGAGTTTTAATATTTTAAAACACCTACTTGATAACTCATGTGTGGTTGTATTAAGTTAACTTGTCCTAATGAAACATCATACTTGACCAATGAAAGGAGAAGTGAAAAAACAAAATTATGGATATCTAAGGAAAAACTGGCCAACTAGTAAACATATCGGCGTTATATTTATTTACTTTTTTGCTGTTAGGAATTGAGCAGCCAAGCATACATCGTACTTCGACCCAAACGGGTATAAAATAACATTTATTTGGATATACTATCTAAACTTGTTGGATATAAAATTGAAAAGTAATAATAAGATCAAATATGTACTCGAACAAATACCATTCAACATGTAGTGTGGGGGCTTGAAAAGAAGCGCAAAAGGGTATCTAAAAAGCTTACAAGAGCACTGGCCACTCTCGGTGTGGGAAAAAGAGTGCAACACAATTACAAAAACAAAAACAAATTTATATATTTTCTAAAAAAATCCATTGTTACTTTGTAAGGTTTGGTTATTCACTAGTGCTTTAATTTGCCTATGGAAATTGGAAAGTGTTTCGGTTGTTATCAGAATGTCATTGTGCCCATATATACATGCATTGAACTTTTTGTATGTTTTGTAGTATACATTAATTTTTTCTTCTCCTAGTCCCACTCCTACTATAATACTACTCCATTTGTTTAGTTATAATGTTGTCGTTTTCAAGAATAACATTTGACTTTGTATAGCATTTGATATCTTTTAATGTGTAATTAATATGTGCGAAACAGTTCAAAACATCTAACATGTCGAAACGCAGGGAATACTAGTTAATTATCCTGCGGTTAGATTCCATTACTTTCTCCTTATTATACTTTCACGAATGGTCAATTAATCATCACACCAATCAGTCTTATTACGAAGTAGTCAAGTGGGGTTAATCACGGACGACGCATGAGACGATAGAAGTTCGACATATCTTCTACACACTTTAGGTGTACATAATGCCAACTTGATAAGACAATGAAGACGCAATAAAGAGAGAAAACTTAGAAATACATCTTTATTTATATAGAAAGAAAAAAATGGTCTTAGTGATAAATTATCTCAGATTTTGTCTAAAAGAATCCATGCCTAAACAAGTGACATTCGAGGTTGGGAAAACACGTACGCGAATAACGTGACGTGATAAGTTCAATTACTCACACAAATACAAAACAAGAACAAACAAAAATTTGAAAAGTTGTAAATCTGTAATTGTAACGGCTGAAACAAAATCTACCGTCACAGCAACATGGATTAATAGCTTTATTTGGGATATCAAAGTGGTTGGCCTAATGAAAAAAAAAAATGGTTAAATAATAACGGATTCTGTTATAACAAAATTGGTGTATTTATTACTTTAGTAGAGAATTCAGCTACTGATTGGTTGCACTTTTTAATAACCTATATAGGCAGTCAGCTATAGTAAATGAAACATTTAATATTGTAACCAACCCAATTCACATCTTTAGCCATTTAGCCACAAAAGGCTACGTGTATACTCCCTCCGTTTCAAATTAGTTGTCGTTTTTGCAAAATGTATCTGCAAATATTTAGATGTATCTGCAAAACACGTCCAGATACATCCAAATATTTGCAGATACATTTTGCCAAAACGACAACTAATTTGAAACGGATGAAGTATTTATATACATTAAGACAGAAATGGATTTACGTGCATATTTATACAGCATCGAGATCAAAAATATAGTAGTAGAAATGTAATGTTTACAGTGTTTTTAACCAAAACGTCCACAATGTTTCTAATTTTTTTTGCTACAAAAATATTTGAATTGTCAAAATACTGAATATTGGACTCGTCTTTGGTACAGTTATAATTCAAGTTCGACAAAAAAGGAGAGCTAAGATTCGATCCAACTTGGTGGGCATATATCAGAACGTCATTGAAAAGGCTACTTTATTTGGGAATGAATGGATGTAATGCCATGTAGAACACTCGATCGTCTTCGGTTTGTATCTGGTTTTGGACGTCGATTGATCTGTTTCGAGCTGGAGTAATCGAACTGATCATTTAACACTCCAAAAAATTATGATATTTTTGTGTTGATAAGAAAAACAAGTAGCGGTTTTTAAAAATAAAATATCTAGTTTGAATATAAAATTGTCGCACAACAGCAGTACGAATACAAAATACTACACTACAAACCTTATTCACAAAGCAGACATTTATTATTTGTTAAAATTCGAAACAGATCATATATTCTCAAATTATACCTTCGTGATTGTTTATTTCTCTTTGGATGTTATTTGGTTTGGCTGTAATAAATAGTGTAACGTACTTTATCTACACGGCAGTAAGGCATTCATGAATAAGCTATATACACTTCATGAATCGGCAATATTATTCTTTTACATTAAATACTCCACTTCCCTCTTGATATACATACTCATATAATAAAAGAAAATATAATATTGTAGAAAGATTACAATTGAAGCAATATGTTTGGTTAAGAGATAGCTTATCCTTGAATCAGAAGAAAGAAGCTATAGGCAATCATGGGTATAAATCTGCCACTCCAACGTCATTTTTTAACCAATCTTCTGTTTATGTTATACAGGTGTTTCTACCATTCCAACCGTGACATTTAAGATAAGAGAAACCAGGAAAATAGTAAATTTTATAAACAAGGATTTCATCTATTGAAAATGTGTTACAACGGATCCGATTGCAGCTGAAGCTAAATGGCCTTGGAAGCCCAATACTCGACAGTAAACAAATAACTATTGGTTTGAGATCGTGGGCTCTAACATAATTATTGAACGTCTGATGTATTCATGTATATATAGGCATCAAGTGTTGTTAAACTGAAAAAAAATATTTTAGGAGAAGTCTAAAAGTCACAAGGAAGATCTTCACCTGAGGTTAGTTTCTCCAATCACATGTTGCACCGACTCTGAAACTTTCTGGGAGAAATCGAATTGTTGAGTGTACAATAAGGCAGTGTTCTAATTGCTTGAATAGTACCTTTTTCTCATTTCTTAATCACACAAAAGTAACTTCATTTAAAAAAAAAAAATGCTCCAGTCAAAAGTAGACTTCCATATTCGAAAAGTTGTGTAGTCTCAATGTCTCATACAATCTCGCATTGGTATATGAATATATGATCAATGTAGTAATGACTTAGGATGATGATCTTCGCTTACCGGAATTGACATGGTTGCAGATTGGAAACAGACGAGAGTGTCAGTGAACATCATCACGCAAAACAGAGCTCAATCTTTACAAAGACTGCTTAGGTCTTTGAGCAATGCATACTATCTCGGCGACGAGATACTTATCAGCTTCAACATGGATAGCAAAGTAGATGAAGAGACGATGAGAGTAGTGAGCACATTCAATTGGCCTCACGGACCAAAGACCTAAAGAAGAAGAATCATCCAAGGAGGCTTAATGTGCTGTGAGTGAGAGTTGGTATCCAGCTTCTGATGATGACTTTGGTCTCTTGCTTGAAGAAGACATTGAAGTCTCTCCTTATTACTACCTCTGGATCAAATTGATTCTTTGTTTTTTTCTCTTTTTCTTACTTTTTTGATTTTTTTTTTAGTTATATGGTAAAAGGAAGATGAATTGTATATAAATATAAAAAGCATGGTGAAACTCCATTTCCCCATTACAGCTTTGAACTTGAAGTCGTCACAAGAAACACAAATGCTTTTTATTTCCATGATTTGATTCTAACGTAGAAAAATAATAAATTATAGACGACATGGCTGGGTTCATAAGGGTCTTGGTGGGATGTTAAGAGACTGAGAACTCATTCTCATGGCAAGCAATCAGACAAAACCTATGAGGTTCATAAATTATATACATGGCAACATCATCTTCTGTATAATACAGAATGATCAGGTCTCTTTTTTGTTCTTTGGCTAAAATAAAATAAAAAACAAGATGAAAAGCGAGGAACATTTGTTAAAAAAAGAGAGACATAATAGAGGTTCCTCGTCTAAAATGTAATTTTTATAAGTCTTCCTTACTCGTCCAAAAAAAAAAAAAAAAAAAAGTCTTCCTTATAACCCTTGCGCAAGATTAAATTGGCCTGACATAAATCTCAATTTCTTCAAGAAACTCAAAGCATCTTCCAAAAAAGCCTACGATCTTGTAACCTGCCTCCAGCCAAACGAGATCGGATGATCCTTTGAACCCTATGAGATTTGTATATTTGCCTTTTCCTTCTATAGTGAATTTGGTTGGTGAAACTTTTCCAAAAATTGGAGACACTTATGTTCGGGCCAAGCATCCCATCCTCCAACACAAACTGCAACAACAACAATTTAGGTTATCACGCATATATATATTTTGAAATTTACAAATTATGTCATCATACCTCATAGGTTTTGTCTGATTGCTTGCCATGAGAATGAGTTCTCAGTCTCTTAACATCCCACCAAGAGATTGTTTCACCAAACTTCTAATAGCTCTATCATACGCACAAAAAGGCACATCCCAACGTTGAATTCTCAGTTTGAAAAACCACAAAACTCTTTGATGTCTCATAATGCTTCTTCCACGTTGTTTCTTCACCATTGTCCCGTATTTCGTATACTCAACTCTGAGATAGGCACAGCTCCATCAATGTCATCTTCCCCAACTACAAGTTTTGAAATTCCATCGTCAAAAACATTTCCAATGGCATCACCATGAAGACAATCTTTGATATACATTTTGTTTTTTTTTCCTGAATTATCAACTCTGATACCCAAACATGACCGAGCCAACTCAAGACGACAATGCGAAAGAGTGGAGATCTTGGGAAAGGGTGGAATGATGGAATCCATGAAACTACGTATGTAACATTTAACCAGTAAATAGAGGTGATACGATTGATATCAAATTTAGCAATCAAAATCATGATCATTATAAAAACCATGAGTATTTTTTTTTTGACCCAACAATGACATCGCAATGATAACTCTCTTTAATTAATCAAATGCGTAATTTTCATGCATTTTCTACATCAACTTGTTATTAAACTTATAACTTACAAACAAAGAAAAATGAAATTCTAAGTTCTCTAAAAAAAAAAAAAAAAATGAAATTCTCATACTAAATGATCCATGAACCAAAGAACTTCCCACACTAAATGATATTTTACTAGATAACCACTTGTTCATTTAGTGTAGTGAAATGGGCCTGTAACATGATTGTTAAACAAGCATTGCCATATATATACGGGATCAAATAAACACAAAAGTTGGGTTTAGCTTAGGTTAATTAATACAGCCAACGGATAACAAAAACTTTACCTAGATGGTAGCATTATATGTATTGTAAATTTGATCATATATATTCGCATATATTGCATTGATTTTTCATAATTCATTTTTCTTTCTGATTAAAATCGCTCGATTATAGCTGTCGAGACAATGGTGGGAAAGTATATTTTAACACCAATGTCTTTCCCACGTTTTAATCTGTATTGTTCACGTGAAATTTGGGAACAGAGATGCGAGTTGGGTGAGGGTTTCTTTTTTCTACGAGAAGTGAGTGATAGGTTTAATAATTGAAAATGGGACTCCATAAAAATGCATTCTCAATATATTGGTAGGAAAAGTTTGGTTTACTTGCCTCTTTTGCTGACCATGAAATCCACTTCCCATTGACTACATGCTTCTTTAATTTGTTTATACACATATATACGTACTGTACCTCTATACTTTATAAGACAAACAAAATGAAAAAAGAAAATGGTGTTAAAAAAAAGCATTCGTTTCGTTCCCGCTCTTTTCGGTGCACTCGATTCTTTTTCTTGGATAAAGACAAGAAATCGTGTTGTATCCCAAGAAAAACCGAAGAAGAAAACAAAAGACTTTTTAAAATCTTAGACTATTATGTGAGTGAGTTAGACCAAAGTCAGTAAACTACGATATTGGTCTTCCACCAAATACTTACGGCGAAAAAGAAGTGAAAACAAATTTTAGGCTAATATTATATTTAAAAAGTTACACCCACTTTAGATGATTTTAGTCTCGTTTCATGTAAATAGGTATAAGAATGATTTGCAAAGAGTCCTCAATAATAAATATATAATATTTATCAAACTTTTTCAGAACGTTTTGGGAATTTTCTTTTACCTAAAATTCTATTGTTGATTTATTCTACTGTTCACAAACTAAGAAAAGTATTCACCAACTATATAGATGATGAGAAATACCCTAAAATATGGTTATTTTTTGTATTTGTATTATTATAGTTATATATCTTATATCACTGATAAACAATTTTAAAGTGGGAGTGGCGTTAGTTGAGATAATGTTGCAAGATATGATACAATCATGTGCTACTATCATTTTTTCCCCTTTAAATTTAGTTTTTTAAGTTATTTGATGATAAATAATGAGAAAATTACATCTAATTTCTAATTACACACAAAGGCACTTCTCACTACTAGGTGACTTTGGCCAAAAAATGAGAGAAGCAAAATTCCACAGATACCCTTTCATTAAGTTTGCGTCCTTTTCCTCTTTTACAATTGAAGAAGGATTTTTACCATAAATGTCGCAGTAACTTTCTTCGATCTGAAACCTGATGAACTCGTCGGATTTAAGTTTGCCATATATCAGAGGAAGAAGACAATACAGAGATTAAGAATAACAGATATTTGATCTAGGAAAGATTTGTCTTTAAAACAAAGCTACTTTTGTCTTAGTCAAAGGAAGAAAACCATTGCGAAGCTAAGAAGAGGAGTTGATGGATCTGGAAAAATTTATGCTCCTATTATATGAATCTGAGTTTATTGACGATCTGGAAAAATTTCAGTTCGTTAAAGTTTTGGAGAAGATGAATCTGGATTAACTCATGCTTATGTCCACATATACATGTCCACACCGTTCGTGTACACGTCGTAATGCGTCCATTTGGACGTCTTTACTTAGATAATTGTTTTGAAATATGAATGGATATAGCATGACTCAAATCTCACCGTCGAATTGGTATGTTTAGGAAGTTTCGAGAGTCTTATATGATCAATGTCCATACAATATGTCTATACGATCAGGTTCAGATCAATGTCCATATGATCATCTCCTCGTATAAACTTTTAGATTACGACTTCATGGATAAATCAATCACCCACTTACTAATAAAAAAATGGGGTGAATATTCATGACCATCTCCTCATATCACGTGGATGGGTAACTCTGGACGGGGCTAGAGAAGTGATCGGTTTTCAACAACCAATTAGGAAGACCCATATCTTCTACCATAAAGTCTTGTATAGTTGTATGTGTACTGAGGATTCTGGACGGGTATGTATGTGTACTGAGGACTCTGGACGGGGTTGAATTTCGAGCAAAACAAGTAACATAAATTCTTCTTATACACCACTTTCACCCACATGCGTGCTCATGTGGACGGGTGAGTCTAGATATGGTGTATATCCATAACTATCTCCTCATATCCATGACAAAAAAACAGGGGTGTATATATTCATGACCATCTTCTCATGTCAATAAAAACTCACATGGACGGGTGACTTTGGACGGGGTTAGAAAGTGATCGGTTTTCAACAACCAACTAGGAAGACCCATATCTTCCACCATGAGGTCTTATTGTATTTTGAGATTTAGTTTCATGGATTAGCAACAGTGGATATGTAGCTCTCTACTGTTAATGACTCGCATAATACATGTAATTATGAGTTACTGAATTAAGAGATGGATGTTCATGCATTGTTGGGCAGACGTGTTTGACCCTTAGGTCGTAATAAAGGAAAAGTATTTTGTAGCTGTGTCATTGTTGGGTAGTACAGATTATATTGTCTTCTTGGTAAGGATACGGTGGATGCGTGCACATTCAGTTTAATGGCTGATTTAGATCGGTGGATGGATAACAAGCTTCTCAGCAACTCCTTCGGAATTGTCCATATCCCTACGCGCTTAACCAAGTTGATCCGTCTGTACACAAATAACTTCATCAGGATATTCCTCACATAAAGGATCGTGGACAACCTAAAAAAGGATGAGTATAGGTTCTTGCGAGAAAACATAAAAGATTGAGTATAGGTTATGTAATCTATTTCTTGTTCTCCTTCACATTCTCCCAAGAAATGATATGTCTGTGTACTGGGGACTCTGGACGGGTTGAATTTCGGGAAAAACAGGTAACATAATTTCTTCCTGTACGCCCACATGCGTGGTCACGTGGATGGGTGAGTTTGGACGGGGTGTATATCCATAACTATCTCTTCATATCCATGATCATCTCCCTATGTCACTAAAAACTCATATGGACGGGTGAGTCTGGACACGGATGTATATCTCAAAGCTAGGAAGGCCCAGATCTGAACTAAATCTCTCGCTTTCTGTAAGTAATTAGAAGACAACTTAGCAATGAATATTCAAATTGTTGATTTTCTACATATTTAACAACCTATCAATTTACAATTCTTCTGATAAAAAGAAGAGTGAGAGATTAGAATCACCTTCCATAGCTTTTTCTATATATCTGTTTTACACACAAATAGGCGACGGGGTTCCTGTAAAATAGCTATTCTTCATACAGAGAAACAACGGCAACCTAATTCGTCGGTAAGAGAAGCTTAAAACAAAAAATTGATACACAGTGTTACCGGGAGAGGAGCGGCAGAGAAATCATGGAGGTGTTTTTAGAGTTTTTTTGTTTGTCGTTAGAAGTTTTTCTGGAAAAAAGTTAAAATATGAAAGGAGGTGAAACAATGGAGATAAGTAATAAAAAGTAAAGTAAAACAAGTAGTTAACAAAGTTGTAATAAAAAAAAGAAGCAAGAATGTTTTGTCATTACAATACTCCAAAGTCACCTAAGAGCACAAAGTGCCTATAAGTGTAAAAAAAAAGACAAAAGTGCCTATAACTGTAAATCACTCATAAATTATTGAAATCTCGAAAGAAAGCTACATACCTGAAAAAGCTCGATCTGCTTTAAGGAGACTTACTTATTTATAAGTCCTTCACTCCTTTAAGTTAAATTCCATTGTCTTTCTCTCTATCTCTCACACATTTTTTTGAGAGAATCAAAATATCTCCTAAGCTTAATTTAGTAGAATTTATGGATAACCAAAGCAATGCTCTTCTTGGCTGGCCTTGCTACTCTCATGGAAAGGTAAATTTTGTTTTTTCTTTCTAAATTTTGAGTTTCCTCTGTTTCTTTAGTATGCAGTGAAAGGTTTTGGCTTTTGGTTTCATTTTCTTTCAATTTGTTGTTTTCTTGCTTAAATTGGCACAAAATGTCTGTCTAAAACAAGAAATCTTGAAGGTTTTGTTTTTCTTCTTCTTGGTCTATCTAATAAACCCCAAATCTAGAACTATTTTGCATAATGGTGGTCTTAATCTGTAACTAGATGACTCATTCCTTGATGGGTTTTAGGACTTTGTTAGTAACCAGAGCTAAAAAGAAAACATTTTGTTTACCCTCTCTCTGAATTTAAACATAATTACCGAATCTTGTTAAACATAATTAAAGAAAATATTTCTTTCTTACTTCTGCTGTTTTCTTTTACAGACAACAGAAGAATTAAGACACTCTCTTTTGTACACAACACTAGAGCTCGAACAAACAAAGATGTTTGCTCATGAGGAAATAAGGAAGAGAGATGAACAACTGATCCATCTCAAAGAAATCTTAACCAAAACCATCAAAGAAAGAGACGAAGCTCTCGAGAAATGTCAGCGTCTCATGTTCGATAACCTCTCGCATCAGCAGCAGCAAAAGCTTATGACCCCTCCTTTATCCGGAGCTTCAAGCATTGAATATGAAACATTGCAGCAACTAGGATCCAACAAGAGCTTCTCATCCTCGGATTGCGAAGAGAGCTTCATGTCACCCACTGATCATGTCATGAATCAACCACCATCTCATCTTGAAGAAGTCTCAAGAACAGAGATTATGGATCCATTGTTTCCAGACAAGCCATTGCCTGAAAAAGGTAAGCTCTTACAAGCTGTTATAAAGGCAGGGCCTCTGCTTCAGACACTGCTCTTAGCTGGACAATTACCTCAGTGGCGTTACCCTCCACCACCTCTGAAGACCTTTGAGATCCCTCCAGTCACTATTCAGTGCCCAATTGTCAACAATTCTGGGTGTGGGAAGTTCAACAGGAAGAGAGCATTTTCAGATGGGCAATATTCAGAGACTAAATATCAGAAAGTTCTTCTCCACTGATCTTTTATTTTTACTCAAGCTGTTAGTACTAACAGGTTAAGTTCAGGATTAATCTCACTTATGGTTCAAGTGAGAGTGATCTTCTGTATACTAGGGTTTTTAGTTATGGTCCATTGTGGAAGACAGAGTCTGATCCACCTTTAGAGTTAGAGTGATGGGAAAGAAAGAAAAAGAGAACTCCCCTAGTTTTACTAAGTGAGAGAGTTTGCTATTTGACTTCTTTCTCTGGAGATGCTTTGATGTTTTTTTTGTTTTCCCTCTTTTTTGGGTTTTGTATCTCAAACCCATTTTCACATTCATGTTTTGGCTCCATGATGTGAACTTGTTTTTTCTTCTTCTTGTGTAATGATTTTTCCCTCTACCATAAGTTGAGGTTGATATTATGTTAAATTAAAGCCTTTTTAGTGTTCATGTGATGTTCTGTTCCTATCTTCATAATGTAATTTGTTTTTATGTAGTACTTGAAATTTGGTTGTCATAGTAAATTGTGGGGGTGTGCTTGAATAAATTGTAACTTTGAGGTATTTTATTAAGTTTTTTTGTTACTTAGAGTGATGGGTGAAAGAAGTCTTTGAAAGTATGGCCCAACGGACCAAAAGGTCCAAAAAAACATTTCTCTGTCGGTTCGGGTGGGTCCCGAAGATCCAGAGCCGGATCTTCTTGTCCATGTAAACATGTTTTAAGGAACATCCAAATAGTTAGTCAGCGAGTAATTATGATCTGCTGTGTTGTGTAGATCTTATTTAGGGTTTTCTCCAACTGTATTTTCACGAGAATTTTTGGAAATAATTAAGATGTGAGTTCGGTGAGAGGTTTGTTTTTCTACGACTTGTCGTTGATGTCCCAGTTATAACCTAAGAATAGCAATTAAGATTTCCTAGACAACAAGAAACAAAAGTAGCTGGAGTCGTAGCTTCTACAAGCAAAGGGAAATGGGAAATTTGAGGAAACTTTCGAATCATTATCCCAATTTGGAACAATGTTTCACTTCAAACGAGCTATGTGCTTTTACAAAATTAAACAAGAAACAGAGGATTTATCCTTTTCCTTGGTTGCTTTAAACAGAGATGATGTCTATATTCCAAATTATCGTGCCAGAGCAGAGCATATCTTCCAGACTCAATGCAGGGACAGGCCAACTGCCTCAGTGAATTGGACATATTATGCATTTTGGAATTTGTGTGCTGATATTAATAAACCAGAAATGACTGGTACGATTGTTAACAAAGTACAAATGATCTTCCTTGGGAAATTCAGACACCAGAACCAGCTCCGGCTAAGGTAGTAATTGATTAACCGGTCGAACCAACAACCTGAGGCAATCCAGAGGAGCAAGAATGATCAGAGGAGCTTCTCTGCGTCTGTCTAGTGTTGTAGGAGCCACAGCTACTGCATTTATGCGCTATCAAATGAAACCGAACGTTTGTGTTCGAGCCACAGTCATTGCAAAGAATCCATACCTGATCCATCAAAACCATCATAATCCATACCAGAATGCATACACAAACACACACGCTCACAAATTCAATCTCGCTTACCATCTTGTTTTCGTACAGTTTTGGCATTGGATATGCAGCAACCTGCAAAAAAATTGAGTGTAAAAACTTAATAAACAAAGAGAGACTGTACAAAAGATTATCATTTTTATTATGAAGCCTCAAGCCTTACCTCTTCATCAAGTTTCTTCCACAAACTGGACATGTCACATATGGATTTGGAGCATACAGGGCATGTGTATCTACAACAAACCATCAAGAAAAGTTTCAATCTTTTGTTTAATCAGTAACTAACTTCCTACAGCGGTTGGATCAAAGATTTGAGAGTTTTGTTACCGGTTATGTAGCCCCATATCTTTTGTGCATTCTAAATGCATTGTGTGGCCACATGGCAAGACGGTTATATCTCTTGTGGAATCAAACAGATACTGTGAACAAATTAAAAAACCACAAATCAGGCACACCATTAAGTTTACATTTTAACAAAATTGGTGGATTTGATCATCTTTTACCTCAAAACAAACTGGACAATTGTGATGCATTGCACCTTCGACGCATCTGTGTTTGTCCTCCATAACTTTGGAGTAGCAACATCCTATGCAAATAAAACCAAAATAAGATCTCAAACCAAAGAAAGACATGAGCATGAAACGAGCAAATAAGGTTTTGTTCTCTTACGACATCTTTTGCAGTGGAAGAAGTTTTCTTCTCCTCCGGTCCTATTAAACCAACACATCAACAATTAGTTACCAAATCACAAGACTTTGTTGTTGAGTTACTAAGGCACAAATCACAAATTTCAGTTTGAAATTAGGTACCTGCAAATGCCACACTCATCGCAGTGATATTGCTTCTTGGAAAGCTGAAACAATCAAAATGAGTCTCATTGGTACAAATTCCGGTTACTGAAAAGTGGAGATAACTCAAACTAAAAAAGCTTACATCATCGTCGAAGAATTTGCATTTTGAGCAGAAGTACTTCCCCATACATACACCACAGTTGGAGCAGTTTTGTTGGACCTGAAGAACACAATCAGAGGTCAGCATCAAGAAATATGTTCACATTATCAAAATGTTGGAAGAAGTCAACATGTCGAGAAACTCACGTCTTGTTCTGTCTCACACAGCGAGCATACGACCTGATATCAAGACCAAAAATGTTACCACAGTGAACAAACCGAATCAAAATGTTCAGAATTTTAGCAGATACTGATGTTTGTAAAACCTTTGAAACTTCATGTCGAGGAAGATCATGTCTATGAAGCTGTTCGGTTTGAAGAGAATCCTGTTGAAACAAACAACACACGTTAGTTCTATGTAATCTTCACATTCTATAACCCAAACTTGTTTACAATTTGTTCCTTTTTGACTGATTTACAAAGTGGGTATCAAAATTTGAAAATTAGGTAGAATTTGGTTGGAAATGAAGTAAAAAGTAACATTTTTTTATCAAATGGAAGTGAAGAAAAGAATCAAAAGATAAAGATGATTCCTTTTAATAATAGTTTATACCTTAGCTTCGTTGTGGCAATGTCTGCAATCGAAAATTTCATCACAACATGGAGCTCTAATCTTGCATCGTCTTCTATAATGCGAGCACCTGAACAAAACACATGAATTAGATTGAATGAGAAACAAAAAATATCAAATTTTCACAAAAGATGGAAAATTTAGCTTCAATTCAATAACCCAGAAAATTAAAAAAAATGAAATCGATGAATGTTCTTTACCCGTAATGCCCAGATCCAATCTCCATTAGATTCGCAGATTCTTGAATTAGCTCATTTTCATGGAAACCCATCTCCATGTATACTTCCAAGTTTTGATTTTTTTTCCTACTTCAAATCAACTCCAATCGGTGACGACCAATAATTGAAAATTCCTCGAGAGTAACGAAAGATTAAGAAGAAAAATGAAACGTAATCTGGAATAATGCCTTGAGGTTTGGTAATCAGATTGAGGGGAAGTTGCAGAGATGAAAAGAAATCAGGTGGATATTTTTCTTATTTATATATATGAGATGAGGGAGATGATGACTCGACGACACGCCAGATTTTTAACTATGCCTAATCAACATATGCGATTTAAAAAGAAAGGAAAATTTCTAAACTATGGAAATTTGTTTTTTTATTTCGGTTTTGGAGGATATTTTAAATTTGTTGAAAATTCAAAATGATCTGCAAACTATACAAATTTCGAATTCGAGGGTGACCTATTTTTTTGTAGTACACACTAACTTCATATATAAAATCCGACATACGAAAAAAGATTAGTATTAAAAATCCTTTTTGGCATATGTAAACATTGAAAGTTAAAACCGATAATTTTGGGCTTACATGAGTAGAAGTCTAGAGATGTTAAACATTAATCTCGATTTTTTTCTATTGTATTCAAACTTTGTTTGCTCAAAATGTCATAGTAATCGTTTTATATGAATAAATCTATAGGCGGAAAAAAGTTCAAAATTTTAAGTTTTGTCTAAAAACCTATTTTTACTGAAATAAAAAGTATAAATGTGTACTTACTAACAATAACCATTTTATATACGCTATTAAGAAAAATTAGTGAAAACAATACAAATTAAAATTGAAAATAAATTGTATAGTGAACTAGCGTAGATCGACTTCCCTTTGAAGTCAGATAGATTCGCGTTTGGGCTTTGCTAAAAACCAAGCCATTCTTGTTTTGTTTTTGTTAACCAAGTCGTTCTTCATATTTCAGATATTGTGGGAAGAAAATAGTATGTTGACAAGAACAAATGTTATTAATTACAAGATAAATAAGAGTGTGTCATAATATATTATTGACATAGCAAACAGTCGGTGTTGGATTTGATTCAGTTGGCGCGCCATTTAAGAACCTGGTTTTGTTGTGTGTCAATGTCATATCCTGTCTTTTTAAAAGCAGAACAAGATAGGATTGGATAGGATCCTTTCTTTCGCTGACTCATATTATGGGTCCACTCTTTTAATATCCTCGCCACTGATGAGAAACACTATTACTCTAGATGATGTGCGCATAGTGACCTAAATATCTTTTATTCAAAAAACTCACACGCACACACACGTCTGGAATCTCCACAGTGAACACTGTCATCCACGGACGGAACATAAGTGATAAGATCACAAGACTGTAAGGTCTAAACATGATGCGCTATCTTGTAGCTACTAGGCTCTATTACATTCGAGGATTAAAGAGGAGAGAAAACTTAAAATAGGTTTTGAAGACCTTCGCTTTCTTTGAATCCGATTCGAACATCACTCACATAGTCATATCTCTATATTCAAGATCCAAGATATGCCTATATTAACAGAGGGTCCAACCAATTTATATTAAAAAAAATTATTGATGAAAAACAAAGTTTAAAAACAACATTAGACATAAATTTATTTAAACATCGATTTCATCCTAGTTTCATCTTAAATTTTTTTTTTTGGTTCAAGCTAGGACCCTAAAAATAACTAAGAACCGGTTTAAAATCGGTATATACAACACCAACTTTAACATAACCGGGTTGGTAGAATCCCATTACAATTCTTATACATTGTGTGGTTAGCCGCATATTGAGAATAGGACCACAATATCTCTCGCATCGCATCTTATCTGCATCGTTGGATCTACTAACAACGTCTTCTTTCTATTTTGGGGTCAATGATTGATAATAATATTATTGCGTAAAAAAAGCGGAACATTTACAGATAATTATTTTGGAATGATCTTATTCAATTATATAGTTATATATATAGTTTTTTTTTGTTCAGTATGTTTCGCGTACCGCTGATATGTGTACGTGTGCATTTGTCGACAAGTACAGCTCAAACGAAAGAAAAACGTTTGGTCAAAGAATGGCGCTAAACTGTTGAGAGTCAACAACTACTTTTCAAACAGGCAGTTACGTTGTTGAATTTTTTTTTTTCTGTTCGAAACAAAAGACAAATAGAGAAACTAAACCTCCTTAGCGGGGAAATAAAACCCAAAATTTATCTGAACACATTTTACAAAAAAAAATCTCCGTCATTTTACTTTATCACCATCGTCATGACCGATTATTCAGCGCATATTAGCGAAGACAAAGTTTGTTACGGTGCCGCATTTTTCAACATCTCTTCTCACGGAATCTTGGAAAGCTATGAAACTCCGAGTGTCATCTTCGGATACGCATTGCCTCTTCTTGAGATGCAAATCCTTCTCATCTTCGTTTTAGTCGAATTGTCCCAAATTTTCCTTAAAATTATTGGCATACCACAGTTCATATCTTACATGCTCGTAAGTAAAAACCCTACCAACTCGTTTTCTTGGTTCACAAGTAACAAGCTCGTAAGTTACTTGTTTTCTCGCAACGTAAGTAACGAGTCCTTGTTTATGTTTTTTTTACTAGGCCGGATTACTTCTGGGACCTCACCTGCTTGATTTACTGGAGTTTTCTTCCGACCGGTTATCGTTAGATGCTGCGTTGGACGGAAACGTGGCGTTGGAATGTGTGGCCAAGTTCGGGCTCATAATGTTCACGTTCTTGATGGGCGTCAAGACCAACAAAAGAGCGGCGTTTCAAATCAATAAACGGACGGTTACCATCGCGGTTTCGTCTTTTGTCGTGACAATGGTCAGCGGAGTATCCTTCAGAAATTTCCGTCTAGACAAGATCGATCCTCTCTATATGCCTCTGAGGCTGGCCCCAACAGAACGCACCGTGATTGCAGCGGTTCAAGCGTTAACGCTGCTACCGGTCGTGACGCACCTCGTATATGAGCTCAAGATTCCAAACTCGGAGCTCGGCCGCCTCGCCATATCTATCGCCTCCATCAATGATCTCCTCGGATTTATCAATCTGGCGTGCGTCTCCTACATAGGAACATACAGGTATGCATGACGTCGTTTTAATTGGTGCAATCGCATACATAAATAGTTTAATACATACCACTTGGTTATATGACATGGTTACGAGAACTTAGAAGTATACAAATTAAAATTCGTTTTCTAAAATTTGAAACACTGGAAAAAAAAAATCCGAATCTTAGGCAGTCAAAACAACATAAATGCTCTGGTTTGATAAATTGGCTAAAAAAGTGGTCTAACAAATTTTTCTTTTTTTTTGTTTGTTGTTTGAGAAAGAGTCAACAAAAAGTTATCCATTTATGTTTAACATTTAGATGACAGATTAATCGGTCTAGATGATCACATCATCACATGATATGTATTTAGAAAGAGTTAAAAATTTATATGAAAAGGCTATATACACTTAAATGACAGACGACACGCTAGTGCCAGATTAGTATATAACGACTATTTGAACATTTGTTATAATAGTTCTGATGAAACAAACGGTCATGCAGGTACGTATCACCTGCAACAGCCAACCGCGACGCAGTGGCAATGATCATCTTAGTTCTAGTGACCCTATTCATCATAAAGCCTACGGCTCAACGGATAGTCGACATTACTCCGGAAGGCAAGCCTGTACGTAAACTCTACTTGTACGGAACAATCATGACCGCAATCGCCGCGAGCATGTACACATCGTATTTCAACCAAATCAACGTTGTAGGAGCTTTATTGGTTGGGATGGCGATCCCCGATGGTCCGCCTTTGGGATCAGCGTTAGAGGCCAAGTTCGAAAGATTGGTTACTAATCTATATTTCCCCGTTTCAGTCGCGGTCATAACCATGAAAGGTGACGTTATGAAGGCATTGTATGCGTTCGATGACATATCCGTTAATATATTCCTGGTTTTTTTTACATTTGTCGTGAAATGGACTGCCTCTTTCGTACCTTGCTTGATCTTCAAGATACCTACTAGAGAATCCATTATCCTCGCCCTTATCATGAACTACAAGGGTTTTGTTGACTTATGCTTCTTCGAAGGCGCTGTTAAGAAAGGGGTAATAAACTTTTATCAGAACCCTGACTCACTCTACATGTATCTTAATTTACCATCATATATAATTTCTGATTAATGGGTGAATGTTTTTTTTTTTTTTTTTTTTATACAGAATCTGTCGCGTGCAACGAACACGTTCTTGATGATTTACGTGCTATTGAACGCGGGGATTTTGCCTACTATAGTGAAAGCACTATACGATCCAAAGAGGAAGTATATTGGATACGTCAAGAGAGACATTATGCATCTGAAATCAAACTCAGATCTCAAGATTCTAACTTGTTTGCACAAACCGGACAACATCTCAGGCGCGATATCTCTTCTTCAGTTGCTTACTTCGCCGCAGAACAACGAGGACAAAGAGAGAGGAGTCATCGCGGTCACAGCGTTACACCTCGTGAAACTGGCCGGACGTGCGTTTCCCATCTTAATACCGCACGACAAGCGGTCTAAACCGCGGTTGCTTCAAAACTCTTACATCCAAACAATGATGCTCGCTTTCAGCGAGTTTCAACAAGACAATTCGGGATCTACGACTGTTAGTTCCTTCACAGCTTACTCTATTGAACATCTAATGGATCAAGACATTTGCAATCTCGCTTTAGACCAGCTCACATCGTTGATCATCATCCCTTCTGGACGAAAATGGTCACCCGATGGAATATATGAATCGGATGATATTATGATCAGACGTCTCAACGCTTCTCTCCTCGACATCGCTCCCTGTTCTATCGGCGTACTCAATGACCGAGGCTACCGTAACATGAAGAACAAGAAAAGGACTAATGGTACCATTAGCGTCGGTGTGATCTTCATTGGCGGTAAAGATGATCGCGAGGCCATCTCGCTTGCCAAATGGATGAGACAGAACCCGAGAGTGCGTCTCACGGTGGTCCGGTTTTTGTCTGGTAAAGAACCAGACAAGTCCAAGAATTGGGATCACCTTGTTGATAACGAGGTCTTGAATGATTTGAAAGAGACATATTCCAACGCCGAAAACTTCGCCTATAGGGAGAAGATAGTCTACGGTGGTCCCGCGGTGGCCACCACCGTCAAGTTGACGGCGGAAGACTTTGATTTGATGATTGTAGGGAGAGATCACGACGATGATTCACTGGATTTCTCGGGATTGGCGGAGTGGATGGAGCTTCCGGAGTTAGGAGTCATCGGAGATTTACTTGCGTCTAAAGATCTAATAACTAGGGTTTCTGTTTTAGTAGTTCAACAACAGCAACAACATGCATGAGTGTAACTCAATATCTCAGCCAAAAAAAATGAAATTAAATTGTATTCACATTGTAGATTATAATGACATACTCCTTGGCTGAGTTGAGCTGGAAGTTGGAAGTTCACAAGTTTTCAAATGGGATCATTGCAAAAGTATACCCCATGTTTTGGTCAAATGCAAAAGTATACCCCTGTAATACTTACACCCATCTTACTCTATATTATCCTTACCCTCTCAACATATCTACAGAAATGTCATCAGCTTTTATAATTTTTCGATTTATTTCGAAAACAATAATGTCCAAAACAACCTCATCTCCTACACTTATTCACCAAAATGCCATCCAATTCAGTTCATCCAACTACCATTTTCAACCATATTGAAGCTTTCAATGCTTCTTCTCCCCATTTACACCACCGAAATCTCACTCTATTCTCTTCTAACCTTCTTCTCTCACTTATTTTCTTCATTTTCATCACAAAAACTCGAAAATGCATCTCTTCCACATCCAACTTCTTCTATGATGCCTTTTCCGGTCACCAAGCTCACGGAAACGGCTGGGTTTCTCTATTAAAGGTTTAAATCGACGCAATCCGCCGTCCACTACACCAAACAGCTATTCAAGGTGATTTTTCGTTCGATTTTCGTGAATTTCAAACCTTCGGCGCGAGGTAGACTTCAATTTGAAGTCTACGTTTTCGAAAAATTCGGAAGATTGACGTGTAGACTTCATATTGAAGTCAACTTTGACGTGTATACTTCTGTATGAAGTCTACTGCTACGAAATGAAGTCTACCGGTCAACGAATGAATAGTACCACGGATGGTGTCATGCAATATGAAGTCCTAATAAGGGAGTAGACTTTATATTGAAGTCAACTTTTGCTAGTAGACTTCAATATGAAGTCTACTTTACGTGGAGACTTCATTGTGAAGTCTACTTATGGTAGTAGACTTCAATATGAAGTCTAATTCAAAAAGTCGTGATTTGGTCAATTGCAAAAGTATACCCCTGTATGTGTAGACTTCCAATGTAGACTTCGTAAAAAAGTCGTGATTTGGTCAATTGCATTTGGTGTACCCCTTGGTAGACTTCTCATTGATAGCTACATGTAGAGGGCACGATGAAGTCTACATTGTGACTGAAAATGAAATTCTATTTTTGTGCGTTATGACATTAAAATTTTTAAGATTTTCTTTGGCAATAAGCTGTAGTAGTATGTTTACTTGCCTGTGTATCATTTTGACGTGCTTAATCATTATATTTTGAAGTAAATCGTTGTTTTCAATTTTGTTGGACAGTAGGTATAATAAAGTATACTTCACTCTGATGTTTACCGTTACACTTCACTATGAAGTCTACTTTGTGTATGTTTTTTTAATTCGATATTTGAGCATTATGACCTACTAATTTTCAAGATTTTCTTTGACAATGAGTTGTTTTAATCTGTTTAATTTCCTGTGTATCATTTTGGCGTGCTTAATCATTATATGTTTCAGAAAATCAAAGTTCTTAGCTTTTTTGGGCAGTAGCTGATAATGTTGTAGACTTCATCATGAAGTCTACTTACTCTATTACCCCACTAATATTTACTTCTTCTTTCTCTTATATTTGCAGAAGATGGTGTACATAGCTGCTGTTTATGGAAAATGGGATAGGAGAGACAAAGGGACCTGGTTCTTTGAGGTGGATGACGACAAGGGAGGAAGACTTTTCTCACTGAGAGATGGTTGTACATATGTCGAGCTCGTTGACATGGCGAAAGATGATTATGGGGTTGATAAGAATGCTGAGCTTTTACAGATAGGATACCCACTTCCAGACATTATGCTCCAGCAGCTGCCCATTGATTCTCCTCCTACGTTTGTAACGACTGATAGGCAAGTTCAAAGTCTGATTGAGCTTAGTAGAACGTACGTACTACGCCTCTGTGTTTCGAGCCAGCAAAGGAATCATATGAAAGACGATGTACCTGTTGCTGATAATGTAGAACATGATAGTGAGTGGGGTTTGTCTTCCGATGATGAGGACTGGGATGTACATTCACACGAAGATAATGAGGCGGAAGAGGAATGGGAAGATGATCCAATTCCACCAAATCCACCAACAGATTGGAGTAAGGGGGATATTGATGAAACAGAAGCTGATTACAGTGTGTATGGGAGAGTCGTAGACGAAGAGGTGCGTGAGAAAAAGGTTCCTCTCGACGATATCCGGCTTAAAGGGCGTTGCTATAATGAAGGAGGTCGTTTTGATAAGCATAAGGACGCCGTCATTATCGTTGGACAGCGTTTTGGAGACAAAGAAGAACTTCTTTGCATGTTGCGATTGATGGCTCTGGTTCACAGATTCTCTTTCCATGTCTTCAAGTCTACTCCAGAACTATTTGTTGCCATTTGCAACGTCCAAGGTTGTGCCTGGCGAGTCAGGGCGGCTGTGAAGAACGAACCAACCGCGTTTTGGGTCACAAAGTACGTAGACACTCATACTTGTTCCGTTGTAGACCGTATAGCTCACCGTAGGAGCTGTACAGCAAAATATATCGGAGCTTTATTCATGGAGAGGGTTGGCATTATTGAGGGAATAGTGCCTCAACACATTGCTATATCTATGAAAGTGATGTTTGGTTTGAAACTCAGTTATACCTCGTCATATAGGGCTTTGAAAGCTGCTCAAGAATACGTTCGAGGGACAGCGGAAGAGGGATATGCGAACTTGGCTTCATATTTGCAAAGAATCAAAGAAGCAAACCCAGGAACTATTACTGACCTTGTGCGAGATGGGATGGATCGATTCATGTACTGTTTCGTATCGTTTAGAGCTTCAATAGTAGGTTTTCAGTACGTAAGGCGAGTGATTGTTGTTGATGGTACACATCTGACTGGGAAGTATGGTGGAGTTCTTCTTGTCGCAGCTGGTCAGGATGGCAACTTCCAAGTCTTCCCCTTGGCTGTTGCTGTTGTAGATGCAGAGAATAATGAGTCTTGGGGGTGGTTTTTCAACAAGTTGAAAAGTTGCTTCACTGAGGATTTCCCACTGGTCATAGTCTCTGATAGACACCCAGCTATCGCCAATGCAATTGAAAGTGTCCTGCCATGGGCAACAAGAGGTATATGCTACTATCATATGCAAAATAACATAATTGGAACTTACCACGCGAAAGAAATCATGTATATGGTCAAAGGTGCTGCATATGCGCACACGGTGGACACTTACAACTGGTATATGGATCAAATACGAGCTGCAAAACCGGCGCTTGCAACGTACTTGGAGGGAGCCGATCCGAGCTTGTGGTCACGAGTTCACTGCCCAGGAGAAAGATACAACCTAAAGACTAGCAATATCGCGGAGTCGATTAACGCCATGGTGAAGAAAGCCAAAGATTTTCCAATACCTTTTCTCTTAGAGTTTATCAGAGAGAGGTTGAGCCACTGGTTCCTCAAGAGGCGTGAAAATGCTCTAGGTCTCACCACCGATCATAGCAAAGGAGTTGAATACTTGTTGTCTATTCGTGAGTACTATGCAGGTTTTATGGACGTGGAGCGCATAGATGATTGGCATTTCCAAGTGAAGTCTACATCAGGATACTATAACGTCGATCTTGAGCTCCGAACGTGCTCTTGTGGTGTGTTTGATATTGAAAAGATACCATGTTCGCACGTCATTGCTGCAATTACAATGGCTGGATTGTCAGTCTCCGATTATGTGAGTCCGGCTTACAAGAGGAACACCTGTCACTCAACGTACGCGCATCCACTTTTTCCTCCTCCTTCCAGATTCTCCTCCGTGAAGAAGGAACGTTGCCGTCCTCCTAAAGAAAAACCCACTCCTGGTAGGAAAAAGAAATCTAGGTGGCAAAGCTGGTTAGAAATGGCAAGAAAGAGGAAGCATAAACCGAGGAAGATGCCAAAAGCGTACACATGCTCTAAGTGTAGATTACCAGGTCATACTCGTCCAAAATGCGTAAGTGAAACCACTTCTCTATTCATCCTGGTACATAAATTTTCAAAAAACTTATAGTAACGGTCCAAATCGTATATTTTTCCGGTTGAAGACTGCTGACGACTGAAGTCTACAACCGACGTCAACGGATGATGTTATCGTACTATATCCATTGATTTTTTTCGTTTAACTGTTAAGTGGCTATTACTATCTATGCTTGGAACACCGTTTATGTTTGTGGATTTTATTTAAAATACACTATAATACATTAACTGCTAATGACGTCCACAATCGAAGTCTATAGATTCGAATTTAAAATACAATCTAATACATTAACTGGTTCTGACCACGTCTTACATATTATAACTAGTAGACGTCATACCGATATCTACAATAGAAGTTTACAAAATAAGTCTACCGCTATATACAGTAGAAGTTTACACCGATGCCAATGATAGGTTATGCCAAAAAATATACCGCGTAACCCTTTCAACGGATCCCAAAAAAGTCTAATACAAACGTCCTCGCCTCCTAAACCCTCCCTAAACCACTGGCTGGCATTAATCCAACTCGGACCAGTCTCGCTCCTTTGGTCCCCGGACCCCTGTCTCCTCGAATAGGTCATATGCAAGCCTCAGCCTAAGGCTTGGTATGTTCTTATGGCACAAGGTCTGAGGAAACTCAATACCAAGGGCGTGACACTCGATAAACTTTAGTGTGAACACTCCACAGTCACTGCCATTAGCCTGCTGTGGCACGGAAGCTTGGTCGATAGGACGGTCGTAGGTGAACGGTTCGAGAGTCCACTCGTACTTTTTGTCTTCATCCGCCAACTGCCTCATCAGATATGGAAACATCACTGTCACAGGTTCTATTAGAGAAGCCAAAAGACCCGGCTTCACGTGACTAGGTTTACTATCGTATATGGTGATGTGCCTCTTTGGCAAGGAAACGAATAGAGCAACCCAATGGTCACCATTCAGGTTGAAAGGTATGTACAATTCATCGATGTCGACGCCCCAGATCTTGTTTGTCGGTCGAGGCTCTGGTAAGACACCTTTGTAGTAATCGTACGATAGCGTTGGCAGTGGTCTTCCTTCACCAAGTTCGTTGGGCTCTATCATCTTGAATTCGTCGTACTTCGCCGTCCAATATTGCCCAAATGTGGTGTCAACCAAACAAAACCTGTCACTTCTAAACCATTCGGGGTGATCCAACAATCGTGTCCTCAGCAAGTAGACAGCAGCGTTCATGTGCTGCGTTTTTAACCAAAAATTATTAGTAACGAAATCTACATAGGAAGTCTACGTACGAAATAAACATATGTGCACAACGAACATCTAAAACACTCACTTAACCCATTCTATGGAAATGAACATGAATATTTCATAAAATTATATTATTCTCACCGTGTCAATGAGCCACTCGTTCTGATTTAGGAGGTCATACCACCAAAAGCGTAGTGGATAGTCATGAACGGTCTTAATGGTCTTCTTTTTTCCTAGTCCACTGAGAACCAAAGAATTGGTAGTTAGTTACTATGTTTCGGTAAAATAAATCATGCGAAGTATACATTTGAAGAATAAAGGTGAAATGAACTTACGGACAACTCTTGTAATGATCCAAGACGACCTCCTTCATCTGCTTATCCGCCTTCCGAAAGGGATCATAACCACGACCTCTAGGTTCTTTGTTACTGAACATTCGCTTGACCGTGCTGCTGCCCACATATATACCATTTTGCGTCTGTGCAAGTGTCCTCAGTCTTTCTGTCTTTCTTGCCTTCGCGTCAATAACCTTTGCGGTGTCCTTCGGTTGCCTTCTTTTGAGGTCAGCAATCTTCTCTTCCTTGGTGGGGAAGTATTCTCTCAGAAGCTCGCAACTCTCTTCCTCAGGAGTCTCACTCTCACTCTCAGAGGACGCAACTGTTTTGTTCTACACCGAGTGATAGAGAATAGCAAAGTTAGACTGCTTATTAAATGTGTGTGTGTCCCAAATGGATTGAAAAAAATGTTTTGAGTAAAGTGTAGGCGGATGACATGAAATCTACAACCAAAGTTATTTGAAAAATAACAAACAAACAGTAAAGGCAGATTGGTGGAAGTGATGTCTTCAAGACTACTTCCGCTTGGTCTTAGTACTTTTACTCTTCTTACTGGGAGGGAGTTTAGGATTCTCAAGCTTATCAGATTCATCCATTGTTTGTTTTGCAGCAATACGAGCAGAGAATTTGCGAGAGTTATCTGTACTAACCGGGCCAGCAGGATTGTTATTGTCAGGCTCCTTCGCAGCGTTCGACGTGTCATGCTCCTTTGCAGCTTCGGACTCGTCGGGAAGCTTCCCGTCTGGAGAAAACGCAGGACCATTGTCGGGCTTAACACGGTCCTTCGCTTCTCTCTCCTCCTCCGACATGACAATTTGAAGCTTCTCGATGGTCGACTCCATACAACTAATTTTGCTTGTAAGGACCTCAACCTTCTCATCAAGTCTATCGAAACGAGACCGATCTCACCTGTCTGCTGCTTACTGAACTGTTCAAACATTGCAGCCACAGTGGACTGGAATGTATCCCAACTAGCTCCCGAGGTATGTCCATCGATCCCGTAGGCAGGGCATGGTCTCTTTGACGGCCCTAGACCCGAATCCAGATGCCTCTTCTTGTCAATTCCTTCTCTTCCTTCACCTTATCCAAGACGATTACTCCTTCGGATATCCAGTCGGAAGGCTTCCATCTCCAGGTCCCTCCGAGCTCTCCGTAAAAAGCCTTCATCACATTCTCGATGTGTTCATCGTCGACGTCGTTGTCCCACCTAGGGTAAGCATTATCCCTGTCCACCATGATCATATGGTTGAAATTAACCTGCATGTAATATGTTTCATTCAGTCATTGTACAAGTATTGACACACATATTGGATTGATAAACGTCACTTACCTGCGCAAGAAGAGTCTGCATTATATTTTTGCGCCCTTTCATTCCTTTGAAGGCCATCATAGTCGGAGATACCCTACCCACTACAGGCTCACCGAAGTCCTGACCGAAGCTAGGCATTGCGTAGTACGACCACACTTGTAGCACTTCGACAAACCTGTTAATGTAGTAGTGTTTGGTGAGGTTGGCAGATTTTACAGATTCAATGAGATTCAAGAAAGCTACTCTCCCCCAAGGATAACCTTCAAACTCTTCAAGATCCATTACTAGCTTTGCCATCTCGACCGGTGTGGCAATAGTTTGCCTCTCGCCAACAATGAAACCAGCATAGACGGCTAAATAAGCCAGCCTCTTTCTGTCCTCTTTCGACCAGTCTTGGGCCCACCCACATGCTCGGGTGAGGTTATCAACTGAAGGCCCAAACTTGGTATGAACACCAAGTTTCTCCCAAAACTCAGAAAATTCATTCTCATCTATGTCCGCAGTCAGAGGTGCCTTGAGATTCTCTCTGTATTCGCAGTTAAGACCGGTAATGTGTTCAAACTCGTGCAACGAAAACCTTACAGGATTTGAGCCAACCACACTCCAAATCTCGAAGGGCTTCTTGCACACTATTTGCATATTGAGCATACACTTCACAATCATTGAAGCCCATGAGAATTTGCTGTTCACGAATCTGAAGAATACCCCGAGCGGAGATTCCTCGAGCTCAGCCCATTCATCATCGGTCAAGAGTGTGGTGAGAGCTGCGAACAACTTCGTGTTGTTGCTGTAATACCCGATGCTTTTGTCGCTTTCAGGATCTGAACCTTTGGTGAAAAACCTCCTAGGAAATGTAGGCTTTTCCATCCTGATGCAATAGCAAGAAACGAAAAGATCACTATTACTAGTATATAACAAATTGAAGTATAACTTTAAAGTTTACAGTATAAGTCAACATCGGATGTCGAACTATGAAGTCTACATACGAAGTCTAAATACGAAGTCCAAATATGAAGTCTACATACGAAGACATAATACGAAGTCTACATACCAAGCCTTAATACGAAGTCTATCACCAAACCCTAATATACGGCGAACGACAAACAACATTAATCGAAAGATTGGGTAGTTTACTGACCCTAGTTTACCGCTATACTCGGTACCACGCCGGGGTATGGTGAAGATGATGGAGGAAGTATGGCAACGACGATATGCTGAAGTACATCAACGACAATGGAGTATAGGTGGCGGAGGATATCAAGACGAAGGCTAATTCGTTAGTACGGTGAAGTGGAACACTGGAATCTGCAAAAGTTGATACAAGAGGGAAATAGCTTACGGTCGTTACTAGCGGGACGGGAGATGAGAGATGAACTTGGAGATTTTTACAGCAGCGACGATTATACGAATTATCCACAGGCGGCGGAGATATAAGTGAGAGGAAATCGCCGGCGGCGTTCGAAACGTCGGAAATCGCCCTTTCGTGACAAATTTTAACTTTCGTTTGGGAAAAATGAAANAAAAGGTTCCTCTCGACGATATCCGGCTTAAAGGGCGTTGCTATAATGAAGGAGGTCGTTTTGATAAGCATAAGGACGCCGTCATTATCGTTGGACAGCGTTTTGGAGACAAAGAAGAACTTCTTTGCATGTTGCGATTGATGGCTCTGGTTCACAGATTCTCTTTCCATGTCTTCAAGTCTACTCCAGAACTATTTGTTGCCATTTGCAACGTCCAAGGTTGTGCCTGGCGAGTCAGGGCGGCTGTGAAGAACGAACCAACCGCGTTTTGGGTCACAAAGTACGTAGACACTCATACTTGTTCCGTTGTAGACCGTATAGCTCACCGTAGGAGCTGTACAGCAAAATATATCGGAGCTTTATTCATGGAGAGGGTTGGCATTATTGAGGGAATAGTGCCTCAACACATTGCTATATCTATGAAAGTGATGTTTGGTTTGAAACTCAGTTATACCTCGTCATATAGGGCTTTGAAAGCTGCTCAAGAATACGTTCGAGGGACAGCGGAAGAGGGATATGCGAACTTGGCTTCATATTTGCAAAGAATCAAAGAAGCAAACCCAGGAACTATTACTGACCTTGTGCGAGATGGGATGGATCGATTCATGTACTGTTTCGTATCGTTTAGAGCTTCAATAGTAGGTTTTCAGTACGTAAGGCGAGTGATTGTTGTTGATGGTACACATCTGACTGGGAAGTATGGTGGAGTTCTTCTTGTCGCAGCTGGTCAGGATGGCAACTTCCAAGTCTTCCCCTTGGCTGTTGCTGTTGTAGATGCAGAGAATAATGAGTCTTGGGGGTGGTTTTTCAACAAGTTGAAAAGTTGCTTCACTGAGGATTTCCCACTGGTCATAGTCTCTGATAGACACCCAGCTATCGCCAATGCAATTGAAAGTGTCCTGCCATGGGCAACAAGAGGTATATGCTACTATCATATGCAAAATAACATAATTGGAACTTACCACGCGAAAGAAATCATGTATATGGTCAAAGGTGCTGCATATGCGCACACGGTGGACACTTACAACTGGTATATGGATCAAATACGAGCTGCAAAACCGGCGCTTGCAACGTACTTGGAGGGAGCCGATCCGAGCTTGTGGTCACGAGTTCACTGCCCAGGAGAAAGATACAACCTAAAGACTAGCAATATCGCGGAGTCGATTAACGCCATGGTGAAGAAAGCCAAAGATTTTCCAATACCTTTTCTCTTAGAGTTTATCAGAGAGAGGTTGAGCCACTGGTTCCTCAAGAGGCGTGAAAATGCTCTAGGTCTCACCACCGATCATAGCAAAGGAGTTGAATACTTGTTGTCTATTCGTGAGTACTATGCAGGTTTTATGGACGTGGAGCGCATAGATGATTGGCATTTCCAAGTTAAGTCTACATCAGGATACTATAACGTCGATCTTGAGCTCCGAACGTGCTCTTGTGGTGTGTTTGATATTGAAAAGATACCATGTTCGCACGTCATTGCTGCAATTACAATGGCTGGATTGTCAGTCTCCGATTATGTGAGTCCGGCTTACAAGAGGAACACCTGTCACTCAACGTACGCGCATCCACTTTTTCCTCCTCCTTCCAGATTCTCCTCCGTGAAGAAGGAACGTTGCCGTCCTCCTAAAGAAAAACCCACTCCTGGTAGGAAAAAGAAATCTAGGTGGCAAAGCTGGTTAGAAATGGCAAGAAAGAGGAAGCATAAACCGAGGAAGATGCCAAAAGCGTACACATGCTCTAAGTGTAGATTACCAGGTCATACTCGTCCAAAATGCGTAAGTGAAACCACTTCTCTATTCATCCTGGTACATAAATTTTCAAAAAACTTATAGTAACGGTCCAAATCGTATATTTTTCCGGTTGAAGACTGCTGACGACTGAAGTCTACAACCGACGTCAACGGATGATGTTATCGTACTATATCCATTGATTTTTTTCGTTTAACTGTTAAGTGGCTATTACTATCTATGCTTGGAACACCGTTTATGTTTGTGGATTTTATTTAAAATACACTATAATACATTAACTGCTAATGACGTCCACAATCGAAGTCTATAGATTCGAATTTAAAATACAATCTAATACATTAACTGGTTCTGACCACGTCTTACATATTATAACTAGTAGACGTCATACCGATATCTACAATAGAAGTTTACAAAATAAGTCTACCGCTATATACAGTAGAAGTTTACACCGATGCCAATGATAGGTTATGCCAAAAAATATACCGCGTAACCCTTTCAACGGATCCCAAAAAAGTCTAATACAAACGTCCTCGCCTCCTAAACCCTCCCTAAACCACTGGCTGGCATTAATCCAACTCGGACCAGTCTCGCTCCTTTGGTCCCCGGACCCCTGTCTCCTCGAATAGGTCATATGCAAGCCTCAGCCTAAGGCTTGGTATGTTCTTATGGCACAAGGTCTGAGGAAACTCAATACCAAGGGCGTGACACTCGATAAACTTTAGTGTGAACACTCCACAGTCACTGCCATTAGCCTGCTGTGGCACGGAAGCTTGGTCGATAGGACGGTCGTAGGTGAACGGTTCGAGAGTCCACTCGTACTTTTTGTCTTCATCCGCCAACTGCCTCATCAGATATGGAAACATCACTGTCACAGGTTCTATTAGAGAAGCCAAAAGACCCGGCTTCACGTGACTAGGTTTACTATCGTATATGGTGATGTGCCTCTTTGGCAAGGAAACGAATAGAGCAACCCAATGGTCACCATTCAGGTTGAAAGGTATGTACAATTCATCGATGTCGACGCCCCAGATCTTGTTTGTCGGTCGAGGCTCTGGTAAGACACCTTTGTAGTAATCGTACGATAGCGTTGGCAGTGGTCTTCCTTCACCAAGTTCGTTGGGCTCTATCATCTTGAATTCGTCGTACTTCGCCGTCCAATATTGCCCAAATGTGGTGTCAACCAAACAAAACCTGTCACTTCTAAACCATTCGGGGTGATCCAACAATCGTGTCCTCAGCAAGTAGACAGCAGCGTTCATGTGCTGCGTTTTTAACCAAAAATTATTAGTAACGAAATCTACATAGGAAGTCTACGTACGAAATAAACATATGTGCACAACGAACATCTAAAACACTCACTTAACCCATTCTATGGAAATGAACATGAATATTTCATAAAATTATATTATTCTCACCGTGTCAATGAGCCACTCGTTCTGATTTAGGAGGTCATACCACCAAAAGCGTAGTGGATAGTCATGAACGGTCTTAATGGTCTTCTTTTTTCCTAGTCCACTGAGAACCAAAGAATTGGTAGTTAGTTACTATGTTTCGGTAAAATAAATCATGCGAAGTATACATTTGAAGAATAAAGGTGAAATGAACTTACGGACAACTCTTGTAATGATCCAAGACGACCTCCTTCATCTGCTTATCCGCCTTCCGAAAGGGATCATAACCACGACCTCTAGGTTCTTTGTTACTGAACATTCGCTTGACCGTGCTGCTGCCCACATATATACCATTTTGCGTCTGTGCAAGTGTCCTCAGTCTTTCTGTCTTTCTTGCCTTCGCGTCAATAACCTTTGCGGTGTCCTTCGGTTGCCTTCTTTTGAGGTCAGCAATCTTCTCTTCCTTGGTGGGGAAGTATTCTCTCAGAAGCTCGCAACTCTCTTCCTCAGGAGTCTCACTCTCACTCTCAGAGGACGCAACTGTTTTGTTCTACACCGAGTGATAGAGAATAGCAAAGTTAGACTGCTTATTAAATGTGTGTGTGTCCCAAATGGATTGAAAAAAATGTTTTGAGTAAAGTGTAGGCGGATGACATGAAATCTACAACCAAAGTTATTTGAAAAATAACAAACAAACAGTAAAGGCAGATTGGTGGAAGTGATGTCTTCAAGACTACTTCCGCTTGGTCTTAGTACTTTTACTCTTCTTACTGGGAGGGAGTTTAGGATTCTCAAGCTTATCAGATTCATCCATTGTTTGTTTTGCAGCAATACGAGCAGAGAATTTGCGAGAGTTATCTGTACTAACCGGGCCAGCAGGATTGTTATTGTCAGGCTCCTTCGCAGCGTTCGACGTGTCATGCTCCTTTGCAGCTTCGGACTCGTCGGGAAGCTTCCCGTCTGGAGAAAACGCAGGACCATTGTCGGGCTTAACACGGTCCTTCGCTTCTCTCTCCTCCTCCGACATGACAATTTGAAGCTTCTCGATGGTCGACTCCATACAACTAATTTTGCTTGTAAGGACCTCAACCTTCTCATCAAGTCTATCGAAACGGAGACCGATCTCACCTGTCTGCTGCTTACTGAACTGTTCAAACATTGCAGCCACAGTGGACTGGAATGTATCCCAACTAGCTCCCGAGGTATGTCCATCGATCCCGTAGGCAGGGCATGGTCTCTTTGACGGCCCTAGACCCGAATCCAGATGCCTCTTCTTGTCAATTCCCTTCTCTTCCTTCACCTTATCCAAGACGATTACTCCTTCGGATATCCAGTCGGAAGGCTTCCATCTCCAGGTCCCTCCGAGCTCTCCGTAAAAAGCCTTCATCACATTCTCGATGTGTTCATCGTCGACGTCGTTGTCCCACCTAGGGTAAGCATTATCCCTGTCCACCATGATCATATGGTTGAAATTAACCTGCATGTAATATGTTTCATTCAGTCATTGTACAAGTATTGACACACATATTGGATTGATAAACGTCACTTACCTGCGCAAGAAGAGTCTGCATTATATTTTTGCGCCCTTTCATTCCTTTGAAGGCCATCATAGTCGGAGATACCCTACCCACTACAGGCTCACCGAAGTCCTGACCGAAGCTAGGCATTGCGTAGTACGACCACACTTGTAGCACTTCGACAAACCTGTTAATGTAGTAGTGTTTGGTGAGGTTGGCAGATTTTACAGATTCAATGAGATTCAAGAAAGCTACTCTCCCCCAAGGATAACCTTCAAACTCTTCAAGATCCATTACTAGCTTTGCCATCTCGACCGGTGTGGCAATAGTTTGCCTCTCGCCAACAATGAAACCAGCATAGACGGCTAAATAAGCCAGCCTCTTTCTGTCCTCTTTCGACCAGTCTTGGGCCCACCCACATGCTCGGGTGAGGTTATCAACTGAAGGCCCAAACTTGGTATGAACACCAAGTTTCTCCCAAAACTCAGAAAATTCATTCTCATCTATGTCCGCAGTCAGAGGTGCCTTGAGATTCTCTCTGTATTCGCAGTTAAGACCGGTAATGTGTTCAAACTCGTGCAACGAAAACCTTACAGGATTTGAGCCAACCACACTCCAAATCTCGAAGGGCTTCTTGCACACTATTTGCATATTGAGCATACACTTCACAATCATTGAAGCCCATGAGAATTTGCTGTTCACGAACCTGAAGAATACCCCGAGCGGAGATTCCTCGAGCTCAGCCCATTCATCATCGGTCAAGAGTGTGGTGAGAGCTGCGAACAACTTCGTGTTGTTGCTGTAATACCCGATGCTTTTGTCGCTTTCAGGATCTGAACCTTTGGTGAAAAACCTCCTAGGAAATGTAGGCTTTTCCATCCTGATGCAATAGCAAGAAACGAAAAGATCACTATTACTAGTATATAACAAATTGAAGTATAACTTTAAAGTTTACAGTATAAGTCAACATCGGATGTCGAACTATGAAGTCTACATACGAAGTCTAAATACGAAGTCCAAATATGAAGTCTACATACGAAGACATAATACGAAGTCTACATACCAAGCCTTAATACGAAGTCTATCACCAAACCCTAATATACGGCGAACGACAAACAACATTAATCGAAAGATTGGGTAGTTTACTGACCCTAGTTTACCGCTATACTCGGTACCACGCCGGGGTATGGTGAAGATGATGGAGGAAGTATGGCAACGACGATATGCTGAAGTACATCAACGACAATGGAGTATAGGTGGCGGAGGATATCAAGACGAAGGCTAATTCGTTAGTACGGTGAAGTGGAACACTGGAATCTGCAAAAGTTGATACAAGAGGGAAATAGCTTACGGTCGTTACTAGCGGGACGGGAGATGAGAGATGAACTTGGAGATTTTTACAGCAGCGACGATTATACGAATTATCCACAGGCGGCGGAGATATAAGTGAGAGGAAATCGCCGGCGGCGTTCGAAACGTCGGAAATCGCCCTTTCGTGACAAATTTTAACTTTCGTTTGGGAAAAATGAAACTTTACCAAATGGGGAGATTAGGTAAACTCTCGCACGGTCGGAGCGGTTATTGGAGCGGTTATCGATATACCCGTGGTAATCGGAGCGGTTTTCGGTCTAATTATTGTAAATTCAAGTTGGTTCAATTGAAGTTATGAAAAAACGTACTTTTCTAATGATGTCTACAGATGAAGTCATTATTTCGAATGCCCTAGTAAAAAAGCCCGCGAATTTTCCCGCGCTAATAATGTTTAATTGTATACTTCTCCTCGTCGTCTACACATGAAGTTAAAAATATTAAGTCTTCTTAATATCGTTCCTACTCGACTAATTACATTTACATTGCAATTGACATTGGTAATTTTACAGTAGTCAACATCATGACTAACATATGATGAAGGTTTTAGGGTTACCAATAAATATGTAGCCAATTTTCTGGTAATTATTTTTTAACATATACTTTAAAACGATAAGGAAGTCTACTTTTAAAGTCTACCGTTCACGTCTACATTAGATGTCTACTAAAACACGGAAAATACAACAAATATTATACAGCTCTCCTCAAACAACCATGCAAACTTTTCTAAAACATAATCATGCATCCGCAGGCTATGATGAAGCCTGCGAGGAGGACGACAAGCGCGATTACGATGTTCAGTTCCACTCCCCTGTGACGCTTGTTCTCCGTAAGAGCTAGGCGTTTCAGTTCACCTAGCTCTGCCTCAATCCGATCAGCAACTCTCAGGACACGAACGCAATCTCCTTGGTTGTCAGTAGCACGTCGCAGGAGAACGAATTCCTCCATCATAGCCTCATCCCACCACTTTACTAGATGGAGGTCACAACCCTATACAAACGCCATATGGAACTCACGATACATAGAGATGCGTAGACATAAAACAAAACATAACAAAGACTATGGAACTTACCACCATTCGATTGACCTTGTAATCTTTGCATCCAAAGAACATTCTACCCGGATATTCATCTGTGTTGTCCATTGTTTTCATCATCGTCGGCAACCCACAATAGCATAGATTAGGAATTCCATAGTGTCGACTGGTGGAGCTCACATCTGCTTCGTCCGGGCTGCACAACCTCACAGAGCTACTTGATGGTTGACTGTAGCTGTATCGCCCCATTCCTGTCTACCATAAGAGGTCCAAATTAGCTACACATGCCTATACTAACAGAAAATATAATTATGTCCTCATAAAGCTCACCTGATAGCGGTTTCTGGCACAGATCTGGACACGAAAGTATGAGAGATAGGCCCAACAAACCCTTCCACAAACAAGACGACAGGTAATTAGTCTGTGTATAGAAGAAGAACATGATTACGCTTAAGTAACAAGAAGACGTGCATCGCTTACCACAAGTACGGGACACTGTAGGAGGGGACCAGATACGAGAAGCTGCGCCGTGTGGCCAAGAGAGAGAATCGTTTCAATGGATTAACCAAAATTAGGGTTTCGCTCTCTATTTATATGAAAGGGGATCATCCGGTTAAATTTAAGATTCCGGTTATTTATACTTCATGTCCATGTCTTCTCAGCAAGTCTACACTAGAAGTCTTCCATACCCTAAACACTAAACCGACTATTTCACACAAACAAAGGTATAGCATAAGTTAGTTTTCGTTGCATATACACAAATTACATTATGATCAACAGAGATTTGAGCCATAAATGATTACACATCGTGAAAACCTGGTTTCCAACAAATATTTTTCTAAACCCTTACAATTTATACTACTAAACCCTATGCTTGAACCTTACACTCTATCCTTGTTGGACCAAATATACATGATACTTATAAACCTTTACATTCTAATGAACTGTATTTTATATAGATGACAATTGTATTTACTTTGATTACTATCCAAAATTTTTTAGCAAACTATTTTTTATACATTTTAATTTTAAATATTAAGGTTTGTGTAAGATTGTAGACATCGCAAGTAGACTTCGCAATCAAAATTTCTAGGTTTGTTGTTGCTTTGCCTTTGCTATAATTAGAGTAATTCATTTGCAAGAAAAAATCTTTTTAAAAGATGCCAAATATCAAGGTCTCTTTTATGTATAATTTTTTTGATTTATATATTTTTCTTTAATTTTCTAATTTAAATTTAAGATGTCAAGGTGTTGTAGACTTCGTGTTGAAGTCTAATTGTCGTATACTTCTTCCGTAGACTTCAATACAGTGGGTAAAATGGTCATTGTCGCACTCGTTTATTATTTGCTCGCAAAAGATAAAAGGGTCATTCTACACCCCTTGGGGTACACCGCTGGTCAAATGTGTCATATGGGGTATACCGTTTTAAAAAAAAAAATGTTGGGGTACACAAGTGGCAATTTCCCCTTTTCAAATAGTATATATCAATCAATTATTACCAACTAATAATTGTGAACCCTAAAATTCCAAGACACACAAAATTAAATTTACAAATTTGATTTCGTAAGAGGATTCTTATACGTAACCTTTTCTTGTATTCGTCAAACTTTGTAGTTTTATAGGTTTTCCAAAAAAATGGTGTATTTATATCTGAAACTAGTCTTATATATTAGTAACTGGATTTCCAAAACGTTAAATTTAAATGGCCTGTGTAGAAAATTTACAAAAGAATATTCTTCTTACTATTGAATTTCTAAGACTAGAATGAACAAAAAAATAAAAACAATGGTAAAATTACAAGTGAGTTGTCTAGGGTAAGAAATTAAAAAAAGAGTATTTGACCTAAATCATAAGTTGCTGTTGTTGTATAACCAAAACAGAACCCTGGCACTTAATATCCTGTGAAATCAACAGATCTCCAATAACACCAAGCTCGTTAAACTCACTCCATTCTTCAAGCCCATCTGTGAACACACTCTTCCTTCCATTTCCTCTTCCCACAATGAACAAATCAAATTTGCTCGCTAACGAATTCAGCACACCCGATGTCTCAGTCGCGTCTTTGACCGATTTTTCAGTGTAGAAAATCTCAGCTAATTTGTTGCTCTTCAAGCCCCTAAGCAGATCATCGTCAAGCATTTTATCCCACTCCGAGATTTCTCTTTCTTTCTCATCCTCTGTTATCATTCGAACCACGGTAACGTTGATTCGAGGGTCACGAGCCATTCTAGCTGCAAGTGTCACCGCTTCTCTATCGTCTTTACCTCCTAGGAAAATCATACAGACTTCGTAGGAAGATGAGCTTAAAACCGCCTCACTGATGTTCTTCCGTCCGTTCCTGCTTCGGTAGATAAAGATTCCGACAGAACATGGCGACACTTTGAGAACGCTCTTGTTTAGGTTCTTGATCATGTTGCTGTCCGAGACGATAGATGATCCATCCTCAGACCAAGTCTGGTGAAATGGAAGAATTATGAGAGACGTAGTGTTGTTGAGAGCAAGCATGCATATGTCTCCATGCATCGTATCGGGCATAGACAAGGCCGTGTATGTGCTTACAGAGACCGATCCAAAGAAATCTTTGCCGAATTTTTCAAACGAGAGAACTACATTGTTTGAGTAACACGTTCCCTCTGTTCTGAGAGTCTGCAACTTGTGGGAGATGAAGACCGGATGTGCTCGTCCCACGAGCTCCATCAAGTGGAGCACGTAGGCAGCTATATGTGATTCTTTAGAAGGACAAGTAGCTTCGAGAAGATTGATCATGGGACTTAAGTCATCGGTTCTGTAAATGCAAGATAAGATCCTTAGCTCAGAGTTTGGTTTCAAGTGCTGCATGTTCCTCTTCTCGTACCCGGCGTACATCCTCGAAGGGTCGTATAAGTACCTCAAGATCGGAGGTATAATCGCGGAATTCAACATTATGTAAAGACACGCCACAGTGAAGGTCTCCGGACGAACAGACTGCAAAATTTCCAAATCATAGTTAGACAATGAGTACATAGCTAAAACTAACTTTAAACCTTCAAAACTAAACCCTAAATTTTCTAAATAGCAAAACTAAACCAAAATATTAAATTATATAAACTCCTTTTAAAGTTTATGGTAGGAATGGAAAAAAAAAACTAGCGAAGGCATATGTGTGTGTATACATATTACATACCCCTCTTTGGAAGGCCAAGGCGTAGGCACCGAGCTCGAAGATGCCTTTAGAAGACATGATCAAAGAGATAGCGAAGCTATCTTCCATAGGCATACCGTAGTACAAAGCAGGAAGAGTGGTCAAGATAAACTTGACGACGAAAGATGTTACCATGATGAATATAACACCATTGAGATCTTTCCAGCCAAGCAAAGACCAAACGTCGAGCTCCGTGATAGACGAAGCGACGAAAAACGGAAGAAAAGTTCCAAATATAGCCGACTCAAACTTCTCAATGATCGCAGAGCCTAAAGGAGGTCCATGCGGAACAGCGAGACCTAATATGAAAGGTCCCATGAAGATAGATTGCTTGCACCAGTTCGCAAGCATGGCTGATCCAGAGACCAAAACGATGATTGCGCTAAGATAAACCGGCTTCACGGGATGACCAGAAGGTGTTTGTTTGATAATGTAGAACATCAACGGTCTGAAAACGTAGATGGCAGCACAAACGAAGAGTACCACAATCCCTGCTCGCTGAAATGGACGATCACCAGCGATCACGTCTCCTACAAACACGCTCCCGAGCCGCGTCTGCTCGTCTTTGAGCTCTTTCATGAAGATGAGAACTGAAGCAAGAACAGAGGTGCTGAAATCGCTTATCACAGCGGAAGATATCGCTAGACGACCGAGCTCTGAGTTCTGTAGCCTGAGCTCGAAGAGAAGGTTTCCAACAACTGGGAAAGAAGAAAGGCATTGGATTGAGTAAACCACGATGGATTCTAACGAATTTAGAGTAGCAGCCGAGTTATTCTTTCCTACGTCTTTTAGATTTCCGAAGAAGATAACAGAGCAAACCATAGTAGAGAGCAAAACGGAGGAGATCCCAATGGTGATAGCTTTTTTCCCAGTGGTTCGGATCAAACCCATGTCCATTTTAACTCCCATCAAGAACCAAAACATCATGTAGGAGAGGGCAGAGATAAGACTAAACACAATCTCTTTGTAATCTTCTGTAGAGAAGAATCTCCTCGCTGCTGTGTTCTCTCTTAGAAACGTCTTGCTCAAGAGAACACCAGTCTGAAAAAAGATAACACAATCTTGACAAGATTCCTTGAGGAAGAGTTTTTTTTTGACAGATTTCGAATAACTTACAAGCATTTGGGACGTGAAACGAATCATGCCGAGACGTTGAAGGAAGAAGTGCAAGCAAGAATTGCCAGATGAAAGAGATGACGATGAAAATCATCTGCAAGTGTGGAAATGGAGAAAGCCAGAAATCAACGTTGACGATAGGATCTGGGAGTTTCTGTGAAGGCCAAACGCCATTGGAGCTAGGATTGAGAGGCATGACGTCGCAGATCCTGTTTGATTCTCTCCATGTGTCTCTCAGGTAAAGCATTTTGTTATCTCCAAACTCCATTGGTGAAAAACCCTCCTGCATGGATTAAAAAAAAAAAAATTGCAGGAGCAATATGATTGGAGAGACGATTACATAGATTTTGTTTTGTACAAATAGATAAATGAGTTTATTGAAACCTTTTGACTGTTTGGTACCAGAAACAAAGTGGAAATTAAACGTAATTTTTTGGTTTGGGTTTAAAAACCCTAAGAATAGTAAATCGTGAATGGGCAAGACCAACGAGAAACAGGATCTTAAAAGGATTCTGCTTACTGTTAGATTACAGCTTAATTCTGGTATGAGTACTCACCCAACCAACTGTTACAGGTAATGCAAAAATTGCATCGATGGTAAGAATTAGGAACCAACTTAAGTTCTTAGGTAAAATGTTCTTACGGTTCATGATGATCTCTGTCATCGCGAGAATATTTTTTAATGCATATTCACAATCTCGAAAGATTGGTTAACAATCACAAGTTCACAACTCTTCAATACGAGAAGTTTAAATTTGTAAAGGTACCTTAAAAGGTACTACCTTTAGCCCAAAAATGAAATGTAATCAATGTAACTTCCTTGGGATTTAAACAAAAAACGTTAAATCAGAATTTAATTCACTGCATTACGATTTGTTAGCTAAGAGGGCATTAATATGTAATTCTCAGTGGCAAAGGTATCACACATGCCCATAATTTCTGTATACTGCTGTAACAAACGATTGTTCCATGGTTAATGAACAAGTATTTTAGATGGGGAAAAAAATAAATCATTGCATTACTTTTGTTGTCGACTGCTTATTCTTAAATCTTTTACACTTCAAAATGAAGGATTAAAAGATGTCCAAAATAATAGAAATAGATTTAAAAAGACAGTACTGTTGCAACAAGTAGCAAATTAAGTGGTTATAAGTTAAAAGACATTACAGAAACACAAGACAACTATGTAGAATAGCGGTTATAAGCGAAAAAAGTTTGTAACGAAAGTGTACAACCGGTAAAAGCATGTAAAAGGAATTTATCCAGTTTGCTTCCGAATATCAAATGAATATGCATAAACAAGTATTTCAGTTTATAATACCAAAAGTTGCAACTCATGCCGATGGCCACATTATTAAAATTTCCAGTGAGATCCAATCCTATAAGAACGCATTTACACTGCGCATGTAAGCAGATAATTGAAAGTAGAAGTAGTTTTTCTTAATGGACTGGACATAGATGTGACGTAAGATACTATGTGAGATTGACAGTTATATGAATGTAATTTCAAATAATACATGAAGAAAAAGCCATGAAAAACACTAAACACTTGACTTAGGTTAATCATAATTAATTAAACTGGGATTGACCTTCTTAGTATATTTTAAGATATAGCTGACAAACTCTTGATAAGGTTTTATGTGAGGGAGGTCTTAGGTGGGGATGGCCTTTTTTGCTCTCTAGTTGACTTACGAGTTTATATTAATCACATCACATTTTGTTAATCCGTTTTTAACTTTATGTAAATTATCCATACATGACGGATGCATTTTGAAGAGAAAAACATCATTCATGATGTATTGTATGTAGCTGTATATGTCATGCTGTCCATACAACTCAATATCTTTTTATCGTCAGTTGTTGATTAAGGGGTTAAAGGATTTATTAAGATATATGAAAATGTGTAATGGACGATCTAAAACATTGTTTTCTGACAGAATATAGAATCTAGATATTCAAGAATAAACTGTTTTAAATTATAGGTGATAATTGACAAGTTGAAATCTTCTCTTATGGATGTTTTACAGATTAATGTCTATTCGTCTTTTAAGTCAATAGCCAAGTGCAATAAGCATGGCTAGGCTTTCATCGGACATGATGGGAGTTTCTCTACACTTATTAGGGTACATTTTATGAGGTTTTAAATGATACAAAACAATAGTAATGTGACACGTATTTTTCTGTGTGTATGAATATGTATGCACAACTCACAAGTATTTTATACGGTAGAGGGTAGGGTGTCTTCTTCAAGCCATCCCTCTAAACCTTCTGTCATATATATGAAACAAATATACCACACAGAATTTAAAGAGTCAACATAATCAAAAAGAAAAACGTAAGAACAAAACTCAAGTAAGATTCTTCATATACATAATATATGAATCAAGAAGAGCATATTATGAAGAAAGGAGAACGATCAATGTCTTGCTTCTCCGAGACGACCACTACTACTTCCTCAAAATCAATCTACATTAATCCCATGACGGCCAAGACGACATCATCGGAAAATGACGACGTTTCACTCTCTCTTCTATACAATCTCTCCACCATTCAAGACAAATTCCATCAGATCCAATCTCTGGTCAGCTTCTTCATGATCTCTGCTAATAACAATAACCAATCCTTGGGGTCAACGTCCTCTTTGGCCGTGGCTAACATCGGAAGTTTGGTTCAAGAGATCATCACGGCGGCTTCTTCAATGATGTCCACTTGCCAACAACTCCACATCTCATCTAACGTTCAAACCGTAGATGCAATGGTTATGGAGTTTTCCGGACAAGAAATCGACCTGGATCATGATTTCTTGCAAGAGTCGTCAACTAACTTTCTCGGTATCCAAGAAAGAGGGCAGATCTCGTTTCTCGACCAGACTACACAAAACCTTGAGTGGTACGGTACCCAAACCCTAAACCCTACAAAAGGTCACCAGCGTTCTAAACCAAGATCCGGGATCTACGAGATACTGGAGTTAGACGTAGCGGATCTACTAGCAAAATACACGCATTACTGCAAGATTTGCGGGAAAGGGTTCAAGAGAGACGCGAATCTAAGGATGCACATGAGAGCACACGGAGACGAGTACAAGACACGTGAGGCCTTGATCAGCCCTACGAGCCATGACAAGAAAGTCGAACACTCGTTGAAGAAACATTACTACTCGTGCCCTCAACAAGGGTGTAGATGGAACCAGAGGCACGAGAAGTTTCAACCGCTGAAGTCCGTGATTTGCGCCAAGAATCATTACAAGAGGAGTCATTGCCCTAAAATGTACATGTGCAGGAGATGCAGCGTGAAGCACTTCTCGGTTCTGTCCGATCTTAGGACGCACGAGAAGCATTGTGGGGATATCAAGTGGGTTTGCTCTTGTGGGACTAGCTTCTCTAGGAAAGACAAGCTCGCGAGTCACGTTTCTTTGTTCTTGGGCCACTCACCGGTTCATGGGGCGTCGCAGCTGCAGCCGCCGATGGTCACCAACTAATGCAAGATCAAGGCCTAAATTCGAGTTCGCAAGAGAATTAAAAGACGTTGTCCCTTCGACATTTTTTCTTTATCTCTATTTTCTATAGTCCCTCCCTAGATTAATGTTACTATGATGATATACCAAGACGTATTGTCAAAATGAATTGTGCATTAACGTTAATGTTACAAATTATTTTGTTATCGGTGAGAAATTTTGTTATCCCTATGTTCTGAATAATGTCTAAAATGTTGAGAAAAGTAGAAAACAACTAACTACTAAAATGATGCCGCCAATTTTTATAGTGCGGTTTAGATGGGGACCACATATGGTTTGCAATTTAGTAGCGACGTAATCGTAGCCGTAGACTGTTCGGACAGATCGAAGATAGCCACGTCACCTATCCACGCCAAAATTTTGGAACTTTTACATTGGCGCGCATGGTTATGGCGCGGATAACGAAAAGGCGCAAGCGAAATGTTTTGAATTTCGATAATTAGAAAATTGTTTTTTAAAATGCTCGCGCTTTAAAGTGTAAATAGATCTGATCCATCCATTTAAAAAAGGTCTTCCCCATCGAACAGCAATATAAGCGCCACGTCACTAATCCGCGTTTCTCAACTCGACCAATAAGATCTCTTTCTCTTGTCCTATATAAAGTAAACGATTAGACGAAAGAAATTATCAAATCATCCCACCAAAATCTCAGATTCTCTCAATCACTCAAAAAGATATAAACTAACTAGCATCGCAATGGCCAAGGCTGATAAGAAACCAGCAGAGAAGAAGCCGGCGGAGAAAACTCCGGCAGCAGAGCTCGCGGCGGCCGCCGAGAAGAAGCCAAAAGCCGGGAAGAAGCTCCCGAAGGAATCCGCCGTCGCCGGAGACAAGAAGAAGAAGCGGTCGAAGAAGAACGTCGAGACCTACAAGATCTACATTTTCAAGGTGCTGAAGCAGGTGCACCCAGACATCGGGATCTCGAGCAAGGCCATGGGAATCATGAACAGCTTCATCAACGACATCTTCGAGAAGCTTGCCGGCGAGTCCTCTAAGCTTGCGAGGTACAACAAGAAGCCGACGATTACTTCCCGGGAGATCCAGACGGCGGTGAGACTCGTGTTGCCCGGAGAGCTGGCGAAGCATGCCGTTTCTGAAGGCACCAAGGCGGTGACGAAGTTCACGAGTTCTTAGATCTGGAATGATTTGCAGTGGTTCGAAGTAGTAGTACTAGTAGTAATCGGATGTGAAATAGGTTTCAGCTTTTGGGTTCTCTTAATGGTTATGTGATTTGGGATTTAGAGTTTCTTATTTTGTAAGAATCTTTTGAAATTCTACTTAATTAATATATTTCTTTTGGTAATTTCATTTCCATGTGCCCAACAACGTTGATTTTCATTTGATGTGCAAAATAACTGGTCTCTGAAATTTGGATTAATGGGTAAAATGAATATAAGTTTCTCGATTATAAAACTAAACTTTGCAACTGAGAAAAATCTCAGAACATTGTCTGTAGTTTTAGAAATTTGTTCAAGTTAATCACATATTGAAACTTGGTGTTTATGCTGTTTGATATATAACAATAATCAAATTGCTTAGAAATCGACTCTAATTCGGAAGTTTTACATACTAATGTTTGAAAGGAGTACTGAACAGTAATCTTTTGACAATTTACCAAGAAATCCATTGTTAGTTACATTCAGTGGTTGAGTTTGACAAGTTTATAGGTCTTCAAATAGTTACATGAGCATAACGACTTGGATGGATTGGATTACAAACTTCTTAATAAATTCCAAAATGATATTGTTTTAGGAGAATAAATTTATGAATGTATACTACAGCTCTCACATTGGAGATTCTTGCTTACAGTTTGTGTAGCGATTGTCTTGACTTGTTGGCAATTGGGATCATTTCTTTGGGTAAGTGCGATGGTCAGGTCCAACATCCCGTGAACCAGTGTTAATGTAAGGCCCTCTAAAAGTTGCTTGTGGAGGCAACGGTTTTGTTGGATCTATCACTGGCCTTTTCGACGATCTGCAAAACCAAACGAGTGAGGAAAAAGCAAATGCCATATACCGCAAGATCAGAAAAGAGTTAACAGTTTGAGAGAAAAAGCAGGTTCTTTCTTACGCCATGTAAAAGGGGAACGCTAAGCCTGCAGACGCGAAAACAACCAGACCAGTTGCTACAATGATGTTACGTGATGGTGCCATTGCAACTAGCCTATCGCTTTGTAACCCAAAAGATAGATTCTTGAGAGAAAACTGAAAAACAAAATACGAATCAGTTTCAGACCATAAGAAACAGAGACAGAGAGAGATATACAATGATTAATGTAACTCCAAGCTTTATATCTCAGCGCATATGCAATAAAACAAGAAGTAAGAGCAAAAATAAAAAAAAATATCTGTAGAAGTAGACATTATAATTCTGTGTCAGCATCTAGATTGCTCTTCATACTCAATTTACATGGAAACACGAGATTTTAGCTTGTTTTACAGATTAGCCCAAGCTTTGCAACATCAATTTCAATACCAGTTAAGATAGACTAATCAATTAGTCTTAGTTGCTTAATTCAAGACATGGGCCAGAGTCAGATATTTCCCGAAACTGAAATGGGTAATTTTTCATCTAAAGTGATGCCAAACACGAAAATAGACAAAAAAAAAATTACATTTTTACGATAAATCGAGATGTTAAGGATCAAGTGAAGAGGAAATCGAGATTCAATTTCCGGGACCAAAATTCAGAATTTAACTATAATTTCAGCCAATTAACATTCTAACTCATATTACTCAGGCGATGCTCAGAATCACGTGAAGAGCAAATCGAAATTAGAGTTCCTGAATCCAAAAAATCCGGATTTAACAATGATTTCAACCAATCAATTCGAGCAAAACCTTTCGCGATAAGAGGAGGAAGCGAATCATAACTGAATGAGAACATATTGCAAGATAAAAAATCACGAGCCAAATGGATAAAGAAGAAGAAGATCTCACTTGGGTTATGAGGCGGTCGAGTCGACTCAGTGAAATATCTGGGAATTTGGGATTGGGTTTAGTGCACCGAGTCGCGGAGGTGCTTCAACGGCGATTTGGACATGGCAATACAGGAAATTGATATTGGGCTGGAGACAGCTAAAATGGGCCTAATACTTAGGCCCATTTTGAGATCAATTACTAGACCAGGTACAAAATTGTTTGACAAACTTGGATTCTATGAAAGTTTCAAAGGAAAATCACTGAAAACACTATACTTATATACTCCTATAATTCACAAAGAACTTCAACTGTTTTAGAGAACTCATTTAGATAATGAATTATATTGTGAACAGATTTATCCTTAGAAATTGTCTTCTTTTTTTGTGTGTTTGCTAAAACATAAAATTGTTAAAGCAAAGTAGAAGGGACCTTAAGGCTAGCCTTTCTTATAGAAAAATGACGTCCAAAGGTCGGTCCTACTAAATGTTCCAAAGATATAATAAAAAAACGCATCTCTCTGCAGCTGAAGCAAAGAACATGAGAATCCAAGGCACTTTCCAGGTTTCTTGTATCACAAGTATCTACTTCATATATACAAACATACAAATAACCCAATGTTTGACCCCAAGCCCTAGCTAGAACCAATGCCGCCGATAATTTCTCCAGCTCAGCCGCTACACCGCCGCCGTTCCTTTGCCTGCTACGTTTTCCTCGCCATACTAACACTACTCTTCTTCGCAGCTGTATGTTTTCTCATTACATGGGTTGTTACCAAACCCATGAAACTTCATTACAGTGTCGACGCGTCGGTCCAAAAATTTAACCTCACCGACGACAATCACATGTCCGCTACATTCAAACTCACCATCCGGTCGCAGAACCCTAACCACAGAATCTCGGTCTACTACAATTCCGTCGAGATATTCGTGAAATTTAAAGACCAGACGCTCGCCTTCGACACGATGGAGCCGTTTCACCAACCGCGGATGAACATTACGAGGATTGATGAAACGTTGGTCGCGCAGAACGTTGCGGTTTCGAAATCCAATGGTAAGGATTTGAGGGCTCAAACTGCTTTGGGAAAGCTTGATCTTGAAGTGTATGTTAAAGCGAGGGTTAGGTTTAAAGTCGGTATATGGAAGTCAGCACGTCGTACGGCGAAAATTGAGTGTTCTCCTGTCACGGTCTCTTTGTCACGTTTAAATAAATCTCAAAATAGTTCATGCGATGCTGATATTTGATAGTAAGTACTTTGTATTTTCACAATAATAATCGTCTTGTAATGAGAATATATTCATTTTCACCTCCAACAAAATTTAAGTGTTCATATAACAGCAGCAAAAATAAGTAAATAACCATAAACAAATGTATTTTGAAAAAAAAAAAAAAAAATACCATAAACAAATGTAAAGCTATTTAGGTGACAATATAGACAGCAAATAAGTCAGGATGGCCGAGTGGTCTAAGGCGCCAGACTTAAGTTCTGGTCCTCGTGACGAGGGCGTGGGTTCAAACCCCACTTCTGACATTTAAGATTACATTTTGTTTTTGCAAAAGAAAATACATATAGGGAGTGACGGTCCTACCTTGTGAAAATATTAACATTATTATGGGAAATGTAGATGAATTTAATGATGAAAATTTGATTTATGGATATGTTTGCAAACCGTAAATTCGTTCTAACGTTGATATATGAAACAACATTTAAATCAAAGGACCAAATGACATCAAGATGACGTCATTATCGGTCATCATGGGCTTTACATATTTCAACATTTTATAGATTAATGTCCCAAAATCTAGTTTTAGGATCGCAGAATGTTTTTTTTTATGGGCATGGAACTGTAGTTGCAGTTGCAGATGTATAGTTGTAAATTATTGAACGAAACGAAAAACAATGATATGTGAACTTTTTTGCAAAGAGAAATGAGAAATCTATGTTCGTTATCTTCTGACCTGATTAATGATCCCTAAATAACACCATGACATCATGGAATAAATTAAAGCAATACTCCTTCCGTTTCAAATTAGTTGTCGTTTTGGCAAAATGTATCTGTAAATATTTGGACGTATCTGGACGTGTTTTGCATAGCAGATACATCCAAATAATTATAGATACATTTTCCCAAAATGACAACTAATTTGAAACAGAGGGAGTATTAAATACTGACAAAAGCATATTTAATCTTCAGTCAAATCTTCGTGAATACAGTACGTAGCTAGCTCATTCTGATAAAAAGTGTTCGCATGAAAGAAACAGAAAAATAATCATGTGAACACTGACTAGCTCGACTGAACATTATACTGGGAAGTGTGAAGAACATTACTGAAAGAATATAGTTTCATTATTGTTTTCCAAAAATAAGAAATGAATATTGTTGAACAAAATAGGTTGCATCCATTACAAGCAAAGAGGTTGCAAGCTGTTCCCACGCGAATAAGAATCATAAAGATATATGATTGAATGTTTGATTACTTTTAGCAAACGTTATATATGTTTTTTTTTATACGAGTGCATTGTTCGAATATTCATTGTAATATATATACCCTTAGGCTTGAATGTCATGGCCTGAAACTACACAGATATTTGTTAGAAAGGAGACTGATTCATTCTCAAAGGACTTAACTCTGATTATGGAATTGTCTGGAGAAAAGAAGTTTTGTGTGTGTGTGTGTGTGTGTGTTTTGATTCATCACTATTGTTAATAGTTGGTCTATATGGTCTCTATAAAAAAATTAAGTTGAAGATTCGATTATTAATAAAGAAAACAGAAAGTGAAAGTCTGGGCCAAAGGCACTATTATATGATAATGTAGATATACTGTTTATAAGTGTAAAAGAAATAAGTGATAGCAGATTCATGAAGCAAGCATGTATATTTGTGGTGCCAATTTCCAAATGAACAATGAACGTGTGCCCATCACTTTGCACGCACAACCTTTACCAGCATGACAACATTAATATGAGATGCTACTTTTTTTTGTTACTTGAATACAACATCCATTTCTAGTCTATTTTTGACACCATTCTCCCGCATACTTTGTTCTCACTCTTCATTTCATTTGTAGACTTGTAGTAGTAAAATGTTTACAATTTACGTGAAAACGAATACATAAGTTGTGCTGGATGTATTATGTATATGGAGATAGGCTACACAGATTCATTAAAAAATAACAAGAAACATCCAAGAACTAGGAATGTATGATCTCGTGTAGTGGGTTAATTTAAATGAAATTTACACTGCGAATAGGACCTTTAGTTGCTAATATCGAGCCTAAAACCTTATGATAAGATGTAAATCATATATCTCATAAACAGATTTTTAATCATATTACTATTTAACTAACACTAGTAATTAATATTCACTAACTATTTAAATATATTTTACATGCATAGATATTAGACACACACATATTTGACTTATATATAAAATAATTAGCAGAAAAGGCGGAAACTCATCTGGTATTTGTTGTATAGTATAGTGCGTTATTACTTTTGGGATCTATATAAAGGTTGTGTTGCATGAGCTTGGAAAATCCAACTCAGTGAACACTTAGTATACCACACTAAGTTACAAGGAGATAAAACAAAACCCTCTACAAAATGTCTCTTCCATTTACATTTCTCCTTATATTGATCTTGTCAACATCATCATCTTATTTCATTTCTCTCGCACACTCCAAAATCGCACAACTTGGGGTTTCTCCCAAACTGCTAAAGAATGCACCCGATGCACCGACGCAAAAAGTAAATGAGTCTGATCTTGAAATGTTATACTTTAATCAGAATCTCGATCACTTCACTTTCACACCGAAAAGCTACATGACATTTCAACAAAGATACGCCATCGATTCCAAGCACTGGGGTGGTGCTAAAGCAAACGCACCAATCTTAGCGTTTCTTGGAGAAGAGTCGTCCTTGGACTCCGATTTGTCTGCCATCGGTTTTCTTCGTGACAACGGTCCTCGTTTTAAAGCGCTCCTCGTCTACATAGAGGTGTGTGTGTGTGCCTATATTTAATATTAAGTGTGTGATTTGCTAATATCTTTTATTTTGTTTGTATAAAAATGCACACGATATAAAATGCAGCATAGGTATTATGGAAAGAGTATGCCATTTGGATCGGCAGAAGAAGCATTGAAGAACGCGAGTACGTTGGGGTATTTAAACGCAGAACAAGCCCTAGCAGACTATGCCGCGATTCTCTTGCACGTTAAGGAGAAGTACTCAACCAAACACAGCCCTATCATTGTCATAGGAGGATCATATGGTGGAAGTAAGTCCATATCTTCACCATTATATTCTAAAAGGTTACATTTGGAATAATCATTTGCTTTGTTTTCATGCATGGTATAACACAAAAGTGTTAGCGGCATGGTTCAGGCTAAAATACCCGCACATAGCACTCGGAGCTTTAGCATCTTCAGCTCCTCTTCTCTACTTTGAAGATATTCGTCCTAAAGTTGGTTATTATTATATTGTAACCAATGTTTTCAAGGTAATAATTAAGAATTATTCAATTACGAAACCATATCAATACATGCATAAAGAGGTTTTGTTTTCTATCACAATTAATCCATATTTCAACTACTCCGTTCTTGACTAATTTTTGTTGTTAGATGGTTCTAATTAACTGTATAACTAATTGCATCTTTCTTTTTATTTTTCTTACATTTACTATTACGTAAAGAAAACGAGTGAGAGATGTTATAACACAATCCGTAGATCTTGGCAAGAAATCGATAGAGTTGCTGCCACACCCAACGGTCTCTTGATCCTCAGCAAAAAATTCAAAACTTGCGCGTAAGATCAAAGAAATATCTTAAATTTGTACTTTTTTTTTTCCAATTTCATACTCGTACGTTCTTTCAATTTATTTGTTAGTCCATTGAACGGAAGCTTCAATATCAAAGACTTCATGGATTCAATATACGCGGAAGCTGTTCAATACAACCGGGGTCCAAGTTATTGGGTGACCAGCGTGTGTAACGCAATCAACGCCAACCCACCAAACCGTAAAATTGATTTACTCGACCGGATTTCCGCAGGTGTTGTCGCTTTAGTAGGCAACCGATCTTGCTATGATACCAATATGTTTGCGCAGCCTACAAACAATAACATTGCATGGAGATGGCAGGTATGTACAACTAAAACACATATTGAAAATCGATGTATAAATTATATTCCGAAAATATCTTATTTATTATTTATTGGTCTAATGGATATATGACTTATATATTACACGGACGATCTTTATGTAGAGCTGCAGCGAGATAGTAATGCCGATAGGATATGACAAACAAGACACGATGTTCCCAACGTCGCCGTTTAATATGACCAGTTTTATTGACGGCTGTGAATCTTACTATGGTGTCCCTCCTCGGCCACATTGGATCACGACGTACTTTGGCATTCAGGTATATATATTAATTAATTAATTTGAAGTCGTATATTATTAATAGTTTGATAAAATTAAGTAGCTAGAACTTACTGTTACATGTTATATATATTGCAGGATGTCAAGTTAATTCTTCGAAGATTTGGGAGCAACATCATTTTCTCTAATGGATTGTCAGATCCTTACAGCGTTGGCGGGTAACTAAAAATATTTTTTTGTTCATATAACTGTTTGAATAGATTATTGTCTTATTAGTGTATCTATAATCAATTTATACATGGTTTTATGGATTTTTCCTACATTTCCAGAGTCTTAGAGGATATTTCAGATACTTTAGTCGCCATGATGACAAAAAATGGTAAGACTTTTAGTGTATTATTAAGGATGATCCGCTCTTCGCGCAAAATTTTACATTGATATTACTAAAATATATTAATACATGATAATTATTATGACAATTAAAGTATAATAAAAAGAATAGAATAAGTCAAATTAATAATGTTTACTTTATTGAAATGATATTCTTAAAAATTACATTTTCAAAAAATTAACAAAATATAAGCAAAAGATAAGCAAAATATAAGCAAAACATAAAGAAAATATAAGCAAAAAGAAGCTCTAAACCATTTCAATAATTTAAGCTAAACTACTCCTAAATCATAACTATTCCTAAGTCACGCAAGTTGATTTGTAGAATATGCTGTACAATATGAGTATATAAGTGACAGTACAATGCAGATCCCATTGGGGATCTAGAATCAGACTTTATTCATTTTTTATTCGAATATTATGTTACATTTTATCCAATTTTACCCATTTGATGTAAATAAATATTTTCATAAATATTATAGTTTACTTAAGATGAATAAATATATAAGTTATCTTTTATAAAAAGTGTCTTCTCAAATTCTAGCTTAACCTATTTAATTAATATAATAGAGTAATTATTATGAAAATTAAAGGTTAACAATAAAAACATAATAAATTAATTAAACAATTTAAAAATTAACAAATAAGATGATGATATGTCAATTTTTAGAGTATATTTGCTGAGGTGGCAACATGAAATTATAGAGGAGCATCAACTTTATATATATAAGATTAAGCATTTATTTAACAAGTCATTTAAGAAAATATGAACACACTCACAGAATTTCCATAAATTTTAATACATGAGCAGGTTCACATTGTCAAGACATTGGGTTGAAGAGCAAAGGAGATCCGGAGTGGCTTGTGATGCAACGAGAGGAAGAAATTAATATAATTGATTCTTGGATTTCAACCTACCAAAAAGATCTACAAATTCTTAAGTCTTAACATATCAATCTAAGTTTGGTTATAATAAATTGAAAACATGTGAAAACCAATAACTGCTACTTGTATTGGTTGAGTGATTGAAATAAAAGCCATATATTGTAAATCTTGTTATCATTTCCATCCTGCATAGTGCATACAACCACAAATTACAAGTACATATATGTTAAAATAATCACACACGTGCACACATACTGATGATATGGACGTAGTTAAAAGGAAAGCAAAAGGTTTGTGAGCGTTAGTTACGTACGGTGAAAGAGATGGTGTGTGAGTGTCTTCCTTTGAGATAGTTTCAATTCCATTGCTTGCCTTTAGATGGCATCCTACCATGATCAATACCATCATCATCATCATCATCATACACTCTTTTTGCGCCATTCTTTTATAACCTTTTCTTCGTAAAATTTGTATTTTAATCAAATTGAGATGTTTGTTAGTTGATATATATGGTTTGTGCTTGTATACATATGAATGAAACGTGCGAATCCAATTATCTAATGTACTAAATTCAATTATTAACCCTTATAACACATTTATTAGTTTTGTTAGTTTCACTTGGATACAATTAATTTTGTAACTTTTGTTTGACTTACATTCTCTATTATTCTATTTTCATACTATATTCAACATTAATTGGAAATAATGCAAATTTATTATTAGAAGATTCTACCATTTAATTAGCATAGTAATTCATTATTTCCTTGAGTGAAAAATACATACTACTAATCAATACTCCCTCCGTTTCAAATTAGTTATCGTTTCAAAATGTATCTGCAAATATTTGGACGTGTTTTGCATTGCAGATACGTCCAAATATTTGCAGATACATTTTGCCAAAACGACAACTAATTTGAAACGGAGGAAATATTTGTTTGGTCATACATATATTTGCATTGTAACCAATTACTTTAGTCATACATTTATTTGCATTACTTACCTGGCTAAAGATCTTATGGCACCCTCCACTCATACCATTTGAAAAATATAAATTCTATAGTCATCGGCTTGAATAAAAAAAGCAAGAATGACACTATAAAGTCAACAGAAAACATCGACTTAGGAATATGAGACAATAATATATATCCGTCATTACAGTATTTTAAATATTTTGTATATATATATATATATATATATTATAGTAATGTAGTTTTTTTTTTTGTTGGCAACTAGTTGTTCACAACTTATTTTGTAAGAATATATGAGGCAATATTATATTGGGATCTGGCTGGAGTTAACGAAACCGAAATCCGAAACCAATACCAGTATGATTTGGGTTTTAGATTGTTTAACAAAATACAAAACCCAATTCGTCAGGCCCAAATACAAAGACAAATGTGACTTCATGCCAAAAAATTGCTGTCAGAAAACCCCTGAAATCGTCGTTATAAAATCAGGCAAAAATCAACACGAAAAGCCTAAAACTTTCAAAAGAAAATCATTCGAAACTTCAGGTTATATATGTTTTTTGCAACACGTTATGAGTTCGTTTGAACGTTAATATATGGAACAACATTAAAATCAGGGGACCAAATGACCTCAAGATGACGTCATTATCGGTCATCAATCATCGTGGGCATTAAACATTTTTCAGAATTTGATAGATCATCCCAAAATTTTATGAGTCGTTGAGATAAAGGAGTCTAGTTTTAGTATAGTCGCTGGTGAAAGTTGTAGATTATTTAAGGAAACAAACAATTATGATTTTTGTTTTTTTCGAAATTATTTAAATCCAAAAATGTATCTCTAAGAGATTAGGAGTGCAAAGATAAACTATGTTCGTAATTATCTTCTGATCTGAGTGATGATCTATAAATACATGATATCATGGAATAAATTAACGCATATTAGTTTATCGAGCCTTTGGTCAAAAAAATATAATTAGTTTATTGTAATATAGTGTTAATTATTGACAAAAGGATATTTTAAATTTTAATCTTAGGTCAAAACTTTTTAAAAAAAGAATCTTAGGTCAAAACTTCGAGAATATAGAAAAAAGGGAAAAGAAAAGAAGCTCATTCCGATATAAATTGTTCGCATGAAAGAAACAGAAAAACAACCATGTGAACTGACATAGACTAGCTAACTGAACATAGTGGAAGAAACTAACATTATACAGGGAAACTTTACTGAACGAATATAGTTCCCAATTAAATTTTGTTTTCCAAAAATATGAATGAATATTGTTGGACAAAATAAGTTGCACCCATTGCAAGCAAAGAGTTTGCAAGCTGTTCCCACGCGAAAAAAGAATCATAACAAATTTGGTTTTGTATAAGAAAATAAATGAAGTCATATATTATATTTGAGGAAAGTTTTAGAGGATAGTGTAGTTATAGATTGAGTGTGATGCAACGAGACAAATAAATCAAAATAATTGAAACTTGGATTTTAACGCACCCAAAAGATCTACAATGGTGACAGCATATTATGCGGTACGGTTTAAATATTTTTAGAATGCGATGCGGTTTACTTTTAGTAAGTGTGGAAAAAATTTAACTGCGGAACAAATGCGGTTTATGTAAAATAAGCGGTACAAACTAATGTATGATTGGTGAAAAACACGAAATACATTAGTTTATAAAAGTAGTGATGAATGACATAACTTATATATATATTTTTTATAATTATTAAATTTAGATAAAATTTATATTACTCATATTCAATTTATACATTTTTTTTTCAAATTATTATCACTTAAAAAACATAATTTATCGTAAAAACGCACTTACATAAATACATAACACACCTAAAACCATGTGTTTTACTGTAGCAGTACGGATTGCAATTTTTCTTCACAAAAGTGAACCGCAACCTACCTTTCATTTTTTTAATAATTTAATCATCAAAAACGCACCGCACTTTTAAAAACTTGTTGATTGGTGATAACAAAGTGGGCTCCACAATTAAATTACAAAAACCGCACCGCAGTTGCAAAAAACACAACTCCCATTCACAGCCTTAATTAACATATCAATCTAAGGCCCTAACTGGTACCAGATTAATTGGGGAATTCTGAAAAATGTTGATGAATTATTTGTTAGTGTTACCAGTTACTTTTGAAGAATGTAGTGGAATGCTTTTTGGCAGAATTTTTTCTAAGGCATTTTTCTTTTTTTGTTTTCTCTGAAAAACTTTAATAGAATGTTGACTTTGACTAAATTACATTTTAGAAACTGTTTTCTAAAAATCAATATAAAGAAATAAATATGTGCATGTTACAAAAATATATTAGCTGAGAAAATGATAAAATAAAAAACCTAAATTATATAAAATAAACATATCAATATTATAAATCCAAAATTTTATAACTTCTACAAAATCAATTAAAACAGATTATTTTATTAACTTTTTTTGTTATTTTACTTATTTTAACAGGGTAATTATTTAAATATTCTGTTATTCAAATAATTTGTCAGATTCATATATGGAGTATTTAATTTAGTAGATTTTTAAAACATGTGTTTTTTTTTTCAAGAGTAAAATGTAAATATAATTTCATAAAAAATGGTGCAGTTTTTTAGAATTTATAAATTTTGATGTTAAATAAATTACTATGAATCAATCCAAAATCTATAATTTTAAATAATTTTATTTTATTGAACTATTATTTAGTTATTTCTCAAGTATATGATTTTATTTAGTTTATAATTCAAGTGGGTAAATGTTTTGTTATTTTGTTACACAAACCATTGTTGTTTTGTTAAGATAAAATTTGTTTAGATTTAAAAGGTTAAAAAAAATTTGATACCAACATTTTATTTGAATTTTCAAGTTTAAAAATATTGTTGAACAAACTTTTGAAACAAATATTTCTAAAAAAAAATTATTCTGTATTCAGCAACATTCAGCAGTTACCATTCACATTACTAACTATTCAGCCAGATTCCACAAAAAGTTACAATTTAATTCTGCCAGATTCCGCATTCAGCAACATTCCGCAGTTACCATTTAGACCCTAAGTTTCTTTTTGTGTTTCAATGCTGTTTTGTTTTATGTCTCCACTTGCGCTCTGTACATAAACGTTAGTTGATAATTCAGTAATATAATATAACCATTAACAAAGAAAAAAACTTTATGACCCAAATCGCTAAAAATAGCATGCCGTAAAGAGATGTGTAACCAACCACTAGATGGTTATAAAGTTCATAAATTTACTCAGCGTTTCATAATATTTAGACATAGCTATAATCCTTGATTTTTACTTATTGTAAAAATGCATTTTTCACATCTCTCTCTCCTCCTGCTACTGATGAATCTGTCACATCTTTCTGTTACAAACTCTAAAGAAGCTGGACTCGGGATTTGAATTGAATGAAAAATACATACGTTTACCAAAAAATAAAATAAAATAATACATACTACTAATTAATCTTTACTTAGTAATACATTTGTGATTTGTCTGTATTGTTTCCAATTACTTTACTTACATGGCTAAAGATCTTTTGACCTAGGTATAGTCTATGGCTCTATGCACCCTGCCTAAAATTTTACCACTGCATTGCTTATAATTTGCAAAAATGCAAACTAATCGAGCTAAGAAAGCCAAATTACGAAAAACCATAGTAGTCAGCTTAAATCAAGAAAGAAAGAATAACCAATGATGAGACTATAGGAGTCAACACAATATCCGCTCCAGAATACATCTTTTTAATCTTTTGTATATAGAAATACTTTTTTACGATAAAGCTTTTTTTTAGGAAATAGATAATTATACGTACAAGACAAGATTATATCCTTTATTAAATGTTTTTATGAATCTTTCCCAATTAAACTTAGTCTCCCGGAAAGAAATAATTATATATTAGACAGTATTATATCCTTAAACAATTTTTTGATGTTTTGTATATATATATAACTAGATTAAGACCCGCGTATACGCGGGTTTATTTTAAGATTTTGTAATAAAATCATGGAAAAGTATTAAACCAAATTTGATCATTTTAAAGTAAACAGAATAATATTAAAAACCCGATAAAAATATTTAAATAAAATAAGATCGGTAACCTTTTTACGTTTTTATTGTAATTGATATTTTTTTGAATTCATGATATGAAAAATGAATTAATTTGTTTTATTTTTATTTTTATCCAATATAGAAAGACTTATATATGTCTAAATATGATCAACTGATTAATTAATTCAACAAAACTTTATTATTCCATTCAAGAGATTTCAATTGATGAAATCTTTATTTAATAATTTTTACCTAACAATATTGAAAATTAAACTATTTAAAATTAGAATATCGGTTCATTATATTTTCTTAATATTAGTTAGTTGCTTGATGATGTCAAAAAAAAAGTTAGTTGCTTGATAATTAATTTGTTAGTTTTCTATTTATATTGTTTCTTTCTCAATTTTGTTTTTGACTCAGACCATTATAAATTTTCATTTTCATTATTAGTTAGTTTTTTTTTTTCTAGTTTTTATATCTGTTTAACATTTTTCCAATTAACATGTCTTCACCGGATCAAATACATGTAACGACAATAATTTTGATTTCTATCCAACCGATATAGAGTTAGATACATGTATCGACAATAATTTTGATTTCTATCCAACTAATATAGAGTTAAATATTATTCATTGATACCATGAATTTTAAATACATGATTTTTTATGAGAGAAAAGATTATACAAAAGATAGAAGCACATAATTGAATCGCAATAGCTTATTATATATTGTTTTTTTCCTGTTCATAATGGGAATATAAACACATATCGCAATTTTGTGAGTTATAAAAATCATGATTGCTATCATTTAACTTTTTCTTTTTATAGGGGTTCATGTAACTTATTCCATGCAGTTATAGGAAATTTAGTTTACCTAACCTATTTCATGTACTAATAGGATTTTATTTATTTCATTAATTTGAATCTTATATGTGTTTGGATAATATAAATTTGATGAATGGGAAACCTTTTTCTATTAGGATATGACAAATATAATTTTTTTTTCTTTTAACTATAAAAGATTAAAATTTCGTTTTTTTTCCTTTATCTATTTTTTTTAATTATTATTTTTTTCCTTTTTTCTAAGACACATGTCACGATCTTAACGGACATAACATTAAAAGTGACACATGTCGCAATCCTAAATTTTATAAAAATCCTACGTGTCGCAACCACGTCGCGCGCATCCAGCTTTATATAATAAGATACTGATACTAGGGTTTGACCCGCGCCCTGCACACGGTGATGGTTTGTCGATTTGTATTTTCACTAGAAAGTGTTTATTAAAATATCTCGAAATTTTATGCCACGAATTTGATCTTTGTTACATTATTGTCTTCTCTTATTCATTTATAGTATGAAAATTAAGTATTTTAACCTATTTTTTAAAAAGATAAATAAATTCCTTGATCGTAACCATAGATTAAATATGAAAGATTTAAGTTAGATATATAAAAATCAAATGACTACAATATAATAATAAGATAGTTTAAAGAAAAAAAAACAGAAAAAATATTCTTTAAAAGAATTATACATGTATTTTATAAGATATGAAGTTTTAGTTGAGTGTAAACGGATTAGATCTAAATTTTTTTTTTCTTTTTTTCAAAACTAAAACATACTTTATTATAATTTCAAAACAATCAAACTAATAAGAAAACAATTTGCATAATCCAAATTGTCGAAAAAAAAACAAAAATTGAATTAACTGTATATTGAAAGTTGAAACAGATAGAGTAATATTCAAAATTTTAATCAAAATAAAATATTTAGAAAATTAAATTTTTTAATCTATTTGATTATAGAATTTAATTAAAAACCCATATTAAATGGAATAAAAATAATAATTAATTTATCTTTTCGATACCTACTAAATGAGGTTATTTACTAAACAATTTATATTATTTTATTTTTAAAAAATTCAAATCATAGCCTATACAGAAAAAAAAATTAGATTTTCTTTATTAGATTATTTATATTGTGATTCAATTTATTTTATAAAATAAATGTAAATAAAGATAATAGGAGATATATGATGATTTTAAAAGAAATTATTATGATAGAATTAAATTGAATCTAATATTTTCCTTATTTACTAATTTTCGTAGTTGTCAATTAAGGAAATAGAATGATATTTTTTTATTAATAGTTATATATATGATTAATTTAATATACATATTTGATTCTCTAACCAAAAATATGAATGGCAATGTTTGTAATTATTCTAGTAAACTAACTTTATTTCATAACTAACCTAAGAAGCTCTCTAATGATGACACATCAGAATGGCATTATTGTTAATAACACATCAACTAAAGGTTACTTTGAAAGTGTTTTCTCTTTTAATATATCAGGGATTTTCCACATACGAAAATAGCTTACTCCTATACCTATAGGCTATAGCATGGTTATGAAAGCATGGTGTAGGTCTAGAGGCTTACTATATTTTCCTTACACAAACAAGATTTTAAATATGTAGCTATAACCTATATATAACTTTCTCATACAGGCGTTGAGAGAGAAAGGAAAGTGTCAAAACAAGAATACACCCGACTACCAATTTCTCGATAAATAGCATGAATCAAAGATTAGATACCCTCAAAATAATTGTGTAATCGATTGTCAGATAAATGTAAATATGTAATAATAGTTATAGGCACGACTTCTTCCTAATCGATTGACAATACCTCTTCCTTTAAAATACTAATCTTCCTCTTTACATTTTTTTTATTTCAATTAATATTTACCATTAAATCACAAATAAAAACTAATTTTTAACATAAAGTACTAGTTTAAACTTTAAGTAAGGAAAATAAGAAAAAAGCAGCCGGCGGTTCTTCATGTTTAGAGCGGTTCTTTTTTTTTCTTTCACAGAGCTTTATGTTTAAAGCGGTTCTTCCTTCCACATTTCAGCTTTAACTACTATATAAGAGCATGTCCATCTGTTATACCGTAGTCTCAGTCTCTCTTAAATATTAAATCAATATAATTTTTAAAAAATAATTAAACTTAAAATAATAAAAGAAGCCAACCACTAATATAGTGACACCTCTTACCATAGTTTCTTATTTTTGTTGATACGGTTTCGTTGCATAGAAACGTATCACACTCTCTGACATTCTCTTTCCTCCTTTTTCATTTGTTTTTAATTTTTTAATGTATAGAGACCATGCTAAATATCACCGCTGGAGATACTCTAAGGGACATAACATGGATTATCTACAGCATGTAGGGTTGGTATATGGACCATTATTGTTGAAGATGCAGTTATTAAACTTATTATAATACAGAAACAGAGTGAAAACCCGACCTTTTTTGTTAAAGTAAAATTTGTACGTTAGAAGAATTCTTTGGGTTTTAATAGACTCAAATTTGAATAAAGCGTTGTATATATGTCCACACTTTTATAGGTTCGTGATCACATGCATCAATATTAATGATTGCTGCGTAATCTTGTGGTTGGTACTATATGGGTTACGAGTTACGAGTTACGAGTTGCGAGTTATGACACATCGCTAATACATCTATACTAAATTGAAACAAGGAAACGAAATACAGTAGAACCTCTATAAAGTAATACTCGATAAAGTAATATCTCGATAAATGAATATAATTTCCAAGTTCTGAATTCAGTTTTTGGTCTAATTATCTCTCGATAAAATAATAATCTCGCTAAAATAATAAAATATTGTAGTTCCAACGTTATTACTTTATAGAGGTTTTACTGTACATCGAATTCTACATTATTGAACTTTAACAGAAATAAAAGATAAATGTTTACAGCTGGGGTTAACGAGGGATTCCCCAATCAATACAAATAGAAGCACGAGACATCGATTTAAACTCACAAAAATCATCTCTCTCTCTCGGAGTTCTTTTTTCTCTTTCTCTTTTCTCAAATGATCCAAAAGATGTCAATACCACCTTTCTTCCTCCTCTTGATACTGACGATCTACTCACATCTCTCTGTTACAAACTCTAAAGAAGCTGGACTTGGAATTTTCCCCAAAATACCAAGGAATGCTCCCGATAGTCAGAGCCAAGAAGTAGATGTTTCTACTGATTCCGATCGTAATATTTTATATTTTGATCAGAACCTCGATCACTTCACATTCACGCCGAAAAGCTACATGAAATTTCAACAACGATACGCCATCGACTCCAAGTACTGGGAAGGTGCTAAAGCTAACGCACCGATCTTAGCGTTTCTTGGAGAGGAATCGTCGTTGGATTCCGATTTATCCGGCATAGGATTCCTTAGCGAGAATGGTCCTCGTCTAAAAGCTCTTCTCGTGTATATAGAGGTACGTGAGAGTAATCATGCAAGCGATTACATAAGTATTTATAGTATGTGTTTATAAATTAACGCTTGCAATATCAAATGTGCGCAGCATAGGTTTTACGGGAAGAGTCTACCGTTTGGATCGGCAGAAGAAACTTTGAAAAACGCAAGTACCCTGGGATACTTAAACGCCGCGCAGGCCTTAGCAGATTACGCAGCCATTCTTTTGCACGTCAAAGAGAAATTTTCTGCCAAACACAGCCCGGTAATCGTCATCGGAGGATCCTACGGAGGAAGTAAGTCATCTTTACAGTTATATATATTATGTGCATTATCACACATTCACACCCATAACTTGTGTAATATATTTGATTATTCATGAAAATGTGTTTTTCCTTTTTTGTAATGGTATGACACAAAGTGTTGGCGGCATGGTTCAAGCTAAAATACCCGCACATAGCACTCGGTGCATTGGCATCTTCAGCTCCTCTTCTTTACTTTGAAGATACGCGACCGAAGTATGGTTACTATTATATCGTAACCAAGGTTTTCAAGGTAATATTCCTATTCAATTATTAGACCATATCGATAGATAAGGTCTTTTTTTTAATCAACATTAATCCACATTAACTATTCCGTTCTAAGCGTTCTTCACTAGTTTTTGTTGGTAACATGGTTAAATATCAGTCTTAAGTAATACTCCCTCCGTTTCAAATTAATTGTCGTTTTGGGAAAATGTATCTGCAATTATTTGGATGTATCTATAATGCAAAACACGTCCAGATTCGTCCAAATATTTGCAGATACATTTTGCCAAAACGACAACTAATTTGAAACGGAGGGAGTATTAATTTCATTTCTTACATATATATGTTCCATAAGGAAACGAGTGAGAGGTGTTACGACACGGTTCGTCAATCTTGGGAAGAAATTGATAGAGTTGCTGCCAAACCCAACGGTCTCTTGATCCTCAGTAGAAAATTCATGATGTGCAAGTACAAACATTTTTCTCCTTTTTCCTTTTTCAATAATCAATAACCTATCCTCCTTATTTTGCTTTGCTTTTTTTTTTTTTTGTTTGTTTGTCAATGAATAATATATCATTTGATAATTAAATTATATCTTTTATTATTTATCAGTCCTTTGAACGGAACCTTCGCACTAAAAAACTATCTCGATTCCATTTACGCTACGGTAGCTCAATACAGCAACAATTTTTATTCGGTTGCCACCATATGCGAGGCGATTAACAGCCCACCAAACGACAAGGACGATCTATTAGGGCAAATCTTCGCAGGTTTATTTTTATGTTAAAACTTGGTTTAGTTTGTTAAAAATTATATCTAACTAACGATGAATTAATGAGGCTTTTACAAAATAAACTTCTTCCTCGCAGGCGTTGTTTCTTTTATGGGCAACAAAACTTGTTACGATACATCTTTGGAGCCCACAAACGCCTACATGGCATGGAAATGGCAGGTATATTTTTCCGTCACAAAACATATTATACCTAATAGATTTTGTTATATACTAATTCGTCAAACGGAAATTTTTAATAAAGACGATAATTACTTATAGACCTGCAGCGAGATGGTCATGAAAAAGAAGATACAATGTTCCAGACGAAACCCTTTAATATGAGTACATTCACAGAAGAATGTGAAGTGAATTACGGTGTCCCTCCTCGTCCTCATTGGGCCACCGCTTACTTCGGGATTCAGGTAAATAAGAAATATTATAATTAATTTCACAATTTATTTCTTCAATTTATTAATATAACTTGACGTTAATATATATATATATATATATATATATTTATATATGTGTGTGTGTAATGTAGGATGTCAAGTTAATCCTTCGTCGATTTGGAAACAACATTATATTCTCGAATGGATTGTTAGATCCGTATAGTGCCGGCGGGTAACTTCATTTTATTTATCCATAAACTGTTTAAATGAGTAATCTGGTGTACAATTATATCATTATAAATAATAGTATACATGAATCAATGTGTGCAAAACTTATGAATTCTTCATATATTTCAGAGTTTTGGAGGATATATCAGCCACCGTAGTCGCCATCACGTCAAAATACGGTAATTTAATTACTAAATTTTAAGTAAGCATTACGAGTTCTTCATAAATGAAGTCTCACTAATTTTGCGAAATATATTTACAGGCTCTCATTGTCAAGACATTGTCTTTAAAAGCCGAGAAGACCCGGATTGGCTAGTGATCCAAAGGAAGAAAGAAATCGAGATAATCAAGTCTTGGATTTCGACCTACAAAAGAGATATGAGAGATCTCAACATATCGGTTTAGGATATTTGGTTGTAAAAATAAAATAAAACACATAAATCAATAAATGGCTGTAGTATGATTGGATTGAGTCGTATTTAGTATCACTCTTTTTCTTCATGTGACTTTCTCTTAATCTTATGATCACAAATCCACTTAGTTCGGATCCACTTGACGAAAAGTTTATTCTTATAGAAAGAAAAAAATCACTTGGTTTGGTTAGGATCCTCCACATCATTTATCCAACCATGACGAAAAAATAATTATAAAAAACACATTTTCCTCGCATCTTCTTATAAGAATCAAGATCTCTGAAACAGCAAATTATATATAAATTAACGCATTTTCATTTACAATCATATATCAGTATCTCCATTGTTGTATGTTCGTCTTAAAAAACCATATTATGAGCTGTCTTTTTCTTGTAAGAGATCATAGCCAAGATTATGAGAAGGAGAGAAGGATTTATTTGCGCACTATACACATTCCCATATATGTGCTACTTTTCTAATTTTGGACCAATAAATGGCCATTACACCAATCCACTATTAAACTAAAAGGGGATTCCCAACTCGCAAGACGTGGACGGCGCTCCAATCGATACGCGAAGACATTTCCTCTCTAACAATAATCCTTGCTCAAATGAAGATAGAGTTTCGAACCTCATGACTTCCATAGGTATTTGATCGCTTCGTGGTAGAAAATTTCACTAGTTGCAAACTAAAATATAATAATATATATTAACATGAACTAATCGATAATTTTATATTGAATTCATCTAAACATCGATATCTAAAACAGTTTTAGTACACATTGCAAACTAATTTTTTATTAGTCTTTGATTTTTGTTTATGGATAAGAGTTGTACATATATCCTTAATATTATCGACTTGGATCGAACATTACGGTATGAAATCTCCGGAGCATTTTATGGCACACTTTCCACATTCTTCTCTAGTTCTGCCACATGTCGCAAAACAATCCCTTAAGCATATAGGGTTTGGAACTCCTTGTGGCCTTATCATTTCCATTCTGCATACAACCAAAAATTAAAACTACATAAATGTTACACTAATTTGTTTTAAAGTTTAATTTTATTTATTGAAAAGAGCTGTAATTATCCTTAAAATATCAATTTAGAACTTTACGGTTTGAAATCTCCGGAGCATTTTATGAAACACTTTTGACATTCTTCTCTAGTACTGCCACATGCCGCAAAACAATTCCTTAAGCATATAGGGTTTGGAACTCCTTGTGGCCTTATCATTTCCATTCTGCATACAACCACAAATTACAACTACATATGTATATTTTTTTCTACGGCAATTACAACTGCATATATGTTAAACTAATCACACAAACACACATATGGATGATGTGGAACGCTAATTCATTAGTTAAAAATAAAACAAAAGATTCGTGAGAGTTAGATACGTACGGTGAAAGAGATGTTGGTCTGTGAGTGTCTTCCTTTGAGATAGTTTCAATTCCATCGCTTGCCTTTAGATGGCATCCTATCATGATCAATACCATCATCATACACTCTTTTAGCGCCATTCTTTTACAAATTTTCGTAAAAAATGTAATTCAATTAAATCAAGATTTTGTTGGTTGATACATAAATTTTGTGTGTGTATATATATATATGAATGAAACATGCGAATCCAATTATTAATTGTATTAATTTATTAACCATAATAGCACATTTATTAGTTTGTTGATTTGACTTGGATACAATTAATTTTGTAACTTTTGTTTGACTTACAAAATCAATATATTACTCCCTCCGTTTCAAATTAGTTGTCGTTTTGGCAAAATGTATCTGCAAATATTTGGACGTATCTGGACATGTTTTGCATTGCAGATACGTCCAAATATTTGCAGATACATTTTGCCAAAACGACAACTAATTTGAAACGGAGGGAGTACTATATTTTCATATATCCAACAATAATTGAAAACAATGCAAATTTATTATTAGAAGATTCTTAGTCAAACATTTATTTTCATTGTTTCCTTGGTTGAAATATACTACTACTAATCAATATTTGCTTGGTCAAACATTTATTTGCACTGTTTCCATATACTTTAGTGATACATTTATTTGCATTACTTACCTGGCTAAAGATCTTGTGACCAGTTATAGTTTGTGCACCCTGCTCCCATACCATTTAAAGAATATAAATTCTGTAGTCATCAGCTTGAATAAAGAATAAAGAATAAGACTATAAAGTCAACACAAAACATCCACTTAGGAATAGGAGACAATAATATATATCTGTCATTAGAGCATCTCCATCCCTGTATCTAAAGAGGGTTTTAACAAAGTTTTTAACAATTAAAAGCAATTAAGAAAAGAAAAAAACACGAATATATTATTAGAGAGAAGTAACAGTGGATATAGTTGGTACTTGTATTGGTTGAGTGGTCTAAATATATATTTTTACTCTTTTTTCATTTGTTTTACTTATTTTTCACTTGTGTATTACTTTTTTTTTACTTATGTTTTACTTAATTTTTTCTTCTTTAATTAAAGTTTAGAACAACTAGAACGTATATCGTTTAAGTAGAGTTTAGTTACACTATATGCATCATTACATGATATATAGTTTTCTAGTACCTTCGCACTAAAAAGCTATCTCGATTCCATTTACGCCACGGTAGCTAATACAGCAAGTCAGCAACAATGTTTATGCGGTTGCCACTGTGCGAGGCGATTAACAGTCCACCAAACGTCAAGGACGATCTATTAGGGCAAATCTTCGCAGGTATATTTTGATTTTTATGTTAAAATTTGGTTTGGTTTGTTAAAAGTTATATCTAACTAATGATGAATTGATGAGGCTTTTACAAAAAAACTTCTTCCTCGCCACGTTGTATCTTTTATGGGCAACAAAACTTGTTAAGATACATCTTTCAAGTCCACAAACGCCTACATGGCATGTAAATGGCAGGTATATTTTTCCGCCACAAAACAATTTATACCTAATCGATTTTGTTACATACTAATTCGTCAAACGGAAACTTTAGTAAATACGATAATTACTTATAGACCTGCAGTGAGATCGTCATGCCAATAGGACATGAAAAAAGAAGATCCTCGTGAACATTATGTTTTATTGTCATGCCATTATGTTTGTATATAAAATTCTATGGCTTATGTGATTTAGTTACTCGTGAACAAGTTACTATATGGAATTTTGTTTGGAGATGAGTATTCTACCTCATGGTCTTAATTACTAACAAGAGTTTAGTAAGTCCAAAAAAACTTTGCCAATACGAAATGCGACCACAACCTATACGGACAAATTTAGGGAAATTAACCTTGATGACAAGCCAAAAGGAAAGACATCTTAAAATTTAGGGAAAATATATGGTTCAACAACATTAAGTCCTTGTGATCAATCTATGGGCACGAAACAATATAAAAGACATTCCCCATGGAATGTGACACCACACCTTCGTAACTTAGCCACAAAGGAAAAAAAAGGTGGTGCTTTAATTAAACTTTTTATATAAAAAAAAGTATTTATTAATATTTTTATATCACCTTTTATTTGAATGAACTGCTACAATTGAAAGCTCATTGATCCAAATCAAATTTATAAAATTTTGAAGATCTGGTTCGTAAAATTCTTATTGAAACTTTTTTGTGAGAAAAAAAAAAGTAGTCAAGGTTTTTTGCACAAAAAGGTAAAAACCTATGATAATGTATTGAACTAAAAACTATATGCTCTCTTTCGGATGATTGGAGGATTCCCAAAACCAAACCCAAGATTAAGAGTGGCTAAGATAGATCAATAGAAGCTTATAAGAAACGGTGTCTTAGTTAATACAATACACTTATACACTACAACACATAAAGGAACTATGCGCACACCTCCACGAACCGAATAGACTCACTTTTTGATCGGTTGTTAAACAGAGCTAAAAGTTTGACGAATGTCTCATCATTTCTTGTTTTTTCGTAACATCTACAACATTACAGTTAAAAAAAAGAAAAATCTTAAACATGGAACATGGTGAACATATAACCACTAGGCTAATGTGTGACGGGGCATCTCAGAATTTAAGCTAAATTCAATCTTTTAATAAAAGAGAAGAGAGCGATGAAAAACGAAAAATATACAGAAACGTATCAAGTATATATGTACTCGTTAAGGGGTCGGAATTTCGCATTCGCAAATGGCGGTCTAATTCGCAGGCATGGAACTTTAATTTTAGTTAGAGATAAAGGTTTTCCTTTCTAAATATGTTCATTTTGTTAAATAAGGGCGATAAAGAAAAAACGATGTCGACAAATGTTCGGTTTATTTATTATTTTTATCATTTTCTTTTTTTGGTAGACGTGGAAAATAAAAGGAATTGGTAAAGTAAAATGTATGAAATAATTGCAATGTGGGTTCTACAAAATAAAGCAAAATGATTTGAGTTGTTTTCTGAAGACATACACTATTAAAATTTTATGGACATCCAACTTACAATCATTTGACAACAAATGGATTAATATAAACCAATTCATACTTCTAATGTGGATATTTTTCTAATGCCCTCTTTCGAAATGATGATTTTTGTATCCCATTTCAAACTTAATCCTACTCTAAGATTGACAATAAACTCTGCGTATACCATTTACAGACCCATTGTTAACAAACTGAACTTTGTTTTTATATGATTAAGATTCATAAGTGTTCAATTCAAAACCAACTAATCCATATTTGCTTTTTTATATATTACCTGAGATTTCATCATATTTTTTTATGTCAGAATCCTAAAAAAGCATTATTTTTATTTACAATCGATCGTCACGGTGAAAGTGCACCTAACCTCTAGTGTAGCACTACACTTTCTTGAACAGTGCTACATGCATTGACCGTAACTTGTTAACCAATCGAGTTTGGAGTTCGCAAACTCATCAACTTGTTGAAAATATTCAATGTTCAACGATAGGTAAAAGGCATAACTTGCTTTTTGTTTTCTTATGGATTCTATAGTTTCCAACATATCGTGTACAAATAAAAAAGTAAGAGGTGCGTCGAAATTACGCACTACGTGGTTTAGGTATTTAGTAAAAAAGAAATAGCAAAAAAAAAAAAAAAAAACGAATTGAAAGGAGCTCATGGACATGGAGCATGATGCCAAGAGAACCTTGTATTGACTGGTCTTCCTTTTCTTTTCAATGAAAGCCTAATCCTTGTTTGTCTATACAATTTTACTTTTCGTATATGATAAGTTTTACTTGTTTGTTAAGTAACTTTACGAATTACAATGTCTTTTCAAAATTTCAAACTATTATCACTTATACATATTTGTTAACTAACTTCTACTATGTCTATATAGTTTTTAATTTTTATGTATGGTAAAAAGCTTAATAAGTGATAAATTAATAATTTGATTAATCAATATAATTTTTCGATCCTAAACTAAGTTTTTGATTCAAATTATTTCTCGATAAATTCATAATTTGCTAAATTAATAAAATATTCTTATCCTAATATTATTAATTTATAGAGTTTTTGCTATATTAAAAAAGGTTATTTTATTAAGGGAATTTTAGATAAATGGGCACTTTTTAAAACACGAATATATTATTATCAGTTTATCATTTATTTTTGCTCCAGGTCATTTAACTTTGATATGCTTTTTGTGTCACACTTTGATATGTTTAAAAAAAAGAAAATGGATTAATAGAAAGTAGAATCAAAGGAAGTAAAACACATGTGATTTTGGCGTAATCTGTACTGAAACACCTTCTCTGTTTATCCACTGTTACTTCTCTCTCTCTCTTTCTTCCAAAGTACAAAACAAATCTCCGAATCGTCTGTTTTCATGTAATAGTCTGACGGCTCGATTATCCATTTCGAGACTGCCGATTCGTAGTCGCTAACAATTGGCGGCTCGATTCTTCATCCTTTGACGTGCCCAGAAGAAGAAAAAAAAAATGATCTTTTTGATTTCTGACGAGATATAGAAATTCTTCTTAACACTTACCCACAAGCCGGAGCAGCTATGGCGGATGCTCGTTACGCGGCGGCTATTCTCCTTTGTTTATTACCAGCGGCGGTTTTGTCTTACGGTTTTCCGGCTGCCCTGAAACTAGAAAGAGCGATCCCGGCGAGTCACGAGATGGAAATCAGTCAGCTTAAGGCACGCGACAGAGCTAGACACGGCAGATTGTTACAGTCCCTCGGCGGAGTTATAGATTTCCCCGTTGACGGAACTTTTGATCCTTTCGTTGTTGGGTAATCTAAAAATTCATCTTTTTTTGTTTTTTTTTTTTCGATTGTTGGCAATAATCTAAAATTCATGATTTTGATGCCTACTAGGTGTTAAAGCTCAGTCATTGTCTGCCAAATTTTTCTTTTTTTCCTTATGTCTCAATCAAAAAAGTTATAATCTTTGGTTTTGTTGTGTTGTGCTAAATTTTGGAGTTTGATTTTGAACAGATTATACTACACGAAACTGCGATTGGGATCTCCTCCAAGAGACTTTTATGTACAGGTTGACACAGGAAGTGATGTGTTGTGGGTCAGTTGTGCTTCTTGCAATGGCTGTCCTCAAACCAGTGGACTCCAAGTAAAGCCTTTTCTTAAACTCTTTCACTATCTTAAAATTCTTTGATTTGATATTAATATGCTGCTTTGTTCGGTTTGTTGTTTTGCAGATTCAGTTGAATTACTTTGATCCAGGGAGCTCAGTGACAGCGACACCGATCTCATGTTCTGACCAAAGATGCAGTTGGGGTGTTCAGTCCTCTGATTCAGGCTGTTCTGTTCAGAACAACCTCTGCGCTTACACGTTTCAGTACGGAGATGGAAGTGGCACCTCAGGGTTCTACGTCTCTGATGTCTTGCAATTTGACATGATTGTAGGAAGCTCTCTGGTCCCAAACTCAACCGCTCAGGTTGTGTTCGGGTGAGTTATTATTTCAGCAAAATCCTTTTTTCATAGTCATCAATTTGAGGCCATTACTCTTGACTTTGTGTGATTGTTTTTTTTCTGGAACAGATGCAGTACCTCGCAGACGGGTGATCTAGTGAAGTCGGATAGAGCAGTTGATGGAATCTTCGGGTTTGGGCAACAAGGAATGTCTGTGATTTCTCAGCTTGCTTCACAGGGACTAGCTCCGAGAGTGTTCTCACACTGCTTGAAAGGAGAGAATGGAGGTGGAGGCATATTGGTTCTTGGAGAGATTGTGGCGCCAAACATTGTCTTTACTCCACTCGTTCCCTCACAGTGAGAATCCTTTTACCTCTTGAAGAAACTGTTTCATTTTGAAATTGTTTAGATGTTTCAATAGAGAGTGATTGATAAGCAGCGTGTGAAAATTTTCAGGCCTCATTACAATGTGAATCTGCTGAGTATCTCAGTAAATGGCCAAGCTTTGCCTATCAATCCCTCGGTCTTCTCCACATCAAACGGACAGGGAACAATCATTGACACTGGTACAACACTTGCTTACCTTTCTGAAGCAGCTTATGTTCCTTTCGTTGAAGCTGTAAGTCATCAAACTCTGCCTATAATTGTTCTCCACTGACTTTACACTCTGCAATCTTGTCTTGATACGTTATGGAATTTTTCAGATCACAAATGCTGTTTCTCAGTCTGTCAGACCAGTTGTTTCGAAAGGGAACCAGTGTTACGTGATAGCCACAAGGTGCGTCTTCCTTTTACCATCTCTAACCATGTCTTCTTATTGGTATTTAAATGGTGGAAATATCTGAACTTTTTTTATGGAACTGTAATGATCAGTGTTGCAGACATATTTCCACCAGTTAGCTTGAACTTTGCTGGTGGAGCATCCATGTTCTTGAATCCTCAAGATTACCTCATTCAGCAAAACAACGTCGTAAGTACTTTTAACTCCGCTTCCGTTGAAATCTTGTTTTTGTTGTTGTTGTTCTTGGTATAACATTTGTCTCTGCACTCTGCTTTCTAGGGAGGTACTGCAGTGTGGTGCATAGGTTTTCAGAGGATACAGAATCAGGGGATAACGATTCTTGGAGGTAATCCAAATTGAAAGCTTAAGCCGTTGTTATTTGAAATCTTTGTTCTGTAACATAAAGTCACAAAGACATCGGTTTTCATCTTTTGTTATGCAGATTTGGTTCTTAAAGACAAGATCTTCGTCTATGATCTGGTGGGGCAGAGGATAGGATGGGCAAATTATGACTGTAAATCTCATCTCTTTAAACTCAAATGAGCTGCAAGAGCAATCAAATCTTTCCACACTTGAGAAAATCTCTCAACTTTGATCTTTCTTTCTTCAGGTTCAATGTCTGTAAATGTATCTGCGACTAGCAGCAGTGGAAGAAGCGAATATGTGAACGCAGGACAGTTTAGTGACAGTGCTGCGCCGCAGAAGCCGTCTCTGGACATTTTCAGAAACACTCTAATGCTCTTACTATTGGTGATCAACATGTTCTTATAGCACACAGCTTATACACGTTTGCCTTATGTAGTTTCTGTACACTGTCTTTATTTGGTTGCCCGGCGTGTTATTTGCGGTCGCCGGAGAGTAATTGTCTCCCGACCGGCGAAGCCCAGCAGAAGAAAAGTTGACTTGTTTGTTGTTAGTGTTGTTGTTTTCTTCACTCCATTGTTATAGTTTTGAATTTTTGATGTACATAATTCGGTTTTTGTACTTAGTGGTGTGTGTATCGTTCTTCTGATCAAAGGTTTTCTGATATTTCATACTATTTTTCATTTAATATTGCGAAATTGAAATCATAGTCATTAAGAAATATTGACATCCCACCAAAAGCAAATTAGATAACGTTTTCACACCCTCGGATCAAACTAGAGCATCAATATATAAAGAGGAATTAACCATTAGAGGTAAATTTGTAATGATCCAAACACTAATCTCTGAGTCAACTAGTGATCAAGGCCTTTCAACAATTTTCCTAAACTACTTCATTTGATGAACAATACTTCTACTTAATTGTTACAAACTTATATAGTTTGAGTATCTCATTACAATCATTAAAAATATACTTCGTGTTCTAAAGTTTAACACTCTAACCAATAGTATATATGATTTATGCTACTTTTGTAACTGATAAAATATTAACTACAAGCCAATGGAAATTGAAAAAAATAAAGATTTATGCTATTTTTGTAAGTTATCCAATTTATTTAATCAGTATATTTGCATTAGGAAAAAAATCTCACAAATCTCTCAATATACAGTACTTCCCTTAACCGTGTACTTCGGTCTCAGACAGAGTCAACAAAAGCCCTAGTTTTTGGTATCTTGACTATCTCCCTGACACGGACCACTATCTTCTGTGTCAACCTAATCATTAATTTCGTGTTCCAGTTATGGTCGATTCTCAAATTGTTTGTCTGCATTAATTGGGAAATTTAGTTTTGGTCTTCGTCTGAATCTTCTCTTCCCTTTGAATCTCAAATTCCTAGGGTTTAACTTTTAGGGGTTTTTCCCGAATTGAATTTCCCAGATCCCAGCATCTACTCGAATTGCCTCCGTCCTCTATCTCCTGAATATTGATCCAGATTCGCAGTTATCATATTCTCTCGATTCGGACGCCTCTCAGTTACTGTCTAATTGATTCTGGCGATGGCGGATGAGAAGAACGGCGGACGTCTGAGTGACGCTAGCGATTACTCGTCGGAGGATGAGGGAACGGAGGATTACAGGAGAGGAGGCTACCATGCGGTGCGAGTCGGCGATACTTATAAGAATGGATCTTATGTCATTCAGAGCAAGCTTGGCTGGGGACATTTCTCCACTGTCTGGCTCGCTTGGGACACCCAAAATTCGGTAAGCCACTCTCACTTCTAGGGTTCAGGGAATCATTTTAGGGTTTTAGAAACGAGAGGAAAAGGAATTGCTTTTGACTAGGGTTGTGGGGCTTGAGATAGCTTGTTGGATTGCTTTTGAAGAGAATGTTGAATGTGGAACTGCTTGATTCTTTCTTATGGATAAAAATTGAATCTTTTTGTCTTCAATTCATTGTTTTGTAGCGTTATGTAGCTTTGAAGATCCAGAAGAGCGCACAGCACTACACTGAGGCGGCCATGGACGAGATAAAGATCTTGAAACAGATTGCGGAAGGCGACGCAGAAGACAAGAAGTGCGTTGTGAAGCTGCTTGACCATTTCAAGCACGCGGGTCCTAACGGGCAACACGTTTGTATGGTCTTTGAGTATTTGGGAGACAACCTCTTGTCTGTCATCAAGTACAGCGATTACCGAGGTGTGCCTCTTCACATGGTGAAAGAGCTCTGTTTCCATATCTTGGTTGGTTTGGATTATCTTCACCGCGGGCTCTCCATCATTCATACTGATATCAAGCCGGAGAACATTCTCCTCTGCTCCACCATTAACCCTGAAGCGGATGCTCGGAAGTCTGGTGCTCCTCTTGTTCTTCCGACTCCAAAGGACAAGGCTGTTCCGGTGGAGAGACAGGCTGAGAAAGAGAAACCTAAGAGTTACACTTACAGTGCGGATTTGACCAAGAATCAGAAGAAGAAGATTCGGAAGAAAGCTAAGAAGGTGGTGGTTGAAGGATGTGGTGGAGAGGATGGTTCTGAGGAGAACGAGAGAGATTCTAACTCCGAGGCCAAAGCAAACGGAGATTCGGCTGCGGAGAGGTCAGGGGAGAGTTCTGAGAGAGGGAAAGAAGCTGAGAATGTTAGTCAGAAGAATCGAGGGAATAGGAGAGGAAGTCGATCCACGAGGCAGAAGTTACTTGCGGATGTTGAACGGAAATGCAAGTTGGTGGATTTTGGGAATGCTTGTTGGACTTATAAACAGTTTACGAGCGATATTCAGACGAGACAGTACCGGTGCCCTGAGGTTATTCTTGGCTCAAAATACTCAACCTCGGCTGATATGTGGTCATTTGCCTGCATTTGCTTTGAGCTTGCTACTGGAGATGTTCTGTTCGATCCTCACAGCGGTGAAAATTTTGAGCGGGATGAGGTATATCTCTCTCTTCTTGCTTTGCTTTCTCATATTCTGTGAAAAGCTCAAATCATTTCATAAATAGAGCTTAAAACTGATTGACTTTTGTTTTCAGGATCACTTGGCATTGATGATGGAGCTTCTTGGGATGATGCCAAGAAAGGTAAACCTGAGAAACGCAGTGTTCTCTTATCCATCAGTATCGATTCGAGACAGGAATCTTAACGGGAATTGTTGTTGATGCAGATTGCATTAGGAGGACGCTATTCGCGAGATTTCTTCAACCGGCAAGGTGAGCTAAGGCACATCAGGCGGTTACGGTTCTGGCCACTGAGCAAGGTTTTGATGGAAAAATATGACTTCAGCGAGCAAGACGCTATGGCTATGCAAGATTTCATCACTCCCATTCTTGAATTTGTACCTGACAAGAGACCAACAGCTGCTCAGTGCCTAACGCACCCATGGATGAATCCGGTCCCTAGAGCGCTGAAACCTTCATCGAGTCCGCAAAATCCCAAAGAAGAAGTTGTTGAAGCAGCAGATGAGGATACGGTGAAGGAGAAAGATGAGAGGGAAGCCATGGAGGTTGGTGTTGGGAATATTGCTATTGATGGCTCAGAAGCAAATGCCTCAGGAAGAGAAGGTCGTCAATCTGCTCGTGATCCTCGCACTTGAGAGAAACAGAGTTCCTGGAAAAAAAGTTTTGTGTTCGTTTTCTGAATCTCTTCTCTGGGAACCAAGGATTTGGATATTGTTTTGTTTACTCCCTTCATGACTTGAAAACAAAAGATTTGAGATTTTTTTTCGCTATCCAACCAATTGAGATGATTCATCATTGATTCAACACTAACAAATAGTACAGAGCATAAGCAATGTTGACATAGCTCACGGGTCGTTGGAGACCACACAGTGATTATATATTCACTCTTTCTCTACGTACTAGGAGGGGCCTAATGCGACACTGTAAATGTGATAAAATTCTCTTTCTTCACGGATTGTCCACCTGAAAAAAATACGTTTAGTATTGAGCTCTCTTTTATCAGTTGTCAAGTAAAACGGAGATGGGAAGAAGAGAAGACGGGTTTACCTCTTCTTACCACCGTCTTTTAGGAATGAAGGTTCAAAATATTTTGCGTCTACTGAGATATGAATACATGAGGAAGAAGGCGACTGCAGCACCTATGATGATTCCACCCGTTGTTAACCAGAATGCAGACTGCAAAAACCCGAAAATGTTAATGGTATAAAGTGATGATGTCACAGTGGTTGTAAATATGTGGTTTCTTGATGAGAGCTTACAGCTTGTTCTTCAAGATAGGACCTCAAGTTCATGCCGAATATACCTGAACACACCCGGAAAATAAGGTATAACCCCTTTACAATGACCAGGAATTGTTGGCTTTGAGAGAAAACGGATGTAAGTGATAAACAGTATGTGAACGTACCTGCGATGAGAGCACCAACTGCAACACAAAATGTACCGACTTGAAGAAGGAGCTCGAATCTGCTGACCTCAAGCCTCCGAGAACTGGGGAAACAACAATGGATCATGTTAAGAGTGCCTAATCATTAGTGAGAACTGAGAAAGGATTGTTGTGTTATCTTCAGAACCTTAGATTGACAGCAATTGAGTCTTCCATTTCCTTTGCAGAATCCAGAAGTCTTTCTGCTTGTCCATGGCATGACTCGCATCTGCACATACAAATCTATAGAGTTTCACAACAGAATATATCGGTATGCTTCAAAAGTAAAACTTAATTGTGTGAATTCAGGTCAAACACCTTTGCAGATAGTTCTCCAAGAGCATTTCGATTTCCTCCTCTTCTTCTGCAAGGAACCAGACAGAAAATCAATATCGATAAAATTCACTTGTTTGTGGTGAATGTCACCAAGGAAGTGTTTCACTTTTCAGGCTTTACCCTCAGCAATCTGCTTATCTGAGGGCAACGTACACTCCATATCGTCGTCTCCTCTTCTTAGTGTGCAATTTCTTCCCATAATGCACATGCGACGTATTTCATGTGGATCCTCTAAAAGATCTATAAGCATTTGTCTAAGAGCTCCAGCTCTCGATCCCAATTCAACCTTCCAAAGGTGAAGAAAAATACAATACAACAGAACAAACATTGAGTTCCCTGGAAGCGACCAACTGAATCAAGAATATACATACATAAACAACAAAATGAAGTTTACCAGGCTTTGCTTGCTAATACGAAGTTCCTCCAATATGTCAGCAGTTAAGCGGTTGGGCAAAACCTCAAGAAGCACTTGGACCTGAACCAAATGGCACAAATTTTTTTTAGCATAGTGAATGATCTGAACAAAGGCATAAGCAAATTTTTGGACACAAAACTACAGTGTTTGATGTCAGAACGTGAACAGGATTTCATGCACAGCTCTTTCATCCCATGCTCATTTCAATATAATATTTATGCCAATTCTAAAACTTTTTTCAAAGGGAAAATGCATTGTCCGTCTACAAATGGAAGTTTCATTTTATATTCCAATTTGAAGAAAGAGAAGCAACTGAGTCACAGGTAAGTCACAGTCCAGCAGTTTAAGTGAAGAAAATCAAACTGAAATATACTCACTAGCATCCATACTCACACGGGGTTCTATATTCATAAGTCTTTGCTCTAAACGTTGTATCCTTGAGATTAGCGCCGATTCAACAACCTTTTATAAAGCCATAGGAAGAAAAGTTAGCACCAAGATGATACGAATATTATGAACTCAAGTTATGCAGGGCTGAAAATATGTTATGTCTACAAAAAATTGTTCCTTCTTTTCCACAGATAGTACGAACATGATTGAATATCATCATCCCATCAAGCCAAACTAACCTCGAGTTCAAATGGCATAGAGGGTCCTCCATTCATACTTCTTGGGTTGAGCCGAGGCATCAATGTATCTACAAAAGCCCTTCCTCCTCTACTGAAAATATTATGGACTTACATTAGTGTTGCTTCAAAAAGAGTGAACAATCTGAAGTACAAGAGATTTACTTGGACCAAGATTACCGGTTATAATCAAATATAAGGACACGCTCTCGCATTGCTATAGCTCGCAGGGAGCCCAAATTCAGCAGAATCGCATGTTCACGGACCTAAATAATAGGTAAGAAAAAGTTTCAGCATTTTCAAAAAATAAATGTAAATACAGGATAATGAAGTAGAGATGGTATTTACCAATAGAGATGGCATCGAGTTTGTCATAAACAACGAAGGATCAACGCTTCTGATATCTCTTGGGCGAAGACCTGATGAACAGAGTAGACATATCATAGAGTTAAAGATCAAATGTCACAGATTCCACAAATGTAAATGCGATGTAGAACAAACAAAAATGTTTCACTGACCACTGGATTTGAGCAGCTGTCGTCTGTTAATCTTCCTTGTAGATATTTCTCCACTCGCCTTCACTTCAACAACCTTTTTTTTTTTCCAGACACAATTAAGAAAATTTGATGAGATACAAGAATAGGGAGCTTAAACCAAAGCTATCCACAGCTTTCAGATTTTGAGTCAGAAGAAACGATATGTCTCTTATACGAAATCACCAACAAAAAGTGAGCAAGGATTCATATATAATCAATTCAATCAGAATCCTATATATGTTGAAATGAACATGCAATTCATGGCATAGTTTTACTAGAATTGGCCAAATAAACTCATGGCAATCAGAGACAGTAGAAACATGAAACCTCATAAACCGGCTCACGGATTCCCAGCGACGTAGAATCACTTGATGATGAAGAAGAAGAAGAATCGATCTTCTTTGCATCATCTCTTCCTCCGTTTTCTCCATTATCGTTATTGTCACTACTACCATCGTCGTCGCTAACGTTTAGCGATTCGTAGTCGCCGACGAAATCTTCGGCGGTTGTGGGAGACTTGGCGAAACACTTGGATCTCGACAAAACCTTCAGTGCCTCGAAGAAGATCGGAGCTCTATTCAGCGCCGATAACTGGAGAGAAAAGGCAGGAGAAGAAGGCCGAGCTGATCCAGGGAGAAGAAAATGGAGCGACGGAGACTGATCGGAGGGATTGAAGAGAGAAGTGAGTGTAGAGGGAGGTGGAGTTAACGCCATTGTTTGTTAGTGGTGGTGGAAGAAAGCTTTGGGCATGGAGATTTCTTCGTTGGTTTAGCTTAAGGATAAATTTAGATAGCAATACAGTATCCAAATTGTGGATATATCCATATAATGTAGGAAGAAATATGCCAAAGCCTGTCACTCTCAAATATTTCCGAATGATATACTGTCTAATCTTCTTTTTTTTTTTTGGCACTTATACAAATTAGTGTGTTAATTTAATACTTTACGATTTTATTTTATTTTTGGCTAAAAACTGAAGTAAATGTATACTAGAAATCACAACCAGTTGTTTTTGAAAATTGATTCAAAAGTTTAGAATTGAAAATTCAAATCTCAGATGATCACATATTTACAACACATGAAAAGAAACTGTTCTTGTTTTTAATTTATTTCTCTAAGCTTTATACCATACAAATATTTGAATTAATGAATAAACAATTTATGGTCGTTGACCGTTAATTTTGTGGCGGAGGATTAGTTTGAGAGAAACGGGTGTATTTGTTATCTTGAATAGCTTAAAATACTTTGAGAGAAATTAGAAACTGTGTAGGTCATAAAGTGAAACATAATTTAGCACAAGGACTCTTTTGTAAATTAGGTAAAGAGGTGTTCGAATTTTCTGGCGAGAGAGGAAAAACAAGGGCAAAGGAGAAGAAACCAGAGAGGTTCAATGGAGGATGAGGAAGCGAAGCAGCGAAGAAAACTTGAAGAAGAAGAGAAAGAAAGAGATTTTCCGTCGCATCATCCTCCGCCGCCGCCTGATGAGGTAAAGCATCAATCTTTCGCGGTTGACTATTTGCGTTTGGTCACTTTGAAGCTCAATTTACTCTTTACTTTTCTTACTCTTAATTGTTTGTATTTCTGGGTAGTTATTATTTCACCTCCTAGCTTAAGTGTAGAAATTGAGCCTGGTAGTGTAGAGATTCGATTGAAAGTTCTGATTTTTTTCTTTTGAATTGACAGTGGTTATAACTTTCTACGTTGTGCAGTTGTTTGACATTTCGACTACAGTTGATCCAAGCTATGTTATTTCGCTGATAAGGAAACTCCTTCCAATTGATTCGGGGAGTGAAGAATGTGATCAAAGCAATGAGGAACGGCATAACCATCATTTGGTGGACACTTCCAATGGTGATCCAGAGAGCATGGACATTGGAGGTAACACTCACGAATTTACTTCCGAGGAGAAGGACAAGGCGAGTTCATGTCGTGAACCTGAAAAGCTAAGCGGGTCGTCATTGGAAGAGGCATGGGAAGATCATGGTTGCGTTTTGTGGGATCTTGCTGCCAGTAGAACTCATGCTGAGCTAATGGTAATGGATTTTTGGAATTTGAAATAATGCCTTTGAAAAATTCCAAGTATTGATCCTACTACTAAAAAATGCCTTTAGAATTTTGAGACCGGGGGTTGCGAACATTTTCTAATTCTATGCTTTGGCTTTGCAGGTAGAGAATCTAATTTTACAAGTACTTCACGCAAACCTTATGGTTTCAAAATCTACACGCATTCGAGTAAGAAGCTCAGTATATTTATGATCAATGGCTAAGTCTAATCATTTTCCAGATATTTTTCTGCTCCTGAATTTGACTGTTGTTTAAACTTCTTTTTTCATTTTGGCTTGCAAGGAAATCTGTATCGGTATTATTGGGAACCTTGCTTGCCATGAAGGTCTGTTAAAACATATAGAGTCTACAGCCGGACTCGTTAACATTCTTGTGGGGCAGTTGTTTCTTGATGACACCCAATGCCTAAGTGAAGTTTGCAGGTTAATCAGTTTGTGACATCATATATAGATTCATGCTTGATCAGTTGGTTGCTTATTTCACTAACTAATTAACTCACATGTGTTTCCAATAGGATACTCACCACAGGACTCTATGGGGCTGGTTTCACTTTTTGGGCCGAGTGTTTGCAGTCTGATGATATACTTCGCCGTATTTTGTGGATTGCGGAAAATACCTTGAATCCTCATCTTAGTGAAAAGGTAACTTCTGATATTTGAGTTTTGGTTTATCATGCATTGCTTTTTTAGTTTGCTAAACTAGTTCCATCGTTTCTATAGAGTGTAGGGCTGTTGTTAGGTATCATAGAAGGTCAACAAGAGGTTGGGCAGCTACTGATCCCTCCACTAATGACTCTGGGCTTGACGAGTCTCTTGATCAATCTTCTTTCCTTTGAAATGAGCAAGTTGGCTACAGAAAGAATCCCAGAAAGGTATGGAAGAATAGAAACTCATCTAAAAGGTCGTTAGTGAATGGCAATCCTATTCTTGCAAAAACAAACAAGTGTTATGCTTTACCGTGTTTGATGTACTCTTGTTTATGATTTCAGGTACCCTGTCCTTGAAATTATCCTCCGAGCTTTTGAAGCCCTTTCTGCATCAGATAACCATTCTAAAGAGATTTGCTCTAGCAAACAGCTTTTTAAACTAGTCTGTGATCTTATGAAACTTCAGGACAAAGCCGAGGTAGTTTTAGGTTGATATGAAGCTTTTCGAATTGTGTAGATCTCAAGTTATAGCTTAATAAACTAGACTTCACTGTAGGTGGCAACATCTTGTGTTACTGCTGGAGTTTTAATAGCAAATATGCTATCAGAAACAGTCGATTTTATTCCAGAAGTATCACAAGGTAAACTAACTACTTTTTATTTCTATATGTTTTAAGTCCTTCATGCCTTTATCTTGACTTCAAGAATCTGCTCAAGCAGATTTTTCTTTCTTGGAAGGTTTATTCAGTACGTTACCATTTGCTTCGGATGACTTAGAAGCAAGAAGAGCTCTTTGGACTGTGATTGCAAGATTACTTGCCAGAGTTAATGAGTCTGAGATTAACAGATCCTGTCTGAGTCAGTACATATCAGTTTTGTTAAGCAGCTCGGATGTTATAGAAGATGATCTTCTCGATATCCAGCTAGAAGAGTCGAACGAGGAGTCCCAAAACTCATTCCCTTCCCAGATAAAGTCAAGCGCGCGAACAATTGCTGTATCCAAATTCTAGATTCCTCTGTTTTTGCTGCTCAATTCTTGATTTGTTTTCAAAGTTGGCTTGTACAGATCTTTTGTTGACCTTAAGCAACAACAGATACAGAAGATGGAGTCGATATTGAACAGTTGGAATATACGCGAGGAGGATTTACATGAGGAAAGCATGAATGGGGACTGCTCTGTAAACAAAGCTGATGTTAAAAGGCTATCAGATTGCTGTCAAAGATACATCAAGTAAGCTACTCTTCATCTCTAGAATAAGCATTGTAAGACTTGTTTGCATTCAACCTAATTTTTCAAGTGATCCATAAATCTGAAACTCAAAACACTTACGATTGATCTTACAGTTCCATAGACTTTGATCTTGTTCCAATTTTTTTTAAACTCACTTATCGTAGCCTGAATTGGAAATATTCAGAGTGACTTGATTCATAGTTTTCCTTTTTCTCAATTGTAGATCGGTTGGAGGATCTTAAGTCATGGAGAATCTTTCGCTTGAAAGTAGTTTAATCTTCTCTACTTTCCATGGCATTACAAACACAATGATGGACACATGAAGTCACAACTTTCAAGAAATCGCCGACCAAGTGAACTTTTGAACAGACATATTGAGGTTAGAACTTGCCTGTCTTACTCATATGTATCCATAGATTACTAGGTCTGGTAACTTGTACACAAGAGTAAAAGATGTACAACAACAAAGAAACTCCTCAAAATTTTCAGAAATAGAAGTTTCACTGAGTGTCTTTCAATAAAAATCTCGATTGCGTCTTGAAATTCAAATGGGCAAAACAATAGCTCATGGTGAAAATAACAATCTTAAGCCATAGCAAAAAGCAACAATAATCTTGAGAAGAAAGTAGAGAGAGAGAGAGAGAGAGAGAGACATGGGTCATTAGGAGATGAGAGAGATGCCAGAGACCAAGAGATTGTCAGAGAGAATCTTGTTAGCAGCTTCTGTTGGATGAAACCCGTCCCAAAACACATACTCTGTTGCATTGTTACATGTTCCTATTGATTTAGGGTTGCACAGTATTGACGTCTCCAGTAATCCTGTTCCACAACAAGCTCTTCTTGCCTCCGCAAATCCTGAAAAAAATCCAATAAACAACAAATGTTAATCCTGCTAGGGACTTATACCAAACTGTCTAGTACGTCCTTCAACACATTCTGAAAATCTTGAAAATGTATAAAAAATACCAAATTCGGATGGTCTGGTGGCGAGATCATAGAGAGGCTGATAGATGTCAAAGACGACCAACTTGAGGCCATTGAGACTTCTCTTGAGTTCCTGCGACGTTGTATTGAGTTTGTTGTTGAAGGAGATTGCGTCGTTGTTAAGACTCTCCGAGCATCCACCCTCGTGTGGCCCCGCCACAGTTATGGCCGCCGGTAAACATCCCAGAGGAGGAAGCGTAGTCACTCCGATCCTTCTTGCTCCTAACGAATACAAGTTCTAAAGAATTCCCAAGAAAGAAAAAGATCAACAATTTTGTGGACTAATGATAATGATAAGTGTGAGTGCATGGGAAACCAAATTAAGAAGATTCATGAAACCTTTCTAAAACTCCTACAACTAATTAATATAACAAAGAAATTGAAAGGGACAATATGAGAACCTGAATGAAGCTGGAGTAGGAGAGGATAAGGTGATCGGAGAAGTCATCAGGTGATTGGTATTTGTTGAGGAGAGGGTTTATGTAGTAGTTTTGTATGAAGTCACTGCTCCCTGCGCTGACGACATAAATGCCATCGGAGATTATGGAAGTGACGTTAACATTGCTACTTTTGTTCGAACTTGCGATTTCTTGGACTCGGGTTATATAGTCTTTGTAATGTTCCAGCTGTTGCGGCAACGATATTGCACTCTTTCATATAACAAAAGTTTCATTTATTATTAGATGACAAGAAAAAAGTAGTAATTAATAGAAAAGGTGAAATGTGACACTAACGTAGAGCTTGGCTGTGCCATCGTAGTAACCGGAGGCTGCAGAGGCAAAGTTAGCTCCAATCAGAAGGTTTCTGCCTTTTGCCTTTTTGCTTAGATAAGGTTGTGGGTATGATGTGAACCCAAGATTCTCAGCTGAACAAAAACACAAAATTATTTTGTAACTTCAGTAAATTAAACCAATTGACAATGTGCATGTTAGTGTACACATTCTGCAAACAGAGTTATGTTGCATGCTGTGCATCTACATTATTTCCTTCATCTATTTCTTTTTACCAAACTGTTTGCAACCACATGCAATTGCAAATGCAATCCAACAATTTAGTTGTCTTTTTATAAGATAACTGAAAAAATACACATGCATTTGTGGATGTATATGTACGCATTATGCCATGGTGTATTGGTTATCAAAGGTTAATTTGGTTCAAATTTTGCATGTATCATGTATGTATGTGCAGATGCATGCATGTATATATTGATTTACTAATTCGATCAAATCAAAGAAATTTATATATATAAAAAAAAGTATACCGGTGAAGTCAGTAGCTAACTTTCCGTTGCAGAAGCGTCCGGTGGGTTGATGGGATGTCATGAAGTCTCTTCCATAAGGAGGGAAATTAGCTTTAACGATTGTGTAGATATGATTGTTGTTTCCCACATCAACCACCGAATCTCCAAATATGAACATTGATGGAACCAGTGGCTGCGCCTTCATCACCTCAAGAACCATTAAAGATCCAACCACCACATAAACATGTAACCAAATTCCCACAAACTCTCGAGAGAAACCCATCATTCTCTTCTCTATCCACAAAGATAAATATTATAATGATGATGATGAGGTAAAACTGTTGATGCTTTTGAATGTGATTATGTGAGTAGAACAATGAGTGTGTAAGTAGTTTTGCATGCAAGGGTGTTATATACAGTAAAACCACAAAACAAAAATCTGGGGGATTGCATTAAATGTAACATTGCAACGTTTATATGTATGTTTCTTGTGTATACACATAACGCAGTGACATGTCTATTGGCCTGAAAAAAAGTGAAACACACTGAGCAGAGAGAGACACATTGAAAGAAAGTAGTTGCGAAGCTCGGGCATTCATTTGGACCTTTTTTCACATTTATACATCAGTTACGTTATGTGTGCCATTTATTTGATTCCAAACACAACACTTGTCTTTCAAACTCTCATCATCATCATCACAAACTAAGCTCTCTTCTCAACATCAATACACACTGTGAACGAAACTACAAATGAAGAAGTTATTCTTGAAATTCACTGTTTCTTTGTAAATTTTTGCATTTTTTTCTGCCGAGTAAAAAAAGGCAATGAAAATAATAATAAAAATGAATAAAATATTTTTAACAAAAAGGAAGTGGATAAAATAAGCTTTGAAGGCCGTTTGTGTTCCTTCTTCGCTCCTGAAACTCAAACACTCGAATTCACATAAACTGGAGAGCTCGATGAATTTATCCAGAGTGAACCTCTTCGATATTCCTCTTCGACCAATCGTGCTTTCGCACCCCTCTTGCTTCTTCGTTTCTAAACGTAAGTTTTCTCACTCTCCGAAAGTTTTTGTCGATAACGGAATTTAGTGAAGAGATTTGATAAACATAATCAACAGTCTCACTTCCATTGTAATGCACGGATAGTAGGATTGTAATCGTTAAGCTTTTCTTGCGTAAAAACCATAAATTTCCAGGAGATTTTGTTTTAATTGATGAAAATTGAAGTCTGAAATTGGGTGTCTCCTTGAAATTGCCATCGTCTTTGAAGTTATAATTTTTTAATTGATTCATAAATAAAGTTCTCGACTTTTTGTTTATGCTCTTCTTCTTGCTTTGATTTGAGAATTATGCACGAATTTTTTACGGTAACACATCTCAAGTCTACATTTTTTGCAGGTTTTGCTTCCAGAGGTGTTTCTCCTGCTATCTTGCTTCCCAGATCAACTCACTCACCTCAGATTATTGCTAAGAGCTCCTCAGGTTTTGCATTTTGGTACGTCGACATTCTTTATCAGCAATGAATGTGGAAGACTGAAATATCTTCACTTTGTGGATTTTCAGTATCAGTACAGCCAGTTTCTGAAGACGCCAAGCAGGCTAACCAGTCCAATGATGTTAGTGGAGATTCAATACGGCGGCGTTTTCTCGAATTCTATGCTTCTCGTGGCCATAAAGTGCTTCCAAGCTCCTCTCTTGTACCAGAAGATCCTACTGTCTTGCTAATGATTGCAGGAATGCTTCAGTTTAAGCCTATCTTCCTTGGAAAGGTATAACTATAATCCAAGCCAAAAAGTTTTGAGACTATTCCTTGGATACTTGAAGATGACTTCTTAAAATGTTGCAGGTACCAAGACAAGTTCCTTGTGCAACCACTGCACAAAGGTGCATACGTACAAATGATTTGGAGAACGTTGGGAAGACAGCAAGGCACCATACTTTCTTTGAGATGCTTGGGAACTTTAGCTTTGGCGATTACTTCAAGAAAGAAGCGATAAAATGGGCGTGGGAGCTATCAACTATAGAGTTTGGCTTACCTGCTAATAGAGTCTGGGTCAGCATTTTCGAAGACGACGATGAAGCGTTTGAGATCTGGAAGAATGAAGTCGGTGTGCCTGTTGACCGGATTAAGAGAATGGGTGAAGCTGACAACTTTTGGACCAGTGGACCGACCGGCCCTTGCGGTCCGTGCTCAGAGCTGTACTATGACTTCTGTCCTGAGAGAGGTTGTGGTGATGATGTTGATCTTGGGGATGATAGTAGGTTCATTGAGTTCTATAACTTGGTTTTCATGCAGTATAACAAGACGGATGGTGGATTGCTTGAGCCTTTGAAACAGAAGAACATAGACACTGGTCTTGGTTTAGAACGTGTAGCTCAGATTCTTCAGAAGGTTCCAAACAACTACGAGACGGATTTGATATATCCAATCATTGTCAAGGTCTCGGAGCTGACGAGTGTCTCATACGAGTCTGCAAATGACCAGGCAAAGACGAGTCTTAAAGTGATTGCAGATCACATGCGAGCAGTTGTGTATCTTATATCAGATGGTGTTGTGCCTTCAAATATCGGTCGAGGTTATGTAGTGAGGAGGTTGATAAGAAGAGCTGTTAGGAAAGGGAGGTCTCTTGGTATAAATGGTGATGGAGAAGGTAATCTGAATGGAGCGTTTTTGCCAGAAGTTGCTGAGAAAGTGATAGAGTTGAGTACTTATATTGATTCTGATGTAAAAGTAAGGGCGTCACGCATCGTTGAGGAGATTAGGCAAGAGGAGCTTCACTTCAAGAAGACTCTGGAGAGAGGAGAGAAGTTACTTGACCAGAAGCTTCATGATGCTCTGTCAATGGCTGAGAAAACTGAAAATAAGCCTTATCTGTCTGGGAAAGATGCGTTTATTCTGTATGACAGATGCGGATTTCCTGTGGAGATGACCAGAGAAATCGCTGAAGAACGTGGAGTCAGTGTGGATATGGAAGGTTTTGAAGTGGAGATGGAGAGTCAAAGACTTCAATCTCAAGCTGCTCACAATGTTGTGAAACTGACAGTTGAAGACGGTGCTGATATCACGAAAAGTATTGCTGACACTGAGTTCCTTGGATACGACAGTCTCTCTGCTCGTGCTGTTGTGAAGAGTCTTTTGGTTGGTGGGAAGCCTGTGATGAGGGTTTCTGAAGGCAGTGATGTAGAGGTTCTGCTGGACAGAACTCCGTTCTATGCTGAATCAGGAGGTCAGATTGCAGATCATGGTTTTCTTTATGTTAACGGTGATGGGAACCAAGAGAATGCTGTTGTTGAGGTAAGTGATGTGCAGAAGTCTCTTAAGATCTTTGTTCACAAGGGCACTGTAAAAAGTGGATTTCTTGAAGTTGGCAAGGAGGTGGAAGCAGCAGTAGATGCAGACCTGAGGCAACGAGCGAAGGTTCACCATACAGCCACACATTTGCTGCAATCGGCACTTAAGAAAGTAGTAGGACAAGAAACATCACAGGCTGGTTCATTAGTAGCTTTTGACCGCCTCAGATTCGATTTCAATTTTAACCGGCCCCTACAGGATGGTGAGCTTGAGGAAATAGAAAGCTTGATCAATAAGTGGATTGGGGATGCTACACGTCTTGAAACGAAAGTGCTTCCTCTCGCTGATGCAAAACAAGCTGGAGCCATTGCAATGTTTGGGGAAAAATATGATGATGAGGTAAGAGTAAAAAAAAAAAAAGATTGTATTGGCTTTATATTGGGAAGTGTTTCATTTTGGTTATAAGTTGATTTGGCCTGAATAAGAGTGCCATTACATTAAAATTTCAGGTTCGCGTAGTAGAAGTTCCTGGTGTCTCCATGGAACTTTGTGGTGGCACTCATGTTGGCAATACTGCAGAGATAAGAGCCTTCAAGATCATCTCAGAGCAGGGTATTGCATCTGGAATCAGGCGTATCGAAGCAGTTGCAGGTGAAGCATTCATTGAATACATAAACTCAAGGGATTCTCAAATGAAACGTCTTTGCTCGACTCTCAAGGTACTCCTCTTCTAGAGAGTTTTGCTACCGAAATAAAACAGGAAATGTCTCAAAGTGTAACATATTTGCTGCTTTGCAAGTCGTTGTGTCACTTTTGACATAACCCATTGTTGTTTGGTTTACTCTGAAGGTGAAAGCAGAGGATGTTACAAACAGAGTGGATAATCTTCTAGAGGAACTGCGTGCTGCTAGAAAAGAAGCCTCAGAGTTGCGTTCAAAAGCAGCGGTCTTTAGAGCTTCTGTCATGTCCAACAAAGCATTTACTGTAGGAACTTCACAGACCATAAGGTGACAAAATCTATTGTTTTCTACTTATGTTCAGAAGAATTGACACATGATCTAACAATATCTTCAATGTTTAATGTACTTAGAGTGCTCGTTGAGTCGATGGATGACACAGATGCTGACTCGTTAAAGAGTGCAGCCGAGCATTTGGTAAGCACACTGGAAGATCCAGTCGCTGTGGTACTAGGATCATGTCCAGACAAAGACAAGGTTAGTTTAGTAGCTGCATTCAGTCCTGGAGTAGTCTCTCTAGGAGTTCAAGCAGGGAAGTTCATTGGTTCCATAGCTAAGTTGTGTGGCGGAGGAGGTGGTGGAAAGCCCAATTTTGCTCAAGCAGGCGGCAGAAAGCCCGAAAATCTCTCGAGCGCCTTAGAGAAAGCTCGGGAAGATCTTGTGGCAACTCTATCTGAAAAGCTCGGGTGAAGCAAACAACTTCAGTACACTATCTATACAAAGAGATTGTACATAGAAGTAGGAAGAACACATTGTTGGTCTTGGAAAAGTAAATCTCATGTATAGATAGGTACAAGATGTACAAAATTTCTTTAATTCTTTGCAAACGAAAAAGAAAAAAACAAGAAAAGATTGTATGACAATATAAAGATTAACAGTATGAAAGAAAGTCATAAATTGTATATGCTACTTGAAGAAGAAAGATTAACAGTTTTAATAATTATTTTCCATCAGGTTTTAATAACGTACTGTATGTGAAGGATTTGAGCATTAGAGAAACAATGGCGAGAAATGGACAAAAAGGATTAAACTGGTGTAACTGTAATTAATCCCAATAAGTACTGTTCTAATGCAGTATAATATTTTCTCAAAAGCCATAAAGTAGTTATACTTTTCTCTTTACGGCTATAACGTAACACTTTTAAGGGAAAATAAACGAGTACTATGAAAATAAAGAACCGTGTCTGATAATGGATTATGGAGTTTGGTAGATAATATCATAATTCAATATATAACCACTGAGGAAGGTGGTTGGACTTGTGGTTTCTGATAGAGTTCTGAATTTTCAATTAAGCCTGAGATTTCTGGCGCTTCGAGTACTGCAGAATAGGCTCTCTCACCTAATACAACCAATCACAAGAATGGCAAGTCAGTTGCAGCACTATATAACTTTAAAAGTTGAAAAAAAAGTAGAGAGACTTGGTTTAGTGTTAAGAGACCGTGCTGGTTTTCCTGCAACGTCTGTCCTGTGAGGCTTGGCTACAGTTTGTTTCGGCGTCCTTGCTATTTTTACCAGCCATTCTCATTCACCGCAAAGCTCTCCCTTGAAGCCACAGGCTGAGCCACAAACAAATAACCAAAATTAGGTACACACTTTAAAAAATTACAATAGGATACGTCAACTCAGTGGTTAAGTGGAATTTTAACCTGTGCCTTAATGCTAGTTGGAGTGTTATTAGCTTTGGAGATGGTCTGTTCACTTAGAACAGAGCTGTTATGCTGCATCCCAGATCTTCCTTTCGTACGTGTGAAGTCTGATCCTATGGAATGGATGCCTCCACATGTAGATACATCTGCAATGTTTTTGTGCGCACATCAGATCGACTAAACACAGTTCAAAACTAAGTTGGGTGGGAACAAGATTGATACCTGCGGTTACTTTTGCCTCTAAGCCGTTGGTCTTGTTTATAGGTTCGTTAACATCCACATCCTGTGAAAGCATTCACATTAGAAACTTCTTTTCAAGGATTTATTCAACTTTTTTAAGTGCGAGTGAATTACCATATCGTCTGTGGCAAGAGCTTTTCTGACTTCATTTAGCTTTCTCTCGGTTAAACTAGAGTGAACCACACGCTTCCCTGTATATACGCATTTGCATCAATGAGGTAACCTTCTGAATCTCGAACTTAAAAGGACAAGGGTCTGAGAGTTTAGACAGCAAACCTAGCCTGCGGTTGCTAGAAGCTTCCACGTAGCCCTCTTGCGCCATCCTGTCCATTAACTTACGAACTGTTGTCTGGTTAGCTTCACCATCCAGCATGTTGTGAAGCTTTGTAATGGTCACATATTGCATCGGAAGAGAATGGTACAGAGCCTATAACAAAAACCCATATGGATCTCAGGACCGTCATTATTTATCTAACTTTTTTGCATGTGTATTTATCAAACATAGAGTAAGAAGTCAGAGTATCTTACTTTCATGTACATGTAGTCTTCAGGAGCTATAGGTTTCCCATCCTTTGGAGCAGTTGGACCATCAGCGTCATCTTTCACTAAGGTGAATTCACTCCCAGGAGGCGTATCCTGTGAGTTATCTTTAAGCATGCATTCCACAGATAGGTGAGATTAGAAGAAGTTTTCTTCTTTAGTGAAATCAAATGCGCTAATGATTGTTTAGTAATTCACCTTCATCGAGCTCTACCCCATCAGCATCTTGTTTCCCTGTTAGATTATTAAGTTTACTCAATTTAGTACATACTTTACAAGACCGGCATAGCAGAGTAGGATTTGTTAGTCATCATTACCTGCTGGCGCCACAATGAATTGGTTTTCTTGTGTTTGACTGATCTGGAAACAACAAAACATTACATTTAGGCACAGGAGAGTGTAATGCACGTAGGATGTAAAGACCAAATAAAAGCAGATGAGCAAATGAAGACTTTGTTAACCTCGCTATCTGAATCAGAAGGCTGGTCATCGTGTACAGAATCAGGTCCTATGCTCTTCCCATCATCTTGCATGTCATCATTTTCATCCTCACAAGGATCAAGCACGCTCTTGACCTGTAAAAGATTATCCACAATGGATTTGACATTGTAAGACGATAAATATGACTAGCGAGATGCATATATTATTCAATCACATTACCTTTAAGGTTAACACGAGATGCTTGCTGTTAACATTCCCAACTTCCATCCTCAGAGGGTTCTTTGTCCATACATACTGAGCTTCTTCTTCTGTACATCCTCTGAAGAAAGGTGGCTCGTAATCTGGTGGCTGCAAAAAGGTTTAAATAACAGCTCTCAGTGTTTCTTCTTGGCATTCAATTTTGGCAGGCTGGAGAAAAGGTGATATAAGATGAACAGCATGGGCATTATTCCAGAAGAAATCAAAAGTTTTATGCGGAGGCAACAAATTCAAGCTGCTTGTGTGTGTTAATAAGTGTGTAACACCAATCACTAAACTATGAAATTCAAAAGACCAATATTCGAATGTCTAGAAGTCAGAGTTTTCACACGAAAGAAGCTCTACTCAAGCTGCAATAAGATCATAATAATACCACCAAGGTTAATACACCATACCGTCACATCATCGTAGTACAGAAGCTTCATCACTATGGTGCGCTGGTGCAGAAGAAAAAGGTAGTAATATCTGTGATCAGCGATCAGGAAACTGACAAAATTGGAATACCACTGAAAGTGTAGTTACAGTATTCATTACCTCGTCTGGCATTTTGTCGAGAGTTCTCATCAACTGAACTAGTGTGCGAACCATTTTGCAAGCTGAACTCCTGATTTCGTGAAAAATATAAAGCATGTTACAGAAGATGAAACCAAATAAACCTCATAATAGGAAAGAAAAATATGAAAAAAGTGCACCTCATTTGATTTGGCGTAATGTCAACAGTGGAGTTAAAAGTTCCTCCATGTTTCTTGTTTCCAGTACGATTGATGTTCATCATGACATCCTGGCTCTCAGAATCTGAATAGCTGAAAGAAACTGCAGTAACACAGACCCTTTATCAAAAATCAATAATGGACGATCCACCAGCAAACCACACTATTATCATTCTCGCAAAGGACTTACAAGCATACTCTTCAATCATTGGACCATCCACTGTTTCACATATGCAGAACATGAGCGTCTTCAAGTACTTCCTCTGTAGCGCATCGTAGACACCTATATTCCATGATGAGGAACCAAATTATCAAAAATAAACAGGGATAGAGTTGAATGGAAGCTTGAAATGCTAAAACCGTTAACATAGAAAACCTTTCTCCATCCAGTCAATCAATCGGCGTGATTCACCGTCCATAGGCATTAGCTTCTTGATCTTCATATCTGTTTCAAAATCACACCCGGTTATTGTTTTCTCTAGATACATAAATTGAGCCTGGGCTCTAATAGGTAAAAACCTCCATGAGTTAGCTTCTTACCTAAAGCAGGAACGGATTTGTCGTTGAAATACTTCTCAGGAAAGAGGCCTCTGATGTAACTTATGTTGAAGATAGCAATTCGGAGCAAATTTCTAGTCTACAAAGACAAAACGAAGACCAAAACAAAGACGTCATTGCAAAAAGCTACAAATCAAGCTGTTTAACGAGCATCAACGAAGAAACAGTGTAGGATTCATGGATTAAGCAACAAAAACTATGTATCACAAGTGGGAATCCTCCCCTTGATGAAATACTTAAACTAAAGCCAGATCAATATACCACCAGGAAGGAACGAGAAATTTCACTATTACGGAAACTATTTAAGCTGTTTTAACGCGCATTAACGAAGAAACAGATAATGAATTTTCAAATTAAGCAACGCAAATAAGGTATCGCAGTGACGGAAAGCATAATCAAGGGACGAAATCCACCGCTAGATGATACAGTAAACTAAATCCAGTATCAGTATCAGCGAAAATCGGCAGGAAGCAAGGAGAAATTTCACGAATCTCTTAAGGAAACAAAAATGGAAGCTCGATGAAGGCGTCGCTTACCAGAAGGAGCGAATCCTGTTCGGTGATCTCAGCTTCCTTGAGCTTCTGAGCGACTACCTGAGGGGGAGAAAAAAAAAAGAGCAACACTATAGTCAGATTAAGAGAGCTCCAACAGAGCGAAATTGCCCAGACTAAGAGAAGAGCGCGGAGAAGATAAACTGATGATCGGCGTCTTCTTCTCAGTGCTCACCATTTTCGCTAGTCGCAGTAGTCTCACAGAGAAAGAGAGAGAGAGAGATGATAAATTTTCAAAAAGCAAACAAAAATTGTAGTGTGAGAGTCTCTGCGGGAAGAAAATAAATAGAATCTTAGGGGCAAATTTGGTATTTAGTGACTTCCCTCTAACGTCCTGTATTGGCTAGTATTTGTCGTTTTATGAGCAAGCGCTACCCAAGCATCTCATTAATTAAAACTGTTTAAAACAAACTTTTATTAATTTTTTGGCTTGGTTTAGTCACGCTTTTTAAATTCAATTTGGTATATGGTCAATGGTCGTATTACTGATTTAGTTCCAATTGTTTGCTCAGGTTCGCTTTGGCCTTTGATTTAAAGACTTGAAGCAAAACTAAAAGATTGACTGATGCGGAAATGCTCTTAAAAAAGTTTAAAAACTTAAACTAAAATGCTAGAGATAATGTGTATATCCATCATTACAGTATCAAACATCTCATATTTATTTAGTAGCCACGACCACGATGCTGATAAAGCGTCTGAAGGTCACTGCAATGGCTACAGGTCCAAGGAATCAAATAAGGGTCTAAACAGTAAGAGTGTATACGCCGGAAATTGCAGAGGTGACATCTAATGAGAAGATCCTCCGGCTCACTACTGTAGCATCTGCTGCAAGCTGAAGCTCGAGACTGCAAAACTCGAGACTGCAGGAACAAGAAAAAAAACCACAAAAAAAAACAAGAAGATGAATGTTTGTACTCAAGAACAAGATCACGTTGAAACTCAATTTTCTTTCTTGAGAGAGAGATGGCAGTACCAGTGGAGGAGTGAAGCCTTGTATTTCTTCTTCAGGGAGGACTACAAGACTGTTCTTTGCTGAAGATGGGTCAGGGACTGTTTGTGAGTATATCTTTTGATCGGAAGATCCTGCGTCTTCCATCTTTGTAATGGCTACGAAACTAGACTTGCACAATGGACACGTTGTGCTCTTTCTTTGTGAAACCTGCAAGAAGATATATCATAGTTGTTGAATCATGACAGTATCCGGATTTTTCAGGAGCTTAGTTCAAAGAGAAGATAACTTTACCAATTGATCTGCCCATGTTTGGATGCAAGAATAACAAAACCTGTGGCCACAAGGGAGAATGCCTCTAGTGGAACTGTAATCGGTACAGCATATGACACAAGAAACCTTCGTAGTTTCTTCTGTCTCTTCGGGTTTGTTCAAGTTTGACTCCTCCTCTTGCGGGTTTCTCTCTGCGCTTTTATATCTCGGGCGTTTGAAAACAGATGAATGACTCCAACTCTCAGACTCCTCTATCTCATCTACATCCCAGCTCTGTGTTGCGGAGACTCCATGACTTCGAAGAGCTGATGTTTCTCCTGGTTCTAAAACACGGTCCTTCACACTTTCATCCCCAGGCTCTCTACGATCTCGAGTCTTACTTCGGTTCTCATCAGAATTGTCAAAACAGTTACTATCAGATTCCTCATCGGATTCAAGGTCGATAAGGCTTATGCAAGACTGATTCTTTACTAAACGCCTCTTTCCTCTCCCTGAAGATTCCGCCGCGCCAGCGTTTTCCTTGTCTTCAAAAATACTACTAATTGGCCTCTTTGCCCTTAAACGCGCTGAGTGTCTCTTTGCTTCTACATTTTTCTGAAGAACAACAAAACAAGCTCAAAGACAGTAACAAACAAACTTATGACATAATACCATACACAATATAGTGATGCAAAGTAAGCAGTTTATTTGTGCTCCGCAGTGACACTCTATAGCTAATCTTGCTAAACCGGATGAGGATATGCTAATTACCACGTCAATCTTTCAAACCGTATAGAAACTATGCAAAATGATAAAGGCTATTCTGATCTTTTGGCAATATACAAGTATATCACATAAAACTAAACTGGTTTGGTGGAACAAAAGCTGCAGGACTCCTAAGCAAATAAAGAAGAAGAGAACCAAGATTACCTCTTTTAACAGGATAGAGTCCATCCAAGTGGAAAGCTCGGAAGTGGAGCCGCTCCTGCTTTCTTGACCATCCTCAAAGTATTTATCATAAGGTGATGCATGCTTCACCTTCACTTTCTTAGGAACCTCGGGAACTTCAGTCATCAAAGGTCCAACTTCTTCCCCACTGGACAAAAATCACACTCGAGGATTTATCAAAAACATCTTAAAAGGAACCAAGAAACCAACCTACACATTTTCAAAAAAAATAACAATAAGCAAACCTTTTAAGCGTGTAAGGCGCCTCGGGAACTAGTCTCCCTTCCCTTACGCATGCTTCCACCCATTGGTGATTGACTACAATTGTATTGAACTTCTTTGCAAGACTGTACTTTTGGCCCTCGAACTTCCAACACACCTACACACACACCACCACCACCACCAGCAGCAAAATCAAAAGGGTATGAAATGACTTTGTTTTTCTTCCATAGTAGTGAATCGTGTTAAAGAAAACAAAACAATTTACACGAACCAGGTGTGTGATAGAGCTTCTCATTGTCCCGACATAATTGGCACCAGTATGGGCGATAAGCTTGATGAGCTTGAACCTCTCAGCGCCATGATAACCAGTGACTGTTGCAATCACCTTCTCCATACCTACATCAGCAAAGCCACAGACTCTGAAAAAATTGGGCATTAAACCAAAAATTGGGGGTTTAGAATCAAATTGTAAGACTAAAATTGGGGGTTGAGAATCTTATCATTTTCGTAGAGAAATCGATATACCTAATGGGTCAGGTGATGATATGAACGGAAAGAATCGCTAACCCTAAAACTGAAATTGAGCTAAAGTGAACCCAGTTTAAAGCAATTGAAGAGATCAAAGCGATTTACAGAAGTCGAGCAATGAAACCCTAGAAATTGCAATTTCTTAATTCTATAGAGCAGAATTACCTGGTCTAGTTGGTACAAAATTCGCGGTCTGTCTGTAACTCTTTGTTTTGGGGAATTCTGTGGCAGATGTCTCTTCGTTTGCCTCTTTTCGTTCTTCTCAGCTCTGTAAATGTAGAAGACGAAGAACAATGGAAGCAAATGGCTAGAGGAGAGGCGAAATTTTAGAATGCTAGTCTGGCGGGAATTTAAAAATTATCAAAAGAAGAGTTGAAAGTTAATTTTGGATGGACAGATTCGTTTCGAACAAAAGCCAATTACCCGTATTTTTCAATCTGAATACATACTACAAATTTTGTATAAAATCTCTTGTTTGGACAAAAAAATGGGAATGTCCTACTATTGTTGTTGGTCCGTTGCAATTGTACGATACTAGGTATTTTGGGGGTGGTAAACTCTTTGATGAGCGTATCTCGTAAATTAGGTAATGTCCTCTTCTATACATATGTGATTTGATATGAGTATCTTTGACTAATAGTAGTAATTAGTAATCGAAAGAAAGAAAGAAAAGAATTCATTACAAATTCTTGTTCTTTTCAGCTTGGCTGCTCACTGAGTAATTCAAAACATCTTGGGAGAAATCTCTAGTGATATACAAAAGTGTCCTTGCTTTGGGGTTTTGAATCTGCCTCTGCTGAAATATACTAGGTTCGTTTTCTTCATCGTCAACCAAATGTACAGCTAGTCTACGAGATCCGTTGCTGGATACTGGTGATAGAGCAGTAGTAACTAGTAACATTATACAGCTCTGATCACTTGAAACTTGCATGAAATTTTCGTCTCTAGCTTTATAGAAACAGACTTCTCTAACAATATCATGTAGAATTGTAGACGACAAGTTTCAATTCTTGTTGTCACAGTGCCGTTCCTCTGATTCAATTTTTTTTAAGAAGATCCAATAAATGGTTCTACTCTCTCTACCAAAACACTGAGTTCAAACTGAAAACATCAACAGTAAAATAACCAAACGAACTGAATTCTCTCGATTTTCTTTGAACAAGCATATTTCTCCCTAAAAGAGAAAATTGATTTTCTCGGAAATAAATTGAAGTTTATATGACCAATACGGAGTCGCCACATGTAAAGCTTTTTGTAGACACGACCGTACTTTATTATTCACACCCTCTTTGGTCGTCGTCACTGATTAAGACAAGAGTGTGTTCAAAACCCTTAAACCTCACCAACTGATTGATCGATCGTGTATAGCATATTTAAGTCCGCCTTCTTCCTCTTTGCTGCTAAATTCCAGATTTTTAATAGTAGAAATTTAGGCTTCTGATTATTCGATCTTTCGTTCGGAGATCGGAGGACTCGTGAGTATCGACAAATGTCTCTCTCACTGAAAGTTTCCCACATTTCAAATTTCTCCAACGATTGTTTCAACAGTGTAAAGCAATGCAGAGCCGGTCAGAGATTGGAAATTAGGTCGATTTGTTTCCGTCGAAGCCCTGATTTCGAATCCAGACGGATCCATTTGAATTCCGAGCTGTCTTCTCTGAAATTGAGAACTCGATGTGTGGGATCGGATGTGGTAACCGGGGAGATATCCGGGCGATCGGTGCCGGAATGGACTTATAGCGGCTTGAAGGACGAGACTTTAAGCGATTTGGAGCCGGAACTCGATGGCGGTGACGGCGGCGATGACGGTGACGGTGGAAACAACGACGGAAACGGGAATGGTGGTAACGGCGACGGAGGAGGAGACGGCGGCGATGATGGTGAGGACGAAGCAGATAAAGCAGAGGAGAAGGAGTTTGGTCCGATTCTGAAGTTCGATGAAGTTATGAAGGAGACGGAACGTAGAGGGATTAAACTACCGGAGGATATGTTGGAGGCTGCGAAATCCGTGGGGATTCGGAAACTGTTCCTTCTCCGTTACCTCGATCTACAGGTTTGGTTTTTGGAACAACGATTCTGTATTTTGATTGCTTCTTATGATTTTGAGAGGTTGAAAATTTGTGCAGGGCTCTGTTTGGCCACTTGGGTTTCTGATGAGGACTTGCTCGATGCTTCGAAACAGAATGCTTGCAGATCCTTCGTTTCTCTTCAAAGTTGGAACCGAGGTTTGTCAAAGAATAAAGCTTCTTTCTTGTTAGGATTAATATCGGACTTGTGGGATTTGATGTAGAGATCTTGTTTATACGGATTTGGATGCAGGTAGCGATAGACTCTTGCTGTGCAACATTTGCGGAAGTACAGAAGAGAGGGGAAAATTTCTGGTCGGAGTTTGAGTTGTATGCAGCTGATCTTTTGGTTGGCCTTGTGGTTGATGTCGCTTTGGTTGGACTTTTGGCTCCTTATGCACGTATCGGGAAGCCATCGGTCGCGTCGTCAACAGGCTTGTTTAAGGGGCTTAAACGTTCTTGTGCTGCCCTTCCTAGCAGGTAACACTGTTCACTGTCTCTCTCTCTCTCTCTCTCGTTCTTCACTTTTGGCTTCTTGAGATGTACTTATATGAATTTTTGTGTGTTGTTTTATGAAGTGTTTTCGAAGCTGAAAGACCGGGTTGTAAATTCTCGGTTAACCAGCGGATTGCAACTTTCTTCTACAAGGTACTTACAGAGAAGGAAATTGGTTTAGTTTTCTTTGTTTGCTTCTTCAATGTCTTTGGTTTGACTAACTGATGTGGTTCTGGATGTAGGGCCTCTTGTATGGTTCGGTTGGATTCGGCTGTGGTCTCGTCGGTCAGGGAATCGCAAATCTCATCATGACGGCAAAACGGTATACTAATTTCTCTTTATGAAACAAATCTTTTGAGTATCTCTCTTTTGTTAAGAAAATGTTCTTCACTGAAATTTGTTGTTTCCATGTGAATAGGAGTATAAAGAAATCAGAGGAAGACGTCCCTGTTCCACCTCTATTCGAAAGCGCTGCTCTCTGGGGTAAGTCTTTCTTACCATCTCTAACTTTGTATATACTGGGACTGTATCAGCGACATTAACTTAGTTGCAGAAATTAGTGACAAGTGCCAAGATTTCTCTGTGAAATTGTTGGTTACTACTATGGAGACTCACTCTCTCTCTTATGGTCTTGTGCTATTTGATCAGGTGTGTTCCTTGGCTTATCGTCCAATGCACGTTACCAAATCATCAACGGCCTCGAACGCGTCGTGGAAGGTTCTACAGCAGCCAAACGCATTCCTGTGGTTGCCATGGCGTTTACGGTTGGAGTCCGGTTTGCGAACAATGTATATGGCGGTATGCAGTTTGTGGATTGGGCTAAATTGTCGGGTGTCCAGTAGTCAAACCGGTTCGGTTTTGTTACGAACCGGGATGCAAACCAGCCTAGGTGTCTCCTCCTGAGATTCTCTAATCTGATGGGACTATAGATTAGAGAATATCGTTAGTGATTAGGATATTTACCGAGAGAGCTAGAGAAAGAACTTGGTTTATGATCTTGACCGGGTTCTTCTAACCGGAATTCTCGAACGGGACACATGATAACAATTTCGATCTGGTTTTTCACTTTTTTGGAAGTTGAATTTCTCATGGAGATTCGTACGTAGTTCCTAAATTTATTTTCCTTATTCGTATGAAATAAAGACTTTTATCATAAATCCTCACTGAATAGGAAATTTCAATGTTTCCATTAATCTCATCTACATATATAATCTTCCTATATGGCTATATATATTGACTTGAACAAATTCTTCTTCAAGTAAAGGTCAAAACTCAAAAGCTATAATTTTTCATCAGCACACAATGACAAAGGTTTCGCAACTCACTCTTATTTTTCGTGACAAACTACAAACTATCCACCAAAACTCCAACAAAACCTCAGTTGTGGTGGAGCAAAAACCGTCGAATCCTTCGTCAAAGAACGATAACGATCAGTTGAACAGTTGGGTTGCTTCTTGGCCATCGTTCCAGATGCCTCTTCACTATCCAAACTTCAGAAAGGAAGATTACGAGGTTATGTCGGAGGAAGAACTTGATCGACTTCTCAAACTATATGGTCTACCTACAGAGCTCGGTGACTTGTTTTGCAAACAACAATTTGCAATCGGTGCATTCTTGTGGGAGAAGGGACTAGATTCTTCTCCGGCTAAACATGAATCAGTAAACCATAATTCGTCCGTTGGTGATTTGAGTGAGAGCACTTTGATGGCAGTGACTACGGCTTTGAAATATATGGTTCACTATCTTTTTCGATTCTAGCATTGAAACTCTTAAATTTGTTTGGTCCTAGAGTTGTTAGGTTTTGGTTTTTTTATGGATATCAATCATTAAGATTTTGGAAAAAAGTTATGGTTTATTATATTACAGATTATTGTTATCAGATCTTAGTATCTGACGACGATCTACTCTAGTATTAACATTATTATGTTATTAATTTAGAAAATCTACCAACTGAAACCTATGAGAAAAATTACACAAAGCTTTCAATTTCTGTGAGATATGGTAATGGTACAATATAGTATTCCACAAAAACTTTCAATCTCTAAGAGATATGGTGGTATTCGTGCGTAGTCAAGACTGTTCCATGAGATATGTTACACCGTATCTTGTGTGTTATCAAAGATCGATCCAAGTATTCGTGCGTAGTCAAAACTGCATTTGAAAAAACTATTTTGGCTATTTAAAATATTTTATGGGCTATTATAGCAAACCACTCATAAAATATTCTTTGTGAAATGAAAAAATGTAGTAAATAATTGTAGAGAAATTTAGAATGAAAAATGCAATTGAACATTGGATATGGTCTTATGTGAAACTTTAAGTTTTATTCATTAATCTGATTTCAGACATTTATTTATTTATTGTAATCTACGAACATTTTCTATGATAAAGCCGTCGAATATATCATAATTGTTTTCTAGTGAAACACACGTCGCTTTACATAATATGAATGAACTTTACAGGAAATGAATTTTACATGAAAGAGAGAAAAGAAAAAAACTAAACCGGTTTGAATCAATTGGAGGTTACATGAAGAAAACCGGTTTGAATCAAATGTGGTTTGGTTAGTGTGGTTATGGGATCGCCGGATTGGGGTTGGGACTAGGGTTTGCGATCTCCCGGAACTGGAGATTTTTGAGGCCGGTGAATATCACTCCACCGATGAAGAGAGCGAGTTTAGCCAACCAAGTTGTAGCTAGCGGATAGAGGAGAGCGAAGCTAGCCGCTAATAATCGATCGCAGACTCCAAAGTTATTCTTCAATCTGAGAATTGCCAGAAGAATCAACAGGTGAACATAAGAAGCTATACAGATTGTTGGTATGTAGGCGCTAGTTATGGATTTCAGAGGCTCGTCACAGAGGAAGAAAAAGATCATAGCGCCTACTTGAAATGAGGATCTGGGGAAAGCTTCTATGTGCGTAAAATGAGCAATATGCTTTTCAACCAAACACCCTCTCCTCTGATGAGGAGATACATGGATGCATATGTGAAGCACTTGGTGCAAATTGCTATCTTGTCCCCCAGGAGACATACAACAAAGCAAAGGCACTTACAAAGAGAAGTAAGTTAGATATTCCAAAACTGGTCCTTTTTATCATTAATGCGTTTAGAAACGATTCTTGCAAATTGATTCTTTTTTGTTCATCTTGTTTTGACTTTTGTATCTCAATCATATGCGACTGTTAGTTGCTGTTCCACATTATCTTATATCTATAATACCAAACTTTATTTATCCGACTCTAGTTTTCTAACAACGTTGTGTGTAGTCTGAAATCAAACCAAGCACTAATACGTTAAAAAAAACTGAGATGAGTTTTCTTATTATTCAACTAAATACAACATAAACAAAGAATCTGACTACTAGACTAGACTACATTAGCTAGAAACTGGAAATTGTAAACGTAGACAATGTATTGAAAAAACATAATTGCATAAACACCCCAAAATGGGTGTTGGTTTTGAGAAGCAATGTCCATGGCTAAAACACCATTACCAAGGGCACCAAAGAGAAGGAGAAGACCATGTCCAATGTCCATCGTCCAAGAGAGTTGATAGATTGAGACTCCTCCCGCAAGCAACGAAAAGATCGTAACGAGAACTTCTGTGGTAGGGTAATAGAAAGGAACATAAAACATGAATGGCAATATGATCAAAGAGGTCACAAATCTGATATGCTTTAGAACCCCATCGGTCGGGCTCGGGTTTTCGACGAAGAACAAACACCTGAGTAGCATCACGGCGAAGAAGGTCGTGACGCCGAATCTGATGGGAGAAAACAAAACTTGTTTTCCATATATCAACAGGCCAAAGCATGAGAAGATTGTCAACGCATACCAAATCCCACGTGTGAATACACGAAAACCCATCAATCTCTCCTCCTCCAAATGTTCCCACGCTCTTGTCGTCTTACAATAGGACTCGGTGGTGTTTTCCATTTTTTTGTTGAGACTTGTTATTTTTTCTTTTTCTTTGAGCAACTGCTGAGCTTATTCAGATTACGAATATATATAGAGGGGATTGGGTCTAAACCTAAAAGACCACGTCAACAAGAACGAGGTGAGTTTAAATTAAAATATTATAGTTCCTGGAATCTACCAGTTTAAATTAAATTAAACGAGGTGAGTTTACATGAAAATATTAACACGCAACTTCAGTAGATTTTCCTAAATTTACTCTCATGGTAACACGTGTCACATCAGAGCTTTTTTAATTAAACTAATTTATTTCTTATGAGACTAAATTTTTCTTCGGCTGAACATGAATCACTAAACCCTAATTCGTCCGTTGGCGATTTGAGTGAGAGCCATAAAATATATGGTTCACTATTTATTTCAATTCTAGCAGTGGCCCTAGACTTTAGTTTTTGGTTGTTTTGTATGGATATCGATCCTTATGATTTTGGAAAAAAAGCATGGTTTATCATTAAACATACTCTTGCTGGGCCTGTGGTCGGTTCAGTTTATTTGAGCTAAGAGTATTTAATTTCTTAGGTGATGATTGGTTCTCCCGCTACCACCCGCAAACGCAGCGTTTGCGGTTCGTAGCGGTTCTTGGCGTTTTATAACAATCACGACAACCGCTTTGAACCGCTCTATACCACTCTGTACCGCTCTATATCGCTGGAAATCAAAAGCTCCTTTCCGCAAGCGTTTGCGGTTGCGGGCGGTTGCGGTTTGAAAAAAAAAAAAAAAACATAATATCTCCAAATTTGGAATAAGGGTATATTTTTTTTGAAAAATACCCTAATTATGTTTAAAAATTTCGAAAATACCATAATTTTTTCTGTTTTGAAAAATACACTTTTGGAATGTAAAAAGTCTGTTTTGACGTGATTTAAACAAAAAAATAATAAATAATTACAAATTAAAAACGAAAATTTAAAAAAAAATAGAATTAATAAGTTTTTTTTTCAATAAATACAGTATATGTTAAATTGAAACAAATTTTAATATTTTGGACCTTTATGTAAACAACTTAACCTCATACACATTCCAACCAAATGAAACTTTAAATAAATTAAAACTTTACATATTTTAAAGTTTATGAATTATTAAAAATTTAAAAATGGAGAAATATATCTTTCATTTTTAATGTTTATCTTTAGAAAATTTAAATATTTTTGAAACTTTATATAAACAACTTTAATCTCACCCCATTTAAACTTTATATAAATAATCTTATATTTTTATTGATTTTTAAAAAAAAATCTAAACAGGTAATTAGGATGGTTTAGTATGTAAAATGATACAAAATTATTATCAAATCTTAATATTTTATATTTCTTATTTGAATTTCGTTTTTATTAAATTAGTTAAAAAGTTCAAATTAGGAATAATCATTTCACATATAAAAAGTGTATTTTTCAAAACCAAAAAAAATAAGGGTAGTTTTCAAATTAAAAATTAATCAAAGAATATATTTATAAAAAAAAATCTATTAATAATATGGTTATAAATGTTTTAAATAATTATATATTATGTTTATTTTAGTAACTTTTGGTTAAACCGCTCTTGCACCCGCTGGTTAACCAGTCAAAAATATCCCGCAAACGCAACCGCTATGAATTGCTGTACCAGTCGTACAAACAGCTTTTAATCGCAAACTCCCGCTTCCGCAAACTCCCGCAACCGCAAACTCCCGCAACCGCAACCGCAGCGTTTAAACCAGTCAGGCCCTTAGAAGCAAAGAACTTACATATCCATTGTGATACCAAGAACCGATTATGCTTGCAATTCTCGCTAACAGTTTAAGTGTATTACCTAGATTGTACTCGTTGTTGTTGGGCTGGTATGATAAAGAGTCGCAACTCGTAATTTATATTGCATTTGCATATATTTTAGGATATTTATCAATTATCATTTCATAAATTTGTAAGAAATTCTTATGCGTGATCAAATATTTGGAGAATTATGTCAACTAAACGTCATTTTTTGGCCTTTTTGACGTTTGCGCGGAACAATGTATGGAAATATGAATGTTTGACTGACTTACTTTATCATATCAAGTCCTTTACTTAGTTTTTTTTTCCCTCTTTTTAAAAAACCTTTTAACGCGACAAAGGAGAAGAGGAAAAGGAGAATAGTTGGTTAGTGGAGATATTAAAAGATTGATAAATAAATTTTAAGGCAAACATGAGTAGCAGGAAGTTATAATATAAAAAAATTCGATATGTTTCCAAAAAATTAGAAAAGAATCAAAATAATCTTAGGATACTTTATATTATGGCAGCATCATTCGATAGATGAAGGATCTTCTCAGTGACAGCTTAGTTCACCACTGTCATCCAACTGCTACACCCTCATCTTTTGTTCTCTTGTTTCTGTTTTGTGCCTCAAATTATCTTTCTAGTTAGTTAAATAGTGTTGACACAAACTAATCCACCAAATCTATATTTTGAAATGTCGACAGCAAAAGTAATACATTTCTTGTTCTGAAACGAATATGTTCGTTATAGAAATAATAAAATACTATTGTCAATGGATGGAGAATTTCATTTTCGTACAAGACAAGTGAGTTTTTTTTTGTTGTTGTTGAATATGTTAACTTGTTTTTCAAATTTATGATTGCATTGCAATTTTTTTTTTTTTAATAAAGAATGAAATATTTGTTTCTCTAGAGTCTAGTCCGACAGCTTCTAGTTCTAGTCTACTCGACCCGGTCCCATTAAGGTTACGGTGGGACCAGCTAGACCAATATACAAAAGGCGTGACCCGACCCGACCCGACCCGACCGGAAGTAAAAATCCGATTTCCTCATGGAACTGAAATGCCAATTGAATGCTTTGACCGCGACCGAAAGCCGAAAGCGGTCATGTATTGATTTAAACATAAAATTAATGAAAAAATAATGAAGAAACATCAAACGAGCAGCAGTAAACTTTACAAAAAGAGGTAGAATACAACAATTTTGTGACAAAATGGTCTGCAACTTATAAATTCTCAAATTCAGTCCAATTGACTAGATGAGTAAATTCTGATTTTTGACAAAAGGAAACAGAGAACTAGACGAGTTAATTTCGGATTTTCCAAATTCATATGTTCTTTTTTTTTTGTCACGAAAATTCATATGCTTTTCTGTTGTCACAAAAAGTCAGATAATTTTGTGTAAATCAAATATTTGGGTCTTGATAAATTTGTAACAAAATAGACAAAATTTGAATTATACAACATTAAACAGTCATAGTTGTAAATAAAGAAAAATTAAAGTCGTCTCCCGTCGTTGCCCGGAGGCAAGCTTCTCTCTCTTCTCATTTCACCTTCTGCAGATCACTCCCCATTTTGAATTTCTTCCACTGGAGGTGTCATTTTCCGATTCTAGATTAGGTTTCCGATCTCAGCTCCCGCGAATTGTTTATGCCTCAGCTGTACTCTGCAGTTTCCGTCGTACTTAAGATTCTGTTTCGCAAGCTTCATCTGCCCGTGTGAGACGGCGACGGACGGTGAATCTGAGGAATCGGTTCCACCATGGCCGGAATGAGAGGACTCTCCGTATTCATCAGCGACATTCGTAATTGCCAGAACAAGGAGGCGGAGCGACTCCGAGTTGACAAGGAGCTGGGAAACATCCGTACATGCTTCAAAAATGAGAAGGTAAGATGAGTCTCTTTCTCTCTCTTATCTCCTTTGAGTGGTAATTCAGTGTTGAAGCATCCGCTGAGGTTATGTACTGCTTAGTGATAGCGGAATTAGAGAAGAATGAAGTTGAAATAGTGCACCTTGATAAGCATTGTTATGTTTCCGTTGTATAGCTAGCTCATATCCTTGGAGATTAGGCCATTACTTTAAACTTTGAAACATCAGTACTGATTGTCTAAGGAAAGAAATCAAGGTCACAGAAAGATTTGAATAGCTAAATACGAAGTAGATTAAGCTGTGTTACTGTAAGCACTTTGCGTGAAACTCTGACTCCATACTTTTGAGTAGCAGAGCTGTAGTGTCCATCTAGGGCCAGTTGGACTACTGCGGAATATAATCTTTTCCTCGCTTGATCATGCATTCTTTGATTAGTTTTTCGATATTGTTTTACGTTTGACAGGTTTTGACACCATATAAAAAGAAGAAATACGTCTGGAAAATGCTTTATATACATATGCTAGGTTACGATGTGGATTTTGGCCATATGGAGGCGGTTTCTCTTATATCTGCTCCAAAGTTTCCAGAAAAGCAGGTAAGCCAAATTTTTGTTTGCTTAGATATTGCTTTCGAAAGCTAAGAGAACAGAGTTAGGTGGGGGTATTTGTTTGATTCAAGTCTGGTGTTCAAGCTGAAAAAAAGTTAAATTTCAATGAAGAAGCGTGATCTAGATACTATTTCATGCTGTTGGAGTTTTATTCACTTTGATTAGACCTGGTAATGTAATGGGACATTTCCTTAGTATTTAGTAACAACATCTTAGCAACTCTTAGCCAAAAGATATAAGTGATACCCCGCGTTCTCCCCCAAGAGTTTGCATTACCAAATTTAAATATTCGTATGTTCTCCACCTAAGCTTCATGTAATGAACTTTTCCTCGTTGATTACAGGTTGGCTACATTGTTACATCCTGTTTGCTCAATGAGAACCATGATTTTTTGAGGTTGGCAATCAATACAGTGCGAAACGATATCATTGGTCGGAATGAGACTTTTCAGTGCCTGGCGTTGACTTTGGTATGTACTCTTTTGTCCATATTTGTGTTGAGATCTTAGAGCATAGTGTGGTCTTTCAGATTATGTGATCCAGTTAAATGACTGTTTCAATGGATGTCTTTGGGTACATTTATCTTTTCTCTGATAATTCATGATTCAGAAGCCTTTTACTACATTCAATCCGGTGGTTCCTTTTTTTTTGTTCTGGCTCTCTTACTTTGCCATGTTGTCCTGTAGGTTGGAAATATTGGTGGGAGAGATTTTGCTGAATCATTGGCACCTGATGTTCAAAAGCTACTTGTAAGTGAT